CCTGTTGGGGTGCCTGGCCGAAGCCTATTCGTATCCGACTACGACGTGCGGAGCAATAATGTCGCGTTCCGGCACGGATTCTGACTTAGAGGCGTTCAGCCATAATCCGGCAGATGGTAGCGTCGCGGCAATGCCTTGTCAGACAGCCGCAAAAACCAATTATCTGAATCAACGGTTCCTCTCGAAGCATTTCAGGGTGGGTATGCCCCCAAACGAATAGATGGTGATACCATTGTCTCAGCCCGAGGTCAAGCCCCGGCCATCCCTACGCGGAAGCAGGTCAGACGGCCCTTTGGCCCCTCATTCAGTGGCACGGACTTTCACGAGAAAAGCCGTTGTCTACACCGTCTCCACGGTCTCCCTTATCGGGACCCACCTCGGTCTATTCTGCCCAGGCTGTCGGTCCACACTGGGCCCGGGGTGGGATTTTTCTTTGTATCTAATTTATCTTAGTTGTTAGAGTCTATTGTAAGGGGCCCCGTTTGACGGGGGCCCTTTTACAACTTCGTTTAACGCGTAAGGGTCTGGTCCCTACCCATGCCCAGCTTTCTGGGCCGGGCATAGGTAGGGGGTCTTTTCGCGGGGGTTGCCCCCTACGGGTTCTTTGGCGATTGAATGTGTTGGTTCTATCTAGTCTATGTTGTCTACGGTCTACTGCTCGCACGGGGTCTCTCTTGGTGCCTTAAGCACCTCACACCTTCCTATAAGATCCTATCCACCGACTGGCCCCAGACTTTGGTGAACCCCGCCCGGTTCTTTGCGCGAAAGTCGCTCCTTACGGGGTTGAAGATCAACGCCCGGTCCATCATGATTCTTGTTTGGATGGCCCCACGGTACACTTGAACTGCCCCCCGTGCCGTGAAGTTCTCTTCTCGGAATTGGTTATTGAGGTAGAGCTTCCAAATCTGCCACACCGCCTCCGAGTAGAGTGTGTGCCATCTCGCCTTGTCGTGTCGATTCGTCAACCCCGGCGGGCCGATCGCCATAAACCCCAACAATTCCTCTCGGGTTGTCGGGATTGGGGCATTGTATGGTCCTCGCCGCCGAGATCGTGTTGCCGAGAGGTGAATCTCCCGCATTTCCTGCCAGACCGCCTTGGCAATGTCGCACTCTATCCACAGGTGAGTGATGGTCTGTTCGTGGCCGTCCAGTGGGCATGTGTCCACGCCCTCTTCCCCTGTCCATAACAATTTGGCACCCGTGAGTACCTTGTCGAGTAGCAGCCGGTAGAGGAGGTCGTTTGTTTTCGGCAAACGGTTCCTCTTGAGCACCGCATTCCATATCTCTGATGCCCGTACGGCTCTCCGCAGGGCCCTCGACATTGTCAGGACAATCCCCTCGATTCTGTCGTCCAGGGTGCAGTCTCCCCGTTCGTGTCTGATGAGTGCCTTGTACACCCATGGGTAGTACAGCGCGTCGAGTTTGCGCCCGACTTCTGTACCGTCTGCCCGAGCCGAACTCATTTGACAGTGTTGGAATGCTTTCCTCGTCCGTGTCCAGTTTTGTCGTTCGTGGATCGGGGCAGTTTCCACAAGTTGGGTCCACGCCCGTGGCAGGCCGCCGATGAGTGTGCGCAGCGTTCGTGCAATGCGGCGCCTCTCCTGCCCTTGTAGTCCCTCTGGCATCTTGGGCTCCATTGTCACGGGGTCCAAGATGTCCCCGACCCGGTCTATGTCTCCGAAGGCCCCATCCGCTATTTCTTTCCAGGTGTCTGTGGACCAGGTTGCCGTCCCCCGAGTCTGGAGGTTGCCCCCCTCGAATAGTCTCGGGAAGTACCAAAAGGTCGTATTCAGTACTTCGTTCGCCGTTCTCGGCATGACGAACGAGATTGGCGCCTGGTCGAACCTGCCGGGGTACTCTAAGCATTCCCACCATGTGTCCCAGATGTGACGGAGGCTCGGCGTGCGGGCCACGTTCTGCTTCTGCACGTTCAGCACCCGTTTCCATGGTGTCGTCACTTTGGTCAGGTTAACGCCTTCGGACCTTGTGTCCCTGGCCATTAAGTGAGTCGCCAGTTGTACCCATGGCAGGTTCGGTTGTCTTTCCATCCGCGCGACCCATTGGATCGCCGAGGCGCGGACGATTTGTCTGACGTCTTGTAAGTTCAGGCCGCCCCTGTTAACCGGCAGTGTCCCCTCTCGAGGACCCCAGGCCGGGCTGTCTGCCGCCCCACGCGAGTTTTTGTTGTAGTTGCTCAAACTTTTTCTGGATGCCTCTGTTGAGGCTCAGGTAGAAGATGCCGTACCGCGGTACGGACATGAGCATGGTCTGGGCGACCCGTACTCGGGCTCGTTGGGACATTCGTAGTCCCAGCCACCGTGTCACCTTCGCCTCAAGGTCTTCGATCATGTCTGCCCAGAATGTCTTGATGTCGTCGGCGATTTCCACTCCGACCGGGATGCCTAGGTATTTATAAATCTGGCCCCGTCGCAAGACTTCCATCCCCTCCGGCAGTCCCTCGAGATCCGTATCCCCAATGACCAGCGCTTTGGACTTGTTCCAGTTCACCTGTGTACCTGAAGCCCGCTTCCACGTGGCGAGACTTTGAGTTCTGTCTAACATATGTACCGGAACTCATCTTTCGTAGGGTCGCCGTCTTCTAATGGATGTGATTCTACTGATGTAGCCAGACGAAGGATGAGGTCAATACCTGATTGTGGTGTTTCAGCTGATAGTGCAATATGCATGACTTCAGTGCTCAGGAATAGTGGAAATCGATTGCTGATTTTTGTGCAAGCCTGTCCGTGGCCTGTGGTGAGCGTGTTGTAGTGGCAGATAACCCAGTTCAAGTTGAAGATCGATCGGGCGGCGAGCCGACTCGAGGATTTTTCATTGCAGAGGCTCCGAGAGCCAAAGTTTCGACTGCCTGCCATAGGCTGACAGAAATAGAAAGAATTGGCTGTTGAGAGGGTGACGTGAGTTTGTCCAGGAGTATCACCTTGGGAGAAACTTCATAACTCGCAATAGCTCTCGTTCGTTCTTCCTTCGATTGATGTAGGTATTGACAGCACTCTCTTGACCAAGGACTCCATGAAACTTTGTATTTTGTCCATGTTACTGCCTGGCATATCCACAAGGAAGGAAGTTCGCGTTTTCGACCCTTGCTAAAGTTCAACATCTCCTTGGGCTTGTTTCTCTTGATCGAGCGCTTTCACTTTCCGGCTTCCGTTGGTAAATCGTCACCTGTAGTAGGCTCTTTGCAAATGCTGTCAGGCAATTGGCGGACAGATATTGACATTGTCCTCGTGTGCTATTTGAGGGCTTGACTGCAGCTCTCTTAGGGAATCCCATAGCTAACGAACAATCGTGGATGGCAGGGCGTGCACTCGTAATTCCATATATATATATATTCTAGGATCTTCGTTCTTCTGGGCCTGGAGAAATTGAGCTGTGGCTTCGTCTTTGGCGGGCCGTTCGACTAACTGAACTGTCGGCAGTGTATTCTCCGCGAATCTTTGATTATATGAATCAGATCCGAGAAGCGCGTCTCTTAGTATTGTGACGAGAAGATGTGAACCGCTTGTCAGTGGCGTCCAAAACGCTATGAACGCGTGAGTTGGAAGGGATTTCGCCGCGGCTTCTTATACGAACAGGATGACCGCGAGGGCTCTCAATGTCCTGTCTGCCGTCAATGTCTTTATGGGTCAAGTATTGCGACCGAATTGACACAGATACACCGGCTTGTGAGGACTGATAATCTTCAAGGTCAATCAGTACCATTTGGGCTGGTTGATGTCGAGATTGCGACAACATTTGAGTTAGTTTGAGCTCGCCCTCTGATGTTCCCGTGGCGGCTCTGCGGCAACTGGATCGATGAGGCTGCAGAGTAGGGGGTTGAGGGATGTGGGGAAGACCGCTTTGTGATCCAGGCCAGAAATGAACGATATGGTGATAATGCAAAAGGCCATAAAACATTCTCAGAAGGGCATTTGCGGAGGAAATTTTCGTGTAGTCCAATGACGTACAGATCTGAAGAGGCGATTCACGACTCCAGGGATGTGCGTTCCGAAATGCTGGGCCGTCGAGCTTTTGACTTGAGATGAGCTTGCTCGTACTCATTTTCGATCATTTGCTTCCTGGTTATGTCGGTCTCTCTGTTCGAGTTCGCCAATTGGTAAGCTTCTCGTAGATATGGAGCCGCTGAACCCAGACAGGCTTGAACTTCGTTGTTGACTATCCACTTGCTTTGGCGGCTCTTAGGTAACGCGGTCTCTGGCATCCGACAATTCACGCCTCTAATGGAATGCCTTGCACTTCAGAGTGTTCTCCAACGCGGCCGGCGTTTGGTCAAGCGGAGTGGTCTGATGATCATCCCCGTGCCATGTCAGATTCCCGAATCACCAATGTCCTTCGCTGACTACACAGGATTTTCTTCCTGCCCTCACTTCTGCTGAGTCTGAGATATTCACAACTTTTGGAACTTGGTCGGTTGCCACCTTGATCGACGCAGCAGCCGGAGAGAAATTTGGTCATATCGAGTGGCTTTCGAGTGGCAGAGTCGTTGTCAACCAAAGGATGTCGTTGTTTTTGGTTGTGTCGTTTCAACGATGATCTATTTGTACTGGTGGACATCAGATGAACTGGCGGCAGCCTGGGTGGATCGTCATTGGGGTTTGGCAGGTTGCAGTGTCGGAAAGTATGGAGAAACGTGAGTGTGTCGACACTGGGATTGTGGCTACCTTGATCGAGACAGTGACTAGTTCACCAGCCGTTCCTGGGGAGGGCCAACAGAGAATGGAGTTTGACAAGTAGGTTGACATATTCTTTGGCAATATTGAGCATCCCCAAACCGGTATCGTTTGAGCATGGCAGAATGAAGGGGCTGCCCTGAAAATGTCTCTCATGATTGTCGATATGTATATTCCAGAACCAAGATGAATGTGTGTGCCGTCAAAAGCCAATGCAGGTATCCCTACAGAGACAGGGCAGGGCCACGGTGCAAGCACTGGAACGGATACCTCTGCAGCGTGGTTGATGCTCCTCTTGATGGAAGGACGTTTAATTTAAGCCTCTGTAAACATGCCCTGTCGCAGACCAGCCTGTGTATTCAACGTCTTGGCACCGAGATTGGCATTTGATCTCGCATATGATGTGGGATAACCGCATTCAGCACAGTATTGATGGACTGGTCGAACCAGATCAGAAAATAGAGCATTTGGGCTTCGGGTTTTGCAGCTATAGAGAGGAGGAAAACTGGAACGGGACATTGTGCATATCTGAAGAGCCACGGATCAAGCAGAGTAAGAGAGGATTAGGAAAGTATTTTGCAGTGGGGATTTCAACGGTCTTTTCTTGCTTTCCTCGATAACACTATATTCAATCAAAATACTCTTTGATTGAGGACAAGTGCTATCGGGTTGTACTTCGCCCAAACTACACAGAGGACGGGGTCTGTCACAGGATTTCGTCGAAGAGAACTCTTGCCTCTTCCATGTCATTCGAGACGAGGCACCCACCCTTCCGAAGCTCATTCCATCAATGCCAGCTTAATCAAACTTATCCGCATCTCTCTGCCCATCCATATGAACATAATCAAATTTTCATGTTCAGTACTGTAGAAAGAGAAAGCTTTATCAGACAGCACGCCAGCCCTGTTGTTGAAAAATCGTTGCGTAGCTTCCGCAATGTTTAGCAAGAAAAGTGAGAGGCTCAACATGCCTGGTTTCATATGGTTTTGCGTGGAGTGACAAGAGTGTTTTCATGATTGACTTGAGGTGAGAAAAGGTACGGCGGTCGCTTGACCTCCTTCCGTGAAATTTCGTAAAGCTGCGCAATCAGCAAGAGTAGTTCCAACAAGGCCAAGTCACATAATTCATCAGCGCTTCCAACGCCTAGGCGCTGTTCATAAAGCCATAAATGGATAGATTCCACGTTCAATCATTTCTCTGCCTTCTCTTTCGATCGCCAGAAAAGCATGAGCTTGCTCAGTCTGTTCGATTTCTTTCTGATCTGGTCGTCCACAGCGTTATTGTCTGGAATGCTTTCAAACTTGAGTTTGCTGCCGTGAGACGATCCCGGAATGAACCGGTTGAGACTGGCCAAGCTCGAACGTTTCCACGCCTGCTGACTGTTCGATCTGGAAGTAGATGGGTCGATCATGGATGCCGAACGTTGCTCGACAGAAGATCTTGTACCTGCACTACTGGAGAATCTCGGCACGGCACCGGTAGAAATGCTGTCACTTAGTGACGGAAGATCGTCGTTGGATGCGCGAAGAATCAGGTCAGGGCTTGGCTCCCCTAGCAGTCGAGACGGCCGGGAGAGAGCTTCGAAGGAAATATGATCAGCATCGGGAGAAGACATCATCGAAGCTGAAGTTGTGCGTCCGTCTGTAGACGAAGCGTAATGGGACTGGGGTGCCGGATATGCGAAAGCCATTGGTGAAGACATTGGTCGCTTTCGAGGTTCGAAATCCTGAAATACCGGCGCCTCGATCGTTGAGTTGGAGGATCTCGCATCGACCCGGGCAAGGTCATCATCCGAGTCGACAATAATGACCCCGTCGCTTGAGCTGTCACGAATGAATAAACCGAGGCCGTCTGCAACTTTGGCATTGGGAGATCCCGACGGGAGCGAGGCAGAAAATTCTTCCTGACTCCGACCGTCCACAGGGGTGGTTTGTGCGGCATTTTCTTCCGCCAGAAAATTGTCTTCCTCTTCTTCGTCGAAGACATCTTCAGAAAGCGAAGCGTTACTGCCAATGTGATGCAAGCCGAAGATGTTGCGATTGACTGCAGGCATGATTGGTGCTGATTCAGTCCTCCTATGGATCGTACCAAAAGCATCCATTGGTCCTCTGCGTTCACTGCTGTGAAGTTTTGCCAACTTTGAAGCTTGTTTGGCATTGCTTTCTTGACCGAACTTCTCTTCGCTTCCAAAAGGTCCCAGAGCGGCGTCCAGATCGATGGTTGGACTGGTAATCTGTTCTTCGTGGTGACTTGACCTCCAATCTTCCAATGTTGCAAAAGTCTCTGCACCAGGTCGAACCCTAGTCGCGACGGGCGAGGGATTGCGAATCACGATCGTGTCGTCTGCATCAAAGATCTCGTTTAGCTGGTCACTGGGAGTCCTTGTGAGCGGTGGTGGTGCTGGACGATCTTGTGGTTTGGGCTTGTTGGATCGCTTCTCTGATTTTCTGGAGAAGATTCCTGAGGTCCAGGTATGATATTTTCGCTTCTTCGAGATGGATTCTCCTGAAGAAGTTCGAGGTCTGAGTTCGTTCCTTGAGCCATGCAAAGTGGAGGTGGGAGACACAAAAACATCCATGGGATCCCCCCGCTCACCTTTGGGAGTGGTTGAAGGTGAGCTAGTGGCGGAGTGATTGAACCAAAAGTATTTCTTCTTGTTAGGAGGACTGCATGAGCTCAACGTTCCAGGTGACCCAGAAGCGGATAGAGGACGTTTCGGCAGATTGATCAGAGACAGATTCTTTGTCTTATCGGATGCCATTCCTGGGGACAGCGTAGAAAGTGCGTCTGCCGTTTGTGGTCTCTCTGGCGAAGTCGTCGTATCGTGTGACGCGCTAACAACGAACGTTGGGCGCGGTACGGGACTGGCGATGGAATTGATGCTGCCAGACAAGGAATGCCCTCCCCGAACAGTTGAGTTACTACCTTCGGTCTCGGAGGATATCATGGACAACGGTCTGGGTATGACATCGACATGATCGGAAAAGCCCACGCGAGGTCGGATTCCAGGGACACTACCCCTGCGGCGAGGAGATGATGGCGGTGTCTTGACCACGCTTGACATTGACTGTCGGATATGCGGACTAGCACGAGAGAATGCAAATGCCTGTGCACTGTCTGATGGAGTGGTTGGTGTCGAACCCGCGCGCGCCTTCGCCACAGCATTTGCCTTGATCAGCTCAGACGTGTCGATGTCAGAGATTGAAACAGCTTGCGAACGGCGATGGGCGTGACCTCTTGCTCCAGATATTGGCGGGTGAGGGCGATACTCTGGCTTTTCAGGGCTTGTGCTGACCAACTGGGGTCCATCAGTCCCACCTCCACCCACAAATTCACTTCCGCCTCTTCGATGACCACCACGAGAAGGTTGTTGGGCATCAACAAAGCTCGCTTTCGTTGGACTGGGAGAGGTCTGCGAAGGTGTCGCGGTCGGAGCAAAGGTGAATGCGGGCAAAGGAGCCGGTTTGGCAGAACGAACAGCACGCTGCTTGTTGAGGGCCATCTCTTGAAGAACGGGATGAGTCGGGCTTGGACCTCTCTCGGGTGGTAGACTGGCGCCTGGGTTGAACTTGAAGTCAGGTAGCGGAGGAGGCCTCGCAGAGCGACGGCCGACCTCAGCAGTCATGCCGGTGGCACGCTGGGTGGGCGAATCCATTCCATCTAAATCTGTAGCATTCTCATCCGCACCAGGATTGAAGGAGAAGATCGGTAGAGGAGAAAGAGCATTTGGGTTTCGAGAAGGTCGTCTTCGGTGGGCTTGAGGCGATCGCGGAGGAGAACCGGGCGTTGAGTCGAAGGGTGACAATGCTGGTACCGGAGCAGGTAAGGAGATGGAAGTCATAGCTCAATCTTGACAGGGCAACCACCCAACAATACTAAGATGCGCGGTCTGGCCAGCAGGAAGGTGCAAGGTAGGGAAAGTCAAAGGCGTCCGGACACCTGCGGAGGTTGTGGATGTAGATGCTGCTTGGCTGCAAAGGAAAGACTGCCACCATCAGAGAGTTGGGGAGGCGATTAACGCTGCAAGAGTATGCGTGTGAAATGAATGACTTGTACAAAGGTATCTGAGAGAGTGAGAAGTTCAGCGTCGAGTTGTGTGCAGTCGTGGGTAGTACCTGAAAACCAAGTCTCGAGCACAACTTCGAAGGGTCGCAGTTGAATTGAAATTGGAGATCGATCGACGGAAGGGATGGGAAATTGGTGCTGCTGTTCAAATGAAGGAGTGGACGGCTACCTGGAAGAAAGATCGGTGAGAGATCTTCCTTCGAACAGGAGCCACGAGGCTGATGAGGCCCTTTGAGAGAGCGGGAGGGCAGAGTGTGAGGGAGGAAGAGAGTGTGATGAGGTACGGGTGCGAAAAGAGGACGGGAGATGGGAGATGGGAAGTGGTGGAATTGAAGGGGATGGAGGTGAGTTACGTGTGGCCAGCTGCGCACATTGGACTGTGCGCGGTGGTCCACCGGGAAACTGGGTCGCTAGGCCAGTCAGGTCAAGTGCCCTGGCTGGCTGCTGGAGGACAATTGGGCTTAGGCGTAGATTTGGGGCCTGGTCAAGCGAGCTTTTGGTGGCTTCAGTGGCCGTAGCGGCCGGTTACCAGTCCCTTTCCAGCCTGGGTCCTTGCTTGCTTACGGCTATGGTGGACGAACTCCTCTGCCAACAGACTGACTAGGTGGTAACAAGGAAAATGAGGTTTGATGCAGCTACATTAAGGACCCAAGACTGGAAATGTCGTAACACGATCGCAAACAGTCTGACGCATCTATTATTCTGGTGGAGAAAATCTCTACAAGGGCTTCCATACGAGTATGGAGGTGGCGGCTGAGCTCGTCTATCTGATGGTGCCGCAAAGCCCCCTGCGCCCTTCATCCTCGAAGTCCCCAGATGCACAGAGGGAGCGAAACACGACGCACACCCACATACCCAACTTCACAATCACCTTGGCCGCCTGCCCGAAATAGTAATGCTGAGGTGTGTGCTCGATCGCCTGTCCTAGATGTCGACCGCTTCATGAGTTGGCAGGCAAGACTTGAACGAGCCCATGAAAGGAGAAATCCCCTGCCCGTACGGCCCGTCAAATGAGCCCAATCTTTACGAGATTGCCGGCCCTTGCGCTGCTATTCCAGCCTCGGACCTTGCTGTCTCGTCCTGGGTAACTTGTCGTTCTACCTGCATGTTGACTGAGTGTTGCGATGCATAGGACTTGTGTCTGCCGCAAACTGCCAGCTGTCAGCTTGTTCCGGAGTTGGATCCTCCATCCCTTCGCTTCTTGGGGGAAGCTGAAAGATCTTCTTGGATCGGCGCAAAACCAGAGCAGAGTGGCCCCTGCTTCTCACGCTACGAGTACTAGTACCACGCACCTGTTCCTGAGCGGAGTCCAAGCTCCTGCGCTTATGCAGGAACTCTCAACCCCGGATCCAAGTCACTGGCCAACAAGGGAACAAAGGCTTCCCATCTGGACAGGTCCATCGATGCGCCATCGTCGTCTCCCACTGGCCAAGTCATCCCGTACCTCAATGTCTTCTTCGCCGGGTACAGCCGTCGAATCGGCTCGACCGGCTCACGATCCTGCACCGTTCACAGAAAGTCTCTGGGTGTCGGAAAAGCTCGCAAAGGATGCAAATCCCCAAGGACGCACACTGAAACTCGCTTGATGCCGTCTCCTCGACAACATTCAGGATCTCGGTTGCTGGTGGATAACAGATAAGGCATCACTTCATCAATGAAACCCCACACAGATGCCCTCGTGCTTCACCGACTTCAGAATGTGTGTGGGAACTCTGGGGCTAGCCCAAGCTGACCGCCAAAGCTGAAATCCTGACAACCAATGAATCCCAAAAATGGTCCTGAACCACATCTTCCTTGGAGCTAACGCGAACCACTCGGCAAACGCCTGGTAGAAGAGTGTGGTTTGTATGTGCGGTCGGTAGGCCCAGCTACCTTAGGCACGGAAGCATCCTGCAAGGGCATGTACTGTGTGATGAGAAAGGGGACAAAGCAGGAGGACCAAAATTCTCTTGCATGCATCTCCTGCGGGCCCGAAAACCGCGTTCGGACCTTCGAGTGCGTTATTATTCGCGCGGCGCACTCTGGGTCAAATAATTCGTCGTTCATCCTGCTTAACCTCCAAGCAACAAAATCGCCTCGTGCCTAACCCGATCCGTACTTCCAAATACAGCCCCCCTTCCCGATGACACCCAAAAAGTTGGCGCTATCGAGGCAGGCTTTTTTCTTTTTCTTTACGTGAATCCAGAATACCCAACATCGGAGAGGAGCCAGTCCCCTCGCCGCATGCCAGCATATCTGGCAGGTCTTGGGGACACAAGAGGGCCATTCAATCTCGGATTTTTCTCCGAAGGCCAGCCTGAATTGTGCGACGGGTGCATGATTTCTGCGGCAGCACAGCATTTCTCGAAAACCCTGCCGAGTATCAGTGGCCCCTTGCCCTCCCAGCATCCATATCTCTGGTGCACGAACCGATACAATGGCGCCTGCAAGGAAACACAAAGACGCAGAAAGTCGGACACGTCAGACTTCGCAACCACGCGGTCGCGGCGGGGCGAGTAGCAGCACTGGTATAACAGTGCAACAACGTCCTGAACCCTGTGGCTTGATTTTACCGGTCGAATTGCAACAGCTGATTCTGGACGCTTTTCGTCGGGCATTTCCATTCAACCACGACCAAGTCGAGTTGGACGCCACCATCCAGGAGGTCAAAGGCCACCTGTTCCGGCGTGACTTTGTTCGTGCATTCGCCAAGCCAGAGTACCTTGAGGCATATGCACTCAGGTGGAGTGCCAGCCGTGCCCTAGGGTACACGAGCATTTTCCTGCACGACGATTTGCAAAGAGTATGGGATGGGCTCGCCGAAACTGCGACCACGGCTCCGGACACGAACGCGAGTCTGTCGTCGACAGGAGCACATCTTTCACGTGCGACCGGCGCTTGTAGCGTAGTTTGCATTGGAGGTGGCGGAGGCGCAGAGGTGGCTGCATGTGCGGCCACAGCACGAACACGCCAACTAACATCAGGCAGACTGGTTGTTCATGTTGTCGATATTGCAGACTGGTCAGCTTGCCTTTCGAAAATAGAGGCCGCACTGTGCACGCCGCCGCCGTTGTCAACTTATGCAGCTGAGAGCGCCAAAGCGGCGAATAAACCCTTCACAACAAGTGATGACTTCTCCGTCCGATTCTCTCAGCATGACATCCTCGCCATCGATGAGGCTGATTTGCAGAACAACACCGTGGCTGAGGCAGATCTCTGTACAATCATGTTCACGTTAAACGAGCTCTTCACGGCCTCCATCGCACGCACGACAGCATTTCTTCTGGCGCTTACAGATGCCATGTCGCCAGGCTCGTGGCTCCTGGTGGTGGATAGCCCGGGGAGCTACTCTGAAGTGAAAGTGGGATCTGGATCCAGTGCTATCCAGGGACGAGGAGAAGAGGACGGGAACGCGAACAACAAGACAAGGCGGTACCCAATGAAATGGTTGCTGGATCACACGCTTTTGGAAGTTGCTGGCAAGGAAGAAGACTGCAACCGCAAGTGGAGGATGTATGTCTCTGAAGACTCCAGGTGGTTCAGGTTGAGTCAGCTGCAGCCGCTGAAGTACCCCGTGGAGCTGGAGAATATGAGGTATCAGATTCATCTCTATCAGCGAATACAGCCGGGGAAAGGAACTGGCTAATACCTATCGCTGGCCAAGCACAAGGAACGGGGCTTGCAGTTTCTATTTTGCTGACATTGGGCTATGGCGGGAAGTTTTCTATCACTGTATGAAACAAGGAGAAGTATCATTGGTGACTTGCCGAGACGATGCTTGACATGATGACGCCCAAATGGAAGCCATTGACCTCTCTTTATCGTCTCGGGGAGCGAGGCAAGGCAGAAGTGCAGGCTCAATATCAGAGCCCTTCTGATTCGACTTCAGGGGCATATTGAGACATCACCGCCCATGCTCCTGGTCTGAGGTGTCGATCAATGATGCATACACTCTCTGGCCTGTCATGACTCCTTCCACCTCAGATGTTGGGAATTTTGACAGCATGACGATACCTTGTGCGGCTCGCTGTGCATCAGGTCATCTGATTTAATCCTCATCCTCATCACCCTCGTCGTTAACGACGTTGAAGAAACGCAACTCGTAGACGCCCTTGGATGTCGAGACCACGCGGAGCCAATCCCGGAGTTGTTGCTTCTTGAGGAATTTCTTGGTCCTAATTGAGCGTCACGCAATTCTCGTTAGCGTTGACCGTTCCAAATGCATGGGTGTCTGTAGGGGTGCAAGGAGCACCACACAATATCCATTTCCCTTCAGCGCACAGCATCGCATGCTTCGAGGCCATGGATTTGTCGAGCACTCCTTTGTTCTGCATGATCATATGAACAGAGGGGAAGATGCCGGGGTGGATTGTGTTGGGCAAGACTCGTTTTTTCTTTTCCTTACAGGTACTTCAAATAGCGGCCGGAGAAAGGGATGTGGGTGATGACCTCGATCTTGCCGTCGCCGACTTGGCTGATCGCAACATTGTCGCCCAAGTTGCCAGTGCGGCCTTCGACCTTGATGCGTTCGTGCAGGAACTTTTCGAAAGCGGAGAGGTCGAAGATCTTGTCGGACACGGGCTGGGAGCAGTTGATCGTGTACTATTCCGGTCATGGACATCAGCAAGGCGTTCCCATATCATCGTTTGACACGGGGACAACGTTGGTCGCATAAAATCTGACAATGCATGCGCATGCGCGCATGCATGACTGTGTGGATGTGGGTGTTGGTGTTCATGTTGCGTACCTTGTTCGTGACCTTTCCACCCTTCGCGCCAGCTTTGCCCTTCATCGCGGCCTTCTGAGCGGTACCACGAGCCTATATTCCAAAACACCTTCCCCCAAAACAGGGGGAAGAGAAAAACCTTAGCCTACTGCACCCCATCGAGGACATGAGGACCAGCAAAGCGATTCGGTTGGATCGGTCGAATTGACTGACCGCGCGTGCAGCCCGGCGGTATGGAGACTTACTTTCACGGATGGTGCCATTTCTTTATTCCTCTTTGGTGCAGTCGGAGGTCGCAAAGAGATCAATATCCTGCGCCTTTGGAAGTGATGCAGCGGTTGATGTGAGAGGAAATTTGGGTGCGGTGCTCCTTCAGAAACACAGGCCACAAAGAGAAATTTCGGGTTTGTGGATTGAAAATTCGCATTACCTTCCCTTCCCGGATGCAGATCTTGGCATACCACCTCCTTCGATCGCTTCAAGCAGCCCCCACTGGGGTTCGCCTACCCTGGAGGCAGAAATAAATTATTACGAGCGGCTTGTAACCCGAGTCTGAAGATCTTAGTACAGTGCACATACTCTCAATGTATTCGCTCTCTCTGACAATAGGAATATCATTTGCATAACGGTTTCAAGTTGAATCACGAAGTACAAGGCTCGACGGTCGCAGAGGACGCGCACACAATCACACAGTATCAACTGGCCAACCGTCCATTATCGTTGCTAGCCAGAAACCCCGTCTTTCACTCCTTGTTGCTCCTGTCTGCGCCATTGCCATTTCATGCTGAGTCCAATTCATGCGGTCAAGAGAATACACAATATTTTCATGCTCTGCCCGAGGTTGCACCATAACCACACCATTCGTAACACTCCAAATGTGAATGTACATGTCTCCTGTCGGAATGAGTGACTCCATAATTCGCCGATGCCTCTCTTTTGTGGCCGTTGTCGGTCTTCAGTAAGTACGTGACTATCCAGCACCATGTCGTTGCAGTTTGGTCATAACGAAATGCTCAGCTGGTCGTGAAATTCGCAACACTACCGCTTCACACCAACTGGTCCGTGACTGGCACTGCCAACACGTCCACTTGTCTTTCTGACCTTCATCTTATCCTCGACTCCATTGCGGCGTGGTGACTCCCTAAGCGACCGGGTCTTTGAAACACCCATGGCCCCCATTCCACTGGCAGACCGTGGAGTCTTTGGTCGAGCGGCTCCATTCTGGCCTTTCTCAGTCATGGTGCTGAGCTTGAGATTCTCTTGTTCCTGAGCGAGCTCGTCCCAAATGGCGTTCGTGTCCTCTATTTGGAAATTAATGTCGCCATCGTCCTCGTAGATGCCCATCGTATCGCCTACGTCGAAGGTCTTGGTCATGGTTGTCGTTGTGGTTGTGTACGAAACGCTGCGAGCTTTACCTTTACTGCCGGGGCTCTTGCTTTGACTTCGGCGCGATGCCGCTCGTTGTAAAATGAGCTCCTCTTCGCTTTCCGCGCCATTGGTACTGAGTCGATGTGTCTCGACAGTCGCAACTTCACTCTCAGACTTGTTGCCATTGACGCGCATGGCGCCAGAAGTCGAGCGAGCATAGGGGTGGCTTCGAGGATCCATTCGAGCATACTTTCGAGGTTGACCTGGCGTTGGGGCTGGCAGGTTTTCGTCCTGATAAGCTCCAGCATTCGAGACGTCATTGCCATCGATTTCACCTAGAGCAGTTCTTTGGGCGCTCGATCGTTCAGGAGTCGCAGCCTGTGCTCCGCTGGAAAGACGCATTGGTGTCTTCGCCGACATGATGCGAGGCGTCGAGGGTTTGTTCAGCTCCATCTTTGCCTTCCACTGATCCTCCAAATACCATTCTCGGAACTGTCCCTGATTGAGATGCAGCCAGTGTTGCTGTGGTCCAACCACCATTCCAGGACGCATGAATCGCATGAAAGAGATGACTTCGTTTGCGGTGAAGCCATGGCGATAGATCAAATAGGCTCCGATCAAGCACCCAGTTCTGCCGAGACCGGCCTTGCAGTGGACGGCGATGGCTTTGCTCTTTGCAATGCTGTCGTGGGCCAGCTTGATGAACTTTCGGACAATGGGAAGGGCGGGACAGGTCCCATCTTCAAAGATCATATCAATGTGTTGAATGCCGAGAGCAGTAAAATATGTTGGACAGTAGAGCTCCGAGTTGAGTCGCACAACCAAACCAACGTCACGTTGGACGAAATGGGCAAGGACGTTCTTGAAGGGTTGGGGTATTCTGGCACGTTGAATTTCTGGGATGCAAGATGGCAGTGTCGCATAGGCCGGAGATGAGATGGGGATTGGTACTGTTGGCTCAGATTGAGGAGATGCAAAGGCAACAAATTGTGGACAAATCCAGTTGAAATCTCCCTGATCAACTCGTTCGAATCGTTCGTACCTATCCATGTTAGCAATATCCCTCAGAAAGAGAGGACTCACATACTCTTCAAGATTGAACTCCTTGAGCTGACACAAATTTTCTTCCTTGGCCTTCCAGACGCCGTACACAACATCCTGGATGTTGAGAATGAAGTCTGCCTGACTGTACCCTGCGTCTCTGAAGGGCATGTATGGAGGATCAGCTTGGGCGATGGGCGCAAGCGCAAGATGAGGAGGCCACGCTTGGATCAGGACCATATAGCATGCGACAAGACACGCAGCATTTGCTCGGCTCCTCGCATCAGCTCTGCTCCAAAATACGACGGCTTTGTCGTTGTTCGCTGGGTCACCCAGGATTTCATGGAATTGGACGGCGAACCTATAGAGGTGGCCAATGTGCAAGGGACCGAAGTCGGCGTGGAAAGCATTGTACAGAAGAGTGTCGTCGATGGTGAAGTAGACTGGAGGTGGCCGTAGAACGGTAAGAGTGGGACCCGACTGCGCTTTGGAGGATTTCTTTTGCGGCGATTTCTTTGCCTGCGCGGGATACGGGAAAGGAGTATGCTCGTTGGGTGCTTGAGTGTAGGACGCGAGGTAGAGGCGATCTGTGGTGGAGAGAAATGTCAATGATGCGCATCGCAATGAGGGGCATTGTTTTGTTTCAGGTGTATTTACCTTGGATGTATTCGATGACCTGGCCGTAACTGGCAGGATGCACCAGCGAGGGCGCCATCACTGCTCACAGCTGAGAAGGGATCGCCGTCAACGGAATGATTGGATTTCGCACAGGTATTCAGTGTCGCAGATGGCAAGCGTAGACAAGCTTGGGCGCTCGATGCCCGAAAGAGGAGACGCTGTCAACAGTTCTGGGAAGATAGGAATGTCTCTAACTTTGCAGCATATCACGACGCAAAGGTCGTAGCAAAGATACAGCTAAGCAGCGTGAATGCGATGGGATGTAGACGAAGAGGGCGACAGAGGGTAAAGATGTGGTGCTTGGTAAGAGGAAGCAATGGCGATGTATTTGAGAGATGCGAAATCCGGGCACGTATGGGTAATGAATGAAACGGGGAAGGGGTCGCAGCCCCAAGGTTCCAAGGTCCCCGTCGTCATGTTTACTTTGCGCCCCTGCATCATGGTTTCCCAGCAACCGCTTATCGGGTTTCAAAAAGGATCTTCCTTCACCCACACATCACCGCAACTCGTACTTCGCCATAGCAGCAGCCATTCCTACCTTGGTATGTACCCGCACCCACACATCGATTCAATAACTCCCTGAGTGATGTCTGGCTGATCTTCAGCCTCGCTCAAACTGGCTGGACTGTCTCGGGCTGCTCAGCCTCGCCAGATGCATCGCAGGGCCCTTTTTCGATCTCAGTCGACATGGCTTTGGACACTTCGCAGTCCGACTTTCCATGCTCATTGTGCGTCGCGATGTCCCTTCCCGGTCCTTTTGTGCAAGCACTGACACTCCCTGGCAGAGTCATCCATATCCCTCTCCTAAACCATCGCCTCGCCTCCATCGCCATGCGCGCTCTACAAGTCGATGCTGAGTTGTCCCCGCTGGTTCGTCGAGAGTTCACTTTGGTCACCCCGGGGGCTGTCAATGGTCATATAGTATTGGGTGACGATGGATTACAAGACGCCCACAAAACGGTTCTTCGTACCCAGTATAACGCAATTACCAATCGCATGCTCCGAGTCGCTGTGAATGGCTTCATGGAGTCATTGGGCGTTGTTCTTCAGGTGATGGGAGAATTGGATGTGGATATTCCTCAGTCAAGGTCATAATCCTCACCAATAACACGCCCGGCATGTGTTTGGCCTCTGAACATGTGTTCAGTTTAAAACGATGGTCATATCCGTGGTTGACTCTGGGGCCGAAGTGGTGACGTGAGAACATCACATGGACGCTCGTGCTTTCAGCAATATAGATGCCAGCTAAGTAATGTCTCAGTACTCTCTTGCGTGGCGTCGAGACTCTGAGTCATTGCAAGCTAGCTTAATGACGCCCATTCCGGGGCCAAGTCAAGCTTTGATGACATAAATTGTCATGGTTGAGAACCCGACCGACATCTTCCCTTCTGCAGTTGAGTTCTCCTGTTCTGTCTCTCACATCTACTCTTTTTCTTTGGAACGGGGCTGTCGAACACTTCCCACGCCGCGAATGATGAAGCGAGCATTTGGCACATCACATCGCGTCCGCGAAATCGCTGATGGTTTCAGCCTGGTTGACATTGAGCCGTTGGTGCCGAGAGCAGCACCTCCGTAAGAGACCATGCCGAAGTAATCCGGTAAGAAGATCACTCCTGCGTTGGTGACATTTGGGCCCTCTAGCATGCCGTCCTGGGAATCGGGGTCCGTGGCAGTGCCTAGTACGACTGTCGTACCGTCTTCTGTGGGAAGGAAAGGCGCCGGCTTGGAAAGGGATGCCCTGGAGGTGTCCTTGCACGTAAGATCCGCGGAACAAACGAGGAACTCGACCGTACTGCCTGTCGGGACTATACCGCGCGAGCTCAGCTCATGCAAAACGTTTTGGTCGTTATCGAAATCGGGGAACGCCAAGGACGGTGCAACTTCAGTGGTCTCAAAACCCACGGCTGCTTCCAGTGATAGGAGGCCCTGTCTCTTTCCCCAACCTCCTCCGCCGCCCGACACTTTGAAGAGCTGTGCACCGTGCCATAGAGACTTCAGTGAACCCGATCCATGAATATCGTTGTTCCCGTCGGGACCCTCTTCAAACGATAATGTCCCCGGTGGACGGATCAGAGCAAAGACAAGTAGTGGGCTTCGAGCAGTGCTCGCAGGATTCGCCTTGATATATGCTGAAACGGCTTTCTCGAGCTCTTGTGAGGCGGGGACACCCTCCCCATCGACCTCAATTTGACGAAGCACATTTCCCATAGATCGTACTACCTTCCTCGGCTTCGTTAGTATGTGAAGGGGAGCAGATCCACCATTTACAAAACTATCTTCGGGGCACTGAAGGTTCAACTGGAATGATTTGAGATTCTTTCTGCCGAGATAGTTGATGGATGGCTCCTCGGAATCAGTGAGCCTGATCCTCCACAAATCCTGGAAAAGAGTAGCGCGCTGTCCATTGACAAAGATGGTGTTGGCAGCAGGTAATGTGACGTGCCGTACGGGGGGGCCCTGGTCTGATGCCAGAGCAGACGAGCTCACCTCAGGGGTGGAGCAAAATTTCAATGTTGCGGTGGGCTTGTTCTCTGCGTCGTCAAGCAGTTCCGACGGCGCATAAACAGATCGCGCGTCGAAACTCTCAGAGCTCATGAAGAGTGCAAGTCCATCGGAAATAGCGGCTCGTGCAGAATCTCCATCTGAATTGCTAGGAGTTTCTGGAGGAACAGGAAGCGCGTCAACAACAGCAGTGACGCATTTGATGGGTTTCTCTATGGGGTTTTCCCACACAAAACTTCGACGGCCAGCGTAGAGAGAAGTTAGGACATGCTGAAAGAAGGCGCCTGGGTCGATGAGCGAAGCCAGGGACGGTGTCACTAACAAGACCACGAGCTTCACCAGGGATTTATTATCACAATACCTAGGTAGCTCTAGGCGTAGTTTTTCAAGATCCTATTTCCGTCAGAAAGAATTCGGGAGGCTGGAGGAGGAAATCTCCAGTGCGCAGATCAGTTTCTTACTCACCACAAGCGCTGGATCTCTGGTCAACCAGGTTACGCTTGCTCGGACGGAGCTATTTGGATCGCTGGGCCGCCTCGGCTTGTTCAGTGAGGGATGTTGAGCAGAAGACTTGTTACCAGAGGCAGACGTCGCCGATCCATCAGATAATCTTGGTAGTCGGACTCTTCGAAACGCATAATTTCCCAAGTTTATTCTTCGCCATATAAAAGGTTGTGTCTTCCGTACACTCAGACACCGTTGAAAGTTGCGTAGATGGGCCGAACTGGCACGTATTAACACGCTTTGTCGAGATGGGTGAGGCAGTATGTTTAACATGGCTGGTCTGCGAGACCGGATGTCCTTTGGACTGTTGAAAAACACGCTCTAAATCACTGAAGGAAAGGAGGGACAATATCAAACGGGATGGTAGACAAGTATGTCCCAAATGGCAAAGGTCTCTGTGGTCACCATTGCTATGGTGGAGGCCGAGAGCTGCTTATTGGCTGTTTTCGGGATTCAATGCCGTGTCTGACAACCACCTACTCGTTCACGAGAAATGGAAGGTTTGGCTGAAACCTTTGTGTCAGACACGCACCAGTTTTCGCTGCTTGGGGCCAAGTGAGAAAAGCGGCAAGCGAGCGTAGCGGTTCACCAAAATACTGCATTTTTCAAATGGTGGATAAGATTTCCCAGCTGTAACTGAATGGTGAGACATGCTTTGAAGATTAAATGATGTTTCTGTTCTATCGGTCTTTTCTCATACCACTTGTGGCTTCTCATAATACATCAAGGACGTGCCAAGGACACGCATGAGCGTCCGGACAAGCGGACAACAATACCTATGATAATACAATTCCTGAATGACAAATCCTTATCGTTCAGTTCTCAAATCTCAACTGTCAGATATAAATCACCGCTGCTCGATTTACTTGGTGTCAATCGGGCCTTGGAGGATGGCGACCGTTGCGGAACCATGATGTTCACTGTTCTGGTACTAGCGCTCATCACTTCATTCAGAGACGGACTAAGGGCGGGCAGAGGAGGGCCCTTGTTACCGCTTGACGGATTGCTCCTGAGTTCGCCCAAGTTTTTTCTGTGAACCTTCGACACAGGAGGAATGGGAAACTCGATAATCTCATCGGACAGGTATCCATCGGAGGAGGTGGTATCTGTTTGCATAAAGCTGAGTTCGGCGCGGACAAGCTGATCCTTGGTCGGTCGAAGAGTTGAAGTTGATATTGGTACAAAAGCTGAGGTAGGGGACAGATTGAAACTTGATCGAAGTTGGGCAGGTCTGTCTGCCTGTCTGGATATGGCGGCCGAACGAGGAACCCGAGGATATCTCAAATCCTTGATGGGGCTTTCTTGGACAGGCGAGATGTCATGAATGTCGAGAGGTACGATCGAGGTTGTCGCAGGGTTCGTTTTTATTCCAAGTTGCTTGTTTGCTTCTTCGGGTGTTGTATCTTCCTCAATCTCCGTGTAAACGGAGCTCGCGGAACTTTGCCTATCCAAACTACGGCTGACAGCTATAGTTCGTCGGTTTACAGAAGGCGGCGGTGGTGCCAATTGTGGTGGCATCGGAGGATTCCGTGGTCGTATGAGAGGCTCCTCAAGCGGAGTGTTGATGACCCGAAGAGGGAGTCTTGCTGGAGGCTTCTTCCTCAGGACACTTCTGTTTGCGTACATTGACGACGCGGGCAGCTTGTGTTCCGCTACTGGAAGGGCTAGCTGTGAGGTGGTAGGTGATTGGGAGTTGGTTTGCGGTGAGGATAAATCAACATTGCCATTATCGTAAGTTGGAGTCAAGGGAATCCTTGCTGTCTGTCCTGCAGACTTGGCTGGGCTTTCTGGTAACGCCGGCAATCTCAGGTTTGGAGGCGGGCCCCTTGGCCGTTTTGACAGTGGAGGTTTCTCTAATATGAATGGTTGATTATCCACGAAAACTCGCTCAGGTTCTTGTGGTCTCGTTTCTGGCTCATCGTCAAACTCCGTGGCATCACTCACGGGCCGTTGCGTATATCTCCTTCGTTCCCTGGTAGCTTCGACGTCGAGTTGTGCAGGCCAAAGAACTCCAGGAGGTGCCTTAGGTAGCAGATGAGAGAAGCTTTGCTGAGAAGACGCGCTTACAGGAGAATGCTCGCCAGGCATCTTTGGTGAGACCGCTATCCCGATTTCTTCGGGTCTGATGCTCTTCCGCCAGAAGCTTCTTCTCTTTTCTTCCGTCGGCTGTTGCGGAGCATAGAAGCGACCCTGAGTACTGGGCACTGTAAGTGTACTTCCAGCATTTCCGAAGTTTGGCGGAGTCTTTTTCTCGAAGCTTTGAGGGTTCACCGGAGGTGATGATTCAACCAGGCGTGAGCGTCTTTGGCTACGCCGGCGCTCTCGGCGTCGCTTCCGTATCCAGATCTGCAGAAGGATCAATCCAACAACGATAACAACGGTGGCAGCACCGCCAACGGTAATTCCTGCAATTTGAGGTGTAGTAAGACCCGATCGAGGGGTGACCTGTTCTGGCACAGCAACAGCTCCTGATGTTCCGTCGGACCCAGCAGACCCACTGGTAGTCTGGCCCATCATAGTATTTGTCGGTGTATCCGTTACCGAAGATAAACCTCCAGATGTGGGGGAGGCTGCTGATGTTGCTATCATCCGCGTTGGTGTATCCGTAGCCATCACAATGGTGCTAACCTCCTCGGTCGAGGTTGGATTCCCTATCGTGGCGGGCAGGTTCTCCATAGTGCTAGATGTGGTGGTGGAAGACCCAATGATTGTAGCTGTGATGGTGCGAGCCGTCCTCGGTTGAGCATCTGGTATAGAGTTGCAGACGCCGTACACATCCAGGTCCTCCTGATCCTGCCCCGTACAAGCTGAGACCACGCACTGTACGGAACCCTCGCCGATAGTAAGTCCTGAAATGTTAGATTGTGTGCAGAGGTATTCAATGTCTGAGGTATTTGCGCATGTGGCTCCTGGGTAATTGTGGCTCGCAAATTGTTGAACGCAGTCGACTGCGCAGGCGGGAATAACAGAGAGAAGGGACGGAGGGAGGCAGGTGTCTGTCGACGCCTGTCGGGTATGGAGCTGGTCGCCATCGTGAGGGTTCGCCAACGCACTGGGGGCAATCCGTATATGGTCACCCATGTCGATGGACTTGCCTTTGTCATCGTTGAGGCATCATGCCTACCGAAGTGGCTGTTTGCGGAAATATTTCTGTGAACGGTAGCTACACAACACGCAAGCAGGTAAGTAGCAGCCAGCTCAGAAGGGGAGCAATATTTGACGACAATGGACAACTCGTAGCCCTGGTAGCAGACACCCGGCGCGAAAGAGAAACTGGGCTTCTTTTAACGTCGAGTTTGTCCCTTGGTCTTACCTCACCCCTCGAACAGGGCGGATGTAGAATTTTTGTCCCTGGAAAAGGACAATCCGACTGAGGCATGACGATGGCGGCTGGGATATTGATTTGCGATAGGCTGTGTAGCCTGAAACCCGCAGAGCATCAAGGTGGACTTGGTCGAATGTGAAGCATTGGATGAAGCATAGTCGCTGAGCCAGCGGTTAGGGATACTTCTAGCCGGCGAGGGGACCCATCACGTGATTCAAGATTCCCCTGGCCAACCCGGATGGGGAAATGGCTGTAGGGTTCGGATATGAGCGGCGGCTACAGGGCGCTTCCACGCAGTTGGGGGATGATTGGCATAATAATACTCGATCCTTTGGGGGTATATCACTCTCGCAGTGTCCTTTGGCTTGCAGCGCATCCCTTTTGTCCGACGTGGACTCTCCCTCCCTATTCTCTGGGTTCGGAGCCAGCGCTCTCTATCGGCAAGTCCCCATCGCATCATTGCTGTTTGCGCTAGCACCACAGTTCTCCGCAACTGGACTTTTGTCATCCTGCTACAGGACAACAAGGGTATTTCCTGGTACTGTAGGAGTTAAGATTGTCAGTCACTTAATACAGCCCTAGATGACGCACATCAACCGTTGGAAATGGGGCTAAGACTGGGTCGCCAGGTTTCCACAATCTCCAGACTGGCATCTAGGAGGCTCGGACATGGCAGTTCCGAAGTTTGCCCTCAGTCTCACCATCTCCCGGAAAGTTGCTAGACTAGTGGAAGCGAGCACATTCATTGATGGCCAGGGAGTAAACATTAGAAATCGGTAAATGAACAGGATGTAAAATGTGTCTCATTATGCTGAATTAAGACCTCTGCGTCCAAACCACGTGCAGCAAAATCGACCTCTGCGCCGAAAGTTGGACGGAAAAGTGCCCATCCGTCCAGCAAACAAGTCGGTTCAATGGTCCAGGTCACACCACCCTATCCAGTTTCGATGCCCGGTTCATGCCGGCTGAATCTTTGTGCTTTCCCTGGGGGTTCGATCTCGTGTCGAAATGAGATTGTGGGCATAATGGGGAATGTCTTTTGTATCATGCTCTGAGAATCAAAAGCAGGTGGGGGATATCAAGATACGGCGAGGTGGTGTCGGGCCTCGACAGACGTGGAAGTGTTTCGACGGGGGATGATAGGACATTAGGTTGGGTTTTCATCGCTCAGTACTTCAGGATAATGTAACTGTTGCAATAGTATTAGCTTCGGCTCTGGATGGGATTGATCTGGCGCGCGTTTTCAACGTACAGAGCATGGATGATACCCGGGATATAACCCAGGATCGTCAACAGGATGTTGATGAAAAAGTCGGCATTACAACCTCGTTCAAGGAAGACACCAAGGGGAGGGAGGATGATGGCAAGAATGATCTTGCAAATATCGCTAGAAGCAGCTGGTCAGCTCTGCGGGCGCACTGCGCGGAAGGGGACGGAAGTTGGAAGAGACTTACGATGCTGTGAAAGGCATGTTGACTCAATTAGAGCGGTCTGCAGAAGACGTGTTTTGAGTTGATTAACGGGCGTAAAATGCGATGCTTGCGAGCAAAAAGCGACAGTTTGAGAGACACGGGGGGTGGTAAGAAAGGAAGATTGCGCGATGGAGGGAGATACAAGTCACTTTTAGCTGAGTCCTGCGGATGGCTGGGGAGGCGGAGGCAGACACTTGACTGGGCACCTGGCACAGAGACTCGGATTACGAACAGGGCACGCCTGGCGTCGGGAGAGACCATTGGCATCAGCCTGCCTGCCATTTCGGCAGACGCCAGCCTCCTAACCTTGTTTAACCTGGGGGTCCCTTCTAGGCACTATCCAGGGCATTTCACGTCCTTGATTGCATCCACCCATGACGTCTGAGTTGACGCCTATCCTCCCTAGACGAGCCTTTTTCTCTCCTGCTCTCTCCACTCGTGACCCCTGCCAACCAATCAACACTCAAAGGATGGAGATTGCCTGCTCGTAGGTACCCCGGCATCGTGGGCGCCACCTCAGCACCGCCACAAACTGTGGCTTGACTTCCCGCGATCGCCGTCGTCGCCCTGCCACTCCTTTCCCCCTTCTCTTCCGCCACTCCGTCATGTTGCAGTCACTTTGACGTGGAATGTTGTGGCTCATGCATATGGAGTGAAAATGCAGATCTCAGAAAACCTCACGAGACCCATTTCAACGTGGGAAGGCCAATCTCCCAGCACAGGACATCAGCAGACACCGAAGCTGATCATTCGCCCAGACTTACTCAGATCTGTTCCCGCTGACCCCATGCCGAAGATGGGCGAAGGGCCAGGAGAGTATTGAGGGACATCAACGAACAGAAATCTTGGGGACCTGACACATTTCGTCATCATGGAAGAGGTGGGCGTGATAGCTGTTCTATATCGAGTAACAGAACCCCACCGAATACATGTCAGGCCTTCACGTGAACCATCTGTCTGATTTCATCACCTGTCCGGGCCCGACGGGTCGCTAATGAGGTTTTCTGGAGTGTCTTTGAGGTATTCTCGCAGTTGGGACGATGCCAAAGGCAGAGATTACTGACTATTGAAAACGCTCACCAATCTGCATTATGAACCATCACCCACTGCCTCAAGTGTCTTCTCGGAGGGCTTGGGCCGGACTAACAATGGCTTAGCCGAGGGGCACGAGCGAGCCAACTGTCTTCCTCACTTCTTCGGTCCTTCTCCCGGTGCCATCCCACCAAAAAGAATGCCTCGTGCCTAAGGTGCCAACAGTACAATTCCCCCCCAAGAGCCCGTTGCTAGGGCAGACTGCGGGCTTGTTATGTTTTCCATCTCGGATGTGCCCCTCTTCTCCCTTGACTGAGGATCATTGACTTTGACCGAGTGTGAGTTGCTGGAGCAATGAGTCCAAGCTCGACGAAGCCTCAGTTCCTTCGATCTCTCCCGTCCACCTCGTCACTCAAGCCGGCCAAAGACAAGCCTCGACTCTACATCGTCCTCTATCCGCGGAGTGCCTCGTCCACGAATTCTTCCTTTCGCAACGCCCTCAGCTGCGACTCTTATCACTGGTCTATCGTTGTCGGTCCTCAGACTGCTCGGCGGACGGACCAGGGGATCCGCTATCATGTAGCTCACCTCGACCACAACACGCACAGGCACTTCTACGAGGAACAAGACATCCCTTCAAACCCCATCGCCCAGAGCGGTCTGGTGCGTGTCGCCGTGTGCAAGGTCACGGACGAAGAGCGCCTTCATTCCATCCTGCGAGACCTGCCGATCCCAGCGGACGACTCGGCGTTCAATTGTCTCACCTGGGTCCGCGAAGCGTTCTGCAAACTCCATGAAGACGGCAAATCCGTGAAGAGTTACCTCAACGCAGACGACTGGCAGGGCGTGGAGACGTGCGCCCGGAAGTACTGCAAGCGGAAGAGAGACGCGGGCAGGTTCCAAGAAGGAAACGCGGTTCTCAACAACAATGGCGGGGAGGCCGCGTGGAGTGTGGACAAGATCAGCACCTTCAACTTTTGGGAAAATCGTGAGACCACGGCCTAGGCGCAGGCAGAGAGATTCAGACCAGGTCGCAGTCAGTTGTGCAAGCCAGGTGAAATTCCGGGAGAAAGGAGATGTCGAGCGAATACGGACTTGTGCTGCTACTAGAGGGAGACTGCTTCTATAATGTGACTTGAGCCTCTCGAGACACAGAATATACAGCTGCCTACGAATTCACATGGACCAACTACGGGTATCTTAGGATTTTGTGAAACGACCGGAGTTGTCGCGTCATTTCTTCCAACAGATCGAGATCGTCGCAGCACAACTGGTGTCGACAGATTTCAGAAGCATCCGCGAAACTCACCGCGGCTAATGTAGATGGGAGGCAACGAGTTTGGAATCTTGGAAAAGAGGTGAGCTCAAGGGAGGAGATACAGGGCGATCGAACGACGTAGATGTTTTTGAGCCACCGCACTACTTGTGTTTTATCCTTGCCTTTCGACCTTTGTCCCAAGTTTGCGCGTCCTCTAGATATCTTGGTACATGGTGCTATATGTGTTGGGGTGTGGATTCTCGAGTATCGTACTTGTTTCATGGATAAGTGACCAGTCGATCGAGTTCTCAGATTCGCATCAAAGTAGCCATCCCAGCTGTCTGGGCGGCAGTAAGTCACCAAGACAAATCTACTCCGTGCTCGAGCATAGAATCCAATACCTTTCCTGTATGCTATGCGAGTGAACGTTCTTTTCGTGTTGAATTCTCTTGATTGTGATTCTGATGGCGACTATTGATCTACTTCTGTATATGTAGATGTCCCACGAGTGTTGATGCCCCGTGTGATTTGTGCAGAAAAGATCCACAACAGAAAGCCCAGCATGAGCGGGACAAACGGATGCAGCACGAGTCCGAGAATTTCAGGACGGAAATATCCCCATTCAAAACACATTGTCTGTTTCCATGTTCATGGCCCATGGCGAGATTCCCAGTTCCAGATCCCATGAGCCCAAGCCCTAGCCCAGACACAGACCTAGCCCCAACCCCGAGACGGGTGGTGAATTCCCTCCCCTTTCCCTTCCCACGAAAAAGTCCAGTATACCGCCGTGCAGGCCGTGAAAAACGCCACGTAACAACGCTACTGCCGAGTCGCAGAGAAACAAAATTAAAAGATGTTGCATTCCCGTCACGCATGTCAGCTTCCTTGAAGTGTTGGATGCCGCTCCAAATCATTCGGAGTCATGATTCCTTCTCTAGAGGCCGCGAAGCATGACGGTCCGTTCTCCCTCCAACTTGGCTGCATTACGATCCTTGTCTGCCTTTCTGGCATCCTCAAGTCCTTCACAGTTATGGGACTCTAACATACGGTGCTTTCCACAGAAACGCTTCTGGCAAAAACCGCAGTCTCCCACAATAGGTTGAGCCGGCGCTTTGCAGCCGTCTTTGGAACACCGGGGTTTGTTCGACTTCCTTTTTGTGGGCGTAGCCGCCCCAGACGGTATGGGTGTTGACGATGTTGACGTTGATGTAGAGGGTGGTGGTTGGGCGATGTTCACGTCTGTTGGCAGCGGCTGCGGCTGAGGTTGTGATGCATCTGTGGGCGTGGTACTTCGTGACGGCGAAGAAAGCTTGAGGGTTGATGATTCTTGGAGCTTGAGCTCTCCCACCGTGGTCGACGGGTCTAGGGACTTTCCGTCAAGCATGAGCTGAACATCGGCGGGTAGGTTCGTGGAGGCAGAGAGGAATTCTAGTACGTTGGAGACAGTGTGAACAGGCCGGACGTTCAATTTGATTGCTGCCAGACGCTTGTTAGTTTCCATCATCAAACAAGTCAAATGGTCAACGAGAGCATGCTCACTCTTTTCGCCGCTGATTTGCACCTGAATTGCCATGTTATCAGCCGGGAGCTCCTTGCCGGTGTTGGAGGTTGCAGAGCCAGATCGTGAGCGATTCATGTTGAATATGGGACTCGGTGTCTAGGAGGGTGTGCGTTGAGAAACAGAGGAGCTTTATCTGAGGGTGATTTGGAGGTTGCGGGTGAGGAGGATTCGGCGCAGGTAACCAGGCTCGTGACCGATGACGAATGGCGGATGGGCTAGTATGGAGAGTGATACTAGTATAAGAGATAGCGTGATAATGGTTAGAGGTGGGAGGATAGAGGACAGATGACGGGCTTGCTATGTGTGTGTTTGCGGTTACAGCGACGGATGAAGTGAGGTTGGTGGTAGTGAAGATAGAAAGAAGGGCAAGATAGGTAGTGAGTTTGGTGCAGATGAGTCGTGTAATGTACTGCCTGGGTAGTAGCGAGTTTGCTAGTCAGATGGACAATCAAGCCAGGGGACAAGGCCACAAGATGAGGCAAGCAGGTGGCTACTCGTAGTTAGTCGTATGTTGAACTAGTGACAAAGGTGGCTGCTTGGGATTTGAGGCGATGGCCCACGGAGGTGTGGGCGTGGGCGTGGACGTGGAAGTGGATGACGGGCTCCAGTGGCTCGGAGTTTGACAACGAGCGGATGGCGGATGGGATGTACGGAGACAGGGACCTCAGTGACCCAAGTTTGAGCCACCCGACACCCAGCAACCTAGCAGCGCAAGGGAGGACCGACTGGGGGACCCAAGTGGTTCCGTTACCACTGGTTCCAACAGACCAAATGAAGGCCAAATAAGTGGGACCCGTAGAAGACGGTCGCAGCTCCAAGAAACAAGAAGCCGAAGAAGAGCGAGATAAATCCAAGCTGCGAGCGATGGAACGATGGGAGACTGCGCACAGCGCCGGAAGGGGCGAGAGGCAAAAGAGCACCGCGGGAAAGGCGCAACCGAAAGACAGGGAGATGGAGATGCGCCAAAAGTTTCAGCAAGACGCTCAGTCCGAGCTGATGCTGATGGGCGATGATGATCGCGCATCTACTGGTAATAATAATAAACTCAAGGCATTGCTCAATTCGTTTTCGTATCGGGCGAAGCCACAAGCTCAGGAAATCAACCAAGTCCCAGAGCCAACCACGGAGAAGTCACTGGCAGTAACTGGTGCGCAGCTTCATCTACCCGTCCTTAGCTATGGCGTCTCCTGTTTGCAGATACGTACGCCGTCCTCTCGTTCTGCCCTGCCGTACACAATCGAATAGTCCTCCTTGTCTTGCTTTCTTAAGCCTGTTCCTTCTCCCCTTTCGAGCCGCCAGACCCGGCCGGTGTGACGGAATCAGACAACTCAATTCATTCAGCGGCCATTCCCCTTGGAGGTCCAGATCGTCGGTCTCAGCGCTTGGGTCTCTGACCTGCCCGTGCGCTTGTTATTGTCAATGCTGACCTTCCAGAATCGTGGAGTCCCACGCAACCAGCAGAACGGCTTTGCACATGGACAACAATAACTTTGCGAGTCTGGCCAACCACCTACCTTCCTTAAACACAATTGCATTGTTGGCACCTGTAGCTAGCTGCGACGCGGCTTTCCTCACTTGGTATGCAGCTTTCATTAGTCTGGGCATCTCCAAGGCGGTCTGGTTGGCTTCCTCCAAATGCGGCATGCGATATCGCATCTGCTTCTCCTTCAGATCCCGTCTGTGTGGCTGCATGAGGGACAAACGTCGTATCTATGGCTGCCACACTTTTGGTTCCAGGCCTCTTATGCGAACGGCATCTGCCGTTATCATGGAATAACCTTCCGAACAGGTCACAAACAAGTAGAGTGTTCTTCCAGCTGATAATTTTCCGGTCATGTGCTGGAAGGGACAGTCCGGAAGTTCCTGGCCATGCTCGCTCTGCACCTGCATCTGGACCCTGCATGTTCCCACTGTCCTGGCGGCGGCCTCTTTGCCTGGTCGGTCCAATCCCGGAGTGTCAAAGGGAAATGTCCGTCAGAAGCGTAAGCTGGAGTCTGGCTCGCCCAACGACCCAAATATGCGACATCGGCCCACCACTGTACTCTGCTGCGCGGGAAACATCCTTGTTCTCGTCAACCAAGCTTGAAACATGACTACATGCGTTTCGAAAGGTGGTTTCGATTATCCGTCCCACATGCTGTTGTCATCTTGGTGGGTGATTGTGGTCGTCATAGATGCTAACATGTCTCGCCCTTGGGCCATAATTCAACGCTCATGACTCTTGAGACTTTGGTCAGAATTTCAGCCTGTACTTGCCAACTTAAGCACCATCAGCTTTCTTTTCTCCAGCCTCTGGGTCGAGATAATCGTCCTTCTCCGCCGCCTCATATTCACCAATTAAGCCCATCACAACCTCCTTTGCTTCGTCGAATTCGGCGAGCCCTTCAGAAAATGGGGCTTCCTTCTTGTACTGCTCCAAGTAGGCATTTCTTTTCCGCATTTTCTCGTACTGCATCACTATTCTCCGGAACAGGGTAGCGACGCTGGTGTGATTCGCGAGCATCAGACCCGATACCCGGTGCGTGTTCGGTAGATACGGGGACTTTTTGGTCAGCGCCACCTGGATTGAAGCTGGCCCCCAGGGTATGAAATTTGCCATTCGCCGTTCTCGAATGCGCAGAAGAGACTTGTGGACGTCGGTCGGATCGGCTTCGCCTTGGATGATGTTGAGAATTGAAATGTAGCAGGAAGATTTCGAGGGCGTGATAGATACCATCCGATTCTTTGGTTGAAGGAGGCGGCGCATCACGTCTAGCACTGTGGTCTTGCGCACGGTTTTGGCCTGATCCACGTTGTCGCCGGTGAAGGGGGTATAAGCGGTCATCAGGAAGTGACACCTTGGTGTAGGTATCAGAGACGCAATGATTCCCACCAGATCATTGTGCATGTATCCCGGATATCTCAGTGTCGTCGTAGAAGCCGACATGACGGTTGAGACCAATTGGTTCGTCTGCTGAAACGAAGGCTCTTGGACGTGGAGTCTTTCGGACGCAATGCTCGACAAGGCGCCGTTATCCAGTACCACGACACAGTCAGCGTTTTGTGTCAACCGCCGCATGGTGAGAAGGCTGTTGTAGGGATTCACCACGACATCGCCGGTGGCCGTATCTGGAAACACCGAGTATGTCTGGATGATCTTCTTGGGAAACCGATCGTTCATGCGCTCGAGGAGGTACGACCCAAGACCCGAACCAGTGCCGCCAGCAATAGAATGAAGAAGCATAAATCCCTCAAGCGAGTCGCTGCCGTCGGCCTCTCGATCAATCATGTCAAAAATCTCTTCTTGGACCCTCTCGCCCGCCGCGTACCCTGCCGCCCAGTTGTTCCCTGCGCCCATTCCATGTTCGCCTATGAAGAAATTCTCGGGGTTGTAAATGTTCTTGTATGGGCCGCTTTGTATGCTGTTGATAACTCGCGGCTCGAGATCGATGAGGATGGCTCGGGGAATGTAACGTGTATCGTCGCTTTGGTAGAAGAAGACATCTTTGCGGTCACCGCCTTCGGTCGCGAAGTCCTCGAGGTTTCCGTCGCGGGAGATCCCATGTTCTTGACACAATTGCTGCCAGAACCGGGAGCCGATTGCATTCCCGCACTGGCCTGCCTGGATGGTGATGATCTCGCGAGGCATTATTACACGGCTTGTGCAACTGGGAGGGGGATGGTTGACATTGACAACAGCAAATAACAATTTGGACGTCGACGCGTGAAATTCACGCGTCACAGGACGTGGGGTTTTGGGGTTTGGCAGGCATAAGATGACCACCTACTTGTAGGTAGGTATTACTCCGTACTGTACCTAAATACGAAGGGTCCGCTCGGTGCCTACCTAGGGCCGATATGAAATCTCTCGAGTCTATGAATGGACTGAAGTCCAGTCTTGCTTTTGTTTTTATCATGTTACCCAACCCAGGGCATTTGTTTCCTCCTCAGTCTATTTGGTAGCTGCTCAAACTGGAGTGATCAGTCCTCGGCGGCCTCGACAGGCTTCACTCTCAGGTTATTTTGTTGTACGAAATGCTCGACCGTCTCCGGGAATTTGCGCCTGAAACGTCTGGAGAAAATCGCAATCATAATCCATATCCACAACGTATAGAGACACTGGGCCCAGGTGATTTTGGCTTCTGGCTCTCTTTGTTCGTCCCATTCGTCGCAGATCTTCTTGAACGTCTTGGGATCGTCTGTGATGACTCCCTCTAGGTTGTGTTGAATACACCATCTCATGAGATTGGGGTCATTGACACTACCGTCACTATCGCGTTAGCGCCGCCCTTGAATATGCGTCTACGAGAGGGATTTCTCGATCTCGGGGTTTTTGCCAAAGAACAAGACCTTGGACCAAGGAGAAAAGATTCCCCAAACAGGCAGACTTACGTCCAAGCAAAGAGTGGGCGATTGGCTCTGCGTACGTCTCTCATGAATCGAGCGCCCAAAGGACCAAACAGGCTCTTCTGCAGCATATTGAACGACACATTCGGCACCTTCAGGAACTGCCGGGCGTAAAAGGTCGAGAATCCGATATGTGATACCGGGTAGCCTGGGCAATATTTCACGCATAAAGGCAGGAATTTGGCTGCCCAGATCCCGAGGACAACCCTTTCCTCCCAGGCTCGTTGACCGGGATCCACCGAGGCCAGCGTCTTTGCTATCAGTCTCATTACGTCGTCCGAGTTGTTGTCCAATTTGATATCGAGAAATACCCAAACATGCTCCAAGCCCGGTTGTGCAACGTATTCAAGCAGGTCTCGGAGACGTGGCATAGGTACGTGAGGGTCCTTGGTTGTGCGAAGGGTGCTCAAATAGTCCCACTCACAATCGATTATTTTTTCTTTCTTGCCAAAACACCGTTTCAGATCTGCGTCGTGGGACAGGACAACCACATCATCTTTGGACAAGTGAATGTCAGTCTCGAGTGCGTGAGCCCCAACTTCGACGGCGCCTCTGAAAGCATTCATCGTGTTCTCAGGGTGTTCCGCTTTGAAGCCTCGGTGTGCAATGGTCTGGGGCAGCGGCCGTTTGCCATTGTATGGTTTTGCCCACGTCCAGCTTGCTGTTGACCATCAGAAGTCGTCCTGATGCAGAGGATGGAAGGACGAACCCATAGGGAAATCCAAGGGTACGCTTTGATTTGGGCCCTGAGTTCCATATTCGGATCCCCCATTCATCGGCTGGGCCAATTCTTTACTCAACAACGGCGTTGTGGCCGGGCGGTCGGCAACACGACGCATCTTGAAGAGACGCCTCTGCTGAAAAACTGACACTGTCCTAAAACTAGACGAGGGTTCAAGGAAACAGAGTGGCTTTGAGAAAGCGACGGCTAGTCAAAATGATGGTGACATTGACAGTCGCTAAGCGGTGGCCTCGCATCAACACAAGATTTTTGAAATGGTTGAACGCTATCACCGAGCCATGTCAACTGAAAGGAACAGGGTGAATGAGGGGCAGGACTCAGTAGCTTGAGAGGCAGGTATCGAAGTTAATGAACATCAAGGGCACGAAAGGCAAAGATATCTGAGTGCAGGAACAGGTGTGGTTAAACGCCACCTTAAGTATAGTGTACTTGTACTTTGTTGGAGGACTTTGTGAAAATCCCTGTCGAATGGGCCAACCCGGTGCTCAAGGACTCGTTGCAAGCTTTGAGGTCTCATGCACATTACAGACCGCCAAAGGATCGCTTCAGGGGTCAGCTGCTTCTAATAGAATTCAAAGCCACGTTTACCGGTGGTAGGGCCAGGCACCACTGAATGGCCGCCAAATCGCCACACTTTGTGCCCATGAATTCGGCATCGCCATGCTCCGGTTTTAGCACAGACGACGAGTTCCGGGGAGCCGGAGAGCATGCACAACCACCCAACCAAGCCTCCTTAGGTGTCCTCTAAACGCCTCTCCGCGCCTTTGACAGAAAAGATCGCGGGGGACAACTCCTCTGAACTACTTCTACAGAAAGGAGAGGTGAGATCAGTCCGTGTCCGGAGATAGGACTCTCCTGCTTTTGCCCTTTGCCGTTGGTTCCATCTGCCGTTCATACCGATTTCCAATTGCCGAAGCGCAAGAGCAAAAATGCCAAACCAGTGTGGCATTCAATAAGCCGCTTCGGAAGCGGACAGTCTTGCATGTGGCTTGGTGTCACTTTGGCTTGATTATCTTATGTCCGAGAGGTGCAGCAAACAGCCTTCACACTGCTCGACCAGGTCACATGGACCGGCGAAGTGCCCAGTGGTGGGCCATTGTATGCTATCCCTCACCCAAGAACAGCCTTGCAGATTCGATCACGCATTAGAGGATAACTTCAGATTTGTACATGCTCAAGAGAACGCGACTGGTAGTGGTAAATCATATTGAAAGCGGAAGCAGCCCAGGCTTGATTTGATTTTCCATAAAGAGGGCGGTCTGATATGTTCGATCCTCAAGATACATGAGAAGGTATTTTTCTTTCTCCCCGGCGCCATCAATAGTCAACGTCTCATTTCCGCCATCGACATGTCGACGCGGACTATGCTTTCTGAAATCTCATCACAGTTCAAAGCTTGCTTTCCCCCGAGTGTAGTCACCCTTGTTTCGCGCCCATGTCCACCACACATCGGATGCAGTCGCCGGCATGCATGTCGTGGAATGCATCGTTGATCTTGTCGAGGGGCTGGCGATGTGTGATGAACTCGCTATGCAAACAGTCAGCAATGAATAGACGCGTGGAGATTGATAAGAGCCCGAAAGCGCCCTAGAAGCTAAGCTAAGCTGAGTCCTGAACAGACTTACTTGACTTTGAGTTTCCCATCCAGGTAATCCTGGACGAGTCCTGGGAGCTGCGTGCGACCTTTGACACCACCAAAAGCACAGCCTCGCCATACACGGCCCTGTGAATATCTGTCAGTCTGTGTGCGCCGAAATCCGCAGCGTTTGAGGACGAGAGGTCGGGTCGGATACGACACAGCGTTTCAGCCTGCCTAAGGGGAGGAGGGAGAACTCACAGTGACCAGTTGGAAGGGTCTCGTGGAGATTTCAGCGCCGGCAGGGGCAACGCCAATGATGATAGACTGGCCCCAGCCTTTGTGGCATGCTTCGAGAGCGGCTCTCATGACTTGAACGTTGCCAGTGCAGTCAAAGGTGTAGTCGCAGCCACCATCCGTCATTTCAATCAACTTCTCCTGGATGGTCTGACCATTCAACTGGGTAGGGTTGACAAAGTCTGTGGCTCCAAACTTTTCGGCCCATTCTTTCTTCTTGTCATTGACGTCCACCACAATAATCTTGCCAGCCTCGTTCTTTACGGCACCTTGGATGACCGACAGACCAACACAGCCGGCACCGAAAACAGCAACGTTGGAGCCCTTCTCCACGTTGGCCGTGATCACTGCCGCCCCGTAGCCAGTGGTAATACCACAACCAAGCAAGCATGTGCGGTCCATTGGAGCCTTGTCGGTAATAGCCACAACGGAAATGTCGGCGACGACGGTGTACTGGGAGAAAGTCGACGTGCCCATGAAATGCAGCAGATCTTTGCCCTTGCACTTGAACCTCGAGGTGCCATCCGGCATCACACCTCTTCCCTGGGTAGCGCGAATCTTCCCGCACAAGTTGGTCTTGCCAGATATACAAAACTTGCATTCCTTGCATTCCGGGGTGCTTCCAACGTAAGCTTGGTTTGACTTGTACAGGAGAGGAGCTGGACATACTAGAGCGCAACGACGTGGTCTCCGGGCTTCACGGACGTAACGCCCTCACCCACCGATTCCACGATACCAGCACCCTCGTGCCCCAGAACGACGGGGAACGCGCCCTCGGGGTCCTTTCCGGAAAGAGTGTATGCATCTGGCTCCTCTTTCAGTTCCCGATTCTTACCCGCAGCAGGTTCAGCGTACCCGTGTGACAGACTCCAGTGTAGTAAATCTGAATGCGGACTTCGTGGGCTCTGGGAGGAGCCACTTCGATGTCTTCGATCGAAAGGTCCTTGCCGGCCTCCCAGGCAACGGCAGCCTGCGCAGAGTCAGGTGTTGTTGTCGGTGTCGGGGGCACAATGGGGAGCCAGTGTTTACCTTGCAAGTAATGGTCTACCAATTGGGAGAGTCAGCACATGATCCCAGTGTCCGGGGGCATTGAATGTTACCTTTCCAACAGTATCAGCAGGCATTTTGATAGATTGGGTTGGGGGAAGCTGGCTTCAGCAAAGATTGCAGTGAATAGTGAGAAGAGAATGCAGAAGAACCACGGAAACGTCAGGAATTAAAAAGCCATCAACATGCCGGTGTGGGGAGGCTGTTGGTTTTCAAGTGAGCAGACTCTGAGGTGGGGTTCACGTAGCTATGATGATATTGCTGAGGAGGGGCCGGCGAGTAGCCATCGGATACGCAGAGGAGCGTGCAGCAGCCTGCAGAGCACCATCCGGGATCCCACCCGGCCACTTTTCGTATAGATACGGCTATTGGATGAGCTGGGACCTCCCCTCTGTCCTGGCGAAGGGCATTCGAGCCTCTGAGTCGTTCCTGGACTCGTCATCTTGGTGGTGTGTATATGCAGATCAACTCGATGGGCCGAATGTGGAAATCATGACAAACAACCCCCCCTGGGTGTAGGAAGAGCAGCCAGCCGTGCCAGCCCTGTTGAGCGCCTCACAGTGCCACTACCGCCCACTGTCGCCCGGGGTTGTCTTAATCATCCGTTGTTCGCCTGGTTGTCGCCAAGCTCGGAGAAAATTTCCCGAACGGGTTAATTGAGTCTGGCCAACGGAGTCTCTGCTTTTACTGCCGCAAAAAAGTTAGACGATTTCACCACCACCAAACCTAAGTCTCTCCCGCTCCCCACAAGGCTGGTGATAGATTGCCATGCGACATGAACCACTTGAGCTTCCAGGGGTCGTCACGTCCGGCTGGCGATGGCTCCTCGTCCACTGCACCGCCATATCCCTACATAGGCCACAACCCTCCAGTCGCGCCAGATGAAACGATGCCGGCGGCATTTGACGGCTATATTCCTAGCCTCGTGAGCCCCCTTCGAGGACTGCCTCCCTATCCACCCTCACAAGCATTACTGCCGAGCCCAACGTCACTGCACCACACCTTGTCTGCAAGACGAGTAGTGTTCCACGACCATGCATCGTTGCTGCAGCCTCCAGCGTCGCCACCGAACTACAGCTTTGCTTTTTCTCAGCCACTCCTGGCTTCTGAATCATACGTCCTGAATCCTCCCTCTTATCCTCAACAGTCTTTGAGTCAGCCGCAGCATACATCTCTGTTCTCGGCCAACGCAACTCATGATAACCATGCGGGCTACATTCCGTTTCCCTCCGCGGTCCACCATCTCAATGTCGCTCGTGCTGAGCACTCGAGCCAGAATGAAAGGCAACTCCCCGGGATAGAGCGGGCTCTTGTCGGAGAAGACAGTGATACGTCTGTTGACGATCATGGAGTCCCAGGACTGCCCTCAGAACCAGTGGAAGACGACCCTGCTTCCCCCACCAGAGGACGGAAGAGAGGGCGTCCAAGGTTGGCATTGTCTGATCGTCAACCCAGAAAACGACGTAAGAAAGGAATGGGGCCTCGGGGTGGTTGGAGCAAAGGCATGAAGATTGGCCCTCGACCAGCCCTCGACCCGGGGCCGGAATTCAACGACCTCTATAGCCAAGCTACCATTGCCTTCATCGACGATCAAGACACCGAGAAAGCGCTTGACTTAATCTTGCAGGCGATCGCGGTTAATCCTGAAATCTATTCTGCTCATGCCCTGCTTTCTGAGATATACTTCTCTCGAGACGAAGACGAAAAGGCTATCGCTGCACTTTTTAGCGGCGCTCACACCATACCAACAGATCCAGAAGTATGGATTCAAGCGGCCAATGCGTGTCTCCACAGGTCAAAGGGCAAACGAGAGACTGCCTTGCAACAAGCCAGTTACTGCTATGCTCGAATTATCCACACGGACCGAGAGCACTTGGAAGCTCGCTTTCAACGAGCCGCGGTCAGCAGAGAACTTTCGAATTACACCAAAGCCATGAGAGACTTGGAAGCTATACTCGAACGAATGCCCAGAAACTCTAGTGTCCTGAGGCAGATTGCAGAGATATGCATTGAAACCAGGGATCTGGAAAGAGCAAAACAAGTCTATGAGGACACCTTAAGTTACTACCGGGAGAACGGATTCGAGGGCGAAGAGTCTTTCACCTGGGCTGACATTCTGGTCTACGTGCAAATCCTTGCCCTTGAAGAACCTCCTGATTTAGCCATCGTGAACGCTTTGAAAACCTTGAAACAGTTGTCACGGTGGCTCTTGGGACGAGAGGAAGAAGCTTATTGGGATCACTTTACCGATGATGACCGAGAGTTTGACTCGGAAGATGAACCTCGACGAGTCCTCGTGCCTGAATTTGTCGTTGGCAAATATTCATCGGATGCCTACGGCCCTGGACTCCCCTTAGAACTGAGGGTTAGACTAGGGATACTTCGTCTGAAGCAGGGTCGAGATGGGTTAGACGAGGCGCTGGCACATTTTGAATGGCTTGAACCGGAAGCCAGGGATGAAGGTGCAAGTGTGTACGATTACCCGGATTTGTTCCTCGAGGTTGCCCAAGCCTTGCAGGAAGCCAAAGAACACAACCAGGCACTACGTTTCTATGAAGCCCTAAAGGACACCAACGCATATTCTCATACGGAATTTTGGCTAGGTATCGCAGCCAACGCTTATCTTTGTGGCGACAAGCTACACGCGGTGGAGTACTATGAGGAGGCTAAGGCTGGAGATGAAAAATGTGTCGAGGCACGCACTCAGCTTTCGCGGCTCTACGCCGAATTCGGTGACAAAGAAAAGGCAATGGAGAATGCTCGGGAAGCGGTCCGTGTCGCCGACAGCTTCCTTGCTAAAACTGACCGCCGCAAATATGAGCGCAAAGAACAGCGCCTAGCTCGTGAGGAAGCGGAAAGTGCTCTGAAGGAAGCATTCAACCTCCCTGGCGAAGTTGTTGGAGGTACACCTGTTGACCGTATCGAGAGCAAGCTCCAAAGAAGAATGAAGAAGACACGCAGGACTCGGAAGGCAGTATCGATGCTGTCGAAGGGGGCGATCCATGGGCAAGGAGAGACTGAAGGCGGACTCGAAGATGAATACGAGGATGCCCAAGACGATCAGTCAGATGAGCAATTTCAGCTTGGTCGAGCCGGGCGCGACCTGCCGCCAATGATGGATCGTGAGATCGCCGGCCAGACAGCCCAGAACGTGGCACGGAAGAGAAAGGATCGGCAAGCACCCCGTTCGCGAGTGCAAGGCAAAACCAGAACAAAACGAATGACCATAGAAGAAAGAGAGGCCCACCGAACCGAAACGATCAACAGACTCTATAGCGACTTGGTCTACAACACAGAAGCAGTGAGAGCTGGCGATGAAATAGCAAGGAACACCTGGATGGACTGTGCTGACTCCCTCATTACGGACTTCCGAAGCAACCGGCCGTTTTACTCTAAAGAGCGAAATCAGTCGTTGGACGGCCTTTACCAGGAAGCCGCCAATGCCGGCACACGCCAAAGATGGGAGAGAGATCAAGAGAATGGTCAAGACGGCGTCGAAGTGGATCAAGACTTTCCCATCCCTACTGTCGAATCGTCCATGCCTACTGAATACCGCGAAATCCCCTTCTCAAATTGGCTGGATGTTTTTCTCGAGTACTCTCTTCTGCTTGCCCAGTCTCCTGAGGTAGACGCTCAGCATCGGTGCTACACCATTGTCAATGCTGCGTTGGATTGCGCGGTTTGGAATCAAGATCAACAGGCTCTGCTGCATATTTATGTCACATATCTTGCCTGTACTCTTGCCCTACAGGACGAACGGACCATGTCCACCGTGGTATTACGGTGGTTTCTGCGAACATTTCAATTCAACTCTGAGGGATATCGTCTCTTCGCTGCCATGAATCTGCTCTTCACTCGTCCTGGTGCGGCGTTCCGTAGTCGCGCCACCCACCAATACCTCTTCAAGCAGATTGTGCAAATGGATGCGAACCTGCCGATCGATTATGATCCAGAAGGTTACGGACCAGTGCCGGACTTCATGCGCCAGAGCGGCGCGGAAAACGCCTCCCGCAACAGAGACAACGATGAAGAGGCGCCTGTCCCTCACGAGAAGGATGTGCAAAGTCAGCAGCATCAGCGCCAAAACATGACGAAAACGAAGGAAATGAATGTTGACCTCCTAATGCTGTACGGGCACGTCCTATACGCGGGTGGTGGGTTTACCAGCGCCCTTTCGTACTTCTATCGTGCGCTTTCTCTCAGTCCCGAAAACCCTGCGCTGCTGCTCAGTATCTCACTGAGCTACATGCATGAGACGCTCAAAAAACACAGCGAGAATCGTCATATGTGTTTGTTGCAGGGGTGGGCGTTCTTCGAGGAGTATGCCGATGCGAGGAGGCGGTGGATGCAAAAGCGCATACAAGGACAGCAAACCCGTCATGATGATGCAGACATGGCCAGGGCGGATTTGGAAGGTCTGGAATTTCTGGTTGAGCGTGAGATCGCGTTCAATCGTGCAAGATGCTGGCACATGCTGGGTTTGTCGGATCTGGCGGTGCGCGCGTATGAGAAAATCCTTTCGCTCTCGGCCCCTTCCGCCAATCTCTCAGCTCCTGACCCTGCTATCTCTGCAGAGAGGGGCAAGGATATGGACGTGAGCCCGGCGGAGTTCACAATGGAAGCAGCATATGCGATTCAGACGATGTACGCTTTGAGCGGGAATCCGCAGATGGCCAGAGAAGTCACGGAGAAGTACCTGGTGGTTTGATGTTGTCTGACAAGGTATTGCAAGGTGAATGTTTGGACTTGGACCGATAACTTAGATAGCCGGGTGAAATCGGCTTGCTCTTTTCCTAAGACTTCTAAAGAGAGGTATTTTATGTACAACATTGAATGCCATTCCACCACGTCCCCTTCCAGGCACCGCTGGGCAACGTCCACAACTGAGGCCTTCGGCATACCTGTAGTGTTCACCATCGGCAATCTGGCCTCCCCAGAGGAGAGCCTGATCGCTCTTCTGCCTTCATCTACTGGCTCTTGCTAGCCACCAACTTCTCAACGTCCGCCACTGACTGGGCCAAAATCTGCTGCAAAACCTTGGGGTTTTCGAGCTCTTTGGTGACCTTGGCGATGATGCTGTCGGCCAATTCCTTCTGTTGCCGCTGCTTGACCTGACCCTCGTAACGGACCCAGCTGTCCAGGACGTTCTTGGCTTCGGCAGCTAGGGCGGTTTTTTGCTCAAGTTCGAAAGCCTGGGCTTCGAGTCTGGCGGTTTCCTAGAAACGAACCATCAACAACTGAATTTGAGGGAGAAGCGAGTTTGGGGGACTTTGCGCTTTACCTTCGAAACGTCAAACAGTTGCTTCGTGATCTCGACCACGTTACTCAAGGGCTTGACGTCTTCAATTCGTTCTTTAATGGCACTGGCATGATTCGTCCTCGCCTCGTTCAATAAATCCTTAATCTTCTGCACCTGGCCATCCGCCCAGTCCTTGTACATGGGACCTGTATATTTAAAGATGCCGTAGAAGACGGACAGCAGACAGAAAGCGATGACGCTCTCCTCGTTCACCACGTAGAGCTCATTGCTGATTGCCCAGATGGAGATTCCAGCACCGGCGGAGAGAATGGCAGTTTTGCTGGCGAGGGAAGACCCGGGAAGGGCGTCGACGATGGACTGAGCTGTCTTCTTAGGGTCTTGCGAGGGCACGTTAGAGGAGGACTGATGACGGATGGAAGTCAAGGGCGTGCTGGCGGCGAGCGATGGGAGGGCGCGGATCGGGAGAGAAGTTGATGCGCGGAGTTTGCTGGCTCCTGGAATCCTATTGTCAGATCTGCTCTTTGTCCATCCCGAGCTCCAGGACGCATGGGTGACTCACCAGCAGCACTCCTTGCCAGTCTAGACGCCATTGTTGTGGTGTTTGTAGCCTGAACAGTCGACCTGAAGCTCCTGACGTTCAAAGTTTGGTGGTCCGGCGAGGAGAGCTTGTAATTGAGGTCTGGGTGCGCTATTCTGTATATGGACTAGTGCTTGGCATACATTTGCGCCATCAAAAATTGTTTCGAGGCGAGGGGCTGGAGGAGCCGCAACGCCCGCATATTAGGACAAATTGGGAGACTGAGGACAACGGCCACGTTAAGCACGGAGGGGTGGTGATCTTCACATGTTTGGTTTTGAGGGCGACTGCTCTCCATCGCTCTCACTCACCCTCGCTTCTTTTCCGCAACTTGTCCACCATGCCTTCGTCAACAGCCATGGACTCTTACGCTGCTCAAATTGCGGCTCCTATGAGCGCATCGCAGCGTAAGCAATTGCTCAAGCAGCTTCAATCACCTGAAGCCATCGACAGCCTCCGTCGCCCAGAAATTCTCATGGACTTCTTCACCGACAGTCTGGACATGAGGGACTTGGGCCTTGCGGTGCCGGCCCTCACGGGCCTCTTCCATCTCATCACCACAAAGAACCTCGACTACCCTTCCTTCTACCCTCGACTGTACGCTCTTCTCGACAGAGATCTTCTACACAGCAAATACCGCAGTCGGGTTCTGCGGCATCTCGATATTTTCCTGTCTCCAACCAATCACTTGCCGGCAGCAACAATTGCCAGTTTCATCAAGCGCCTTTCACGCCTGTGTCTCTTTGCCCCTCCCTCCGCCATCGTGGCCATAATCCCCTTCATCTACAACCTTCTCAAACAGCACCCCACCACGACCTTTATGATCCACCGCAACCCATACCCTCCCTACACGAAGTTCAAATACAACCTTGGCAATGACCCCTTTGACCCGAACGAGCCGAACCCACAACTCACCAATGCCATCGACTCCTCACTGTGGGAGCTGGAGACGTGCCAGTCGCACTACCACCCCACCGTAGCGAGCATCGCGAGGATCATCTCCGAGCAGTTCACGAAGCAGCAGTACAATCTCGAGGACTTCCTCGACCACGGATATGCTACACTACTGGACAGTGAATTCAAGAAGGAGAGGAAGCCTCCCGTTGTGGAGTACAAGATTCCCAAGAAAATCTTTGCGGTCGCAGAGGACAGTGAAGATGATGCTGCCGGGAAAGAGGATAGTATGGACAAACTATTGGACATGTGGGACTTTGAGGGCTGAGATTTCTCCAGCAAGGATTCATGGCAAAGACAAAAGATAGACATAGAATATAGACATAGACCAAATAGACCGGGGGGATCTCTGCGATGCGTTCTAGCGATTGGGATTTCTTTACGACGATCCACGAAGACAAGTCCTTAGACTACAGCCACGAAATGAAGGGGGTTTCTGGCGCAATGAATGGGACATCAACGGATTCCATAACATGAATGACTTGCCAAGTCTGAAAGACTACAAGAATTTGGTAGGATGTCCACTCGAAGCTCGCTCCATTTTGATACTCAGGTAGGGAGTGTAACCTTGCGGGGTACGGAACTCCTCCCAACGGTAAAATCTTCAATAAGAAACTTCATTCACGGTAATAGCCTCCCTGGCTTGTTGTTCCTTTCGCGATGATGTAAGTGGCGGCACACAATAATGACAGCCTTGTGCGAACCTTGCTCAATGCGGCGGCAGTGGCCAGGCTTGAGAGACCTCTAAATTTTGGAATGAGCACCATCTCGAGAACGGAAGTAGAGAGAATATCATCCCATCCCTAAGACGAGTTTTCTCCAGCTCAGCTCAGCCCTCATTTCGCTTTAGAGATACGAACCAAGACTGTGGCATCGAGGCTCCTCTTGGCGGGAGGGCAAAGCAAGTCTTAGTGTCCAGTACGAATCTGAATCAGTTGCTAAGCTGAATGGCTGTCCCGAATCTGGGACGAAGAGGGAAGCAGACAGAAATGCTTCATCCAGGCCTTGTTGAAGCTTTCTTCACCATGCACGCCGACTCGTTCAAGTACTCCGTAATTGCAGGCGAATGCTTCAACTCGTCCCCCACCCCCGACCCTTGCCGTCGTACCTCGCTACTCTCTTGTTGCATTTGTTGACCTGTTTTCCAGTTTCTCTGCAGGACAAGGCCTGGTTCAACTCCATGGTCTAGGCCTTCTCGGGGATAAGAAGTTGACGGCCAAGAAGTCGGAGGATATGCTGGTCTGAGCATCGTCCAATCGGACCGCTCTACGTTTTTGTGATATGCGTACTTTAATAGCTCAAGTTTCTTCCGTGGTCGTACTTTGTATGTCGAGTCTTTGTCTTCTCCAACTCTCACCCCACATCCTGCCAACAACAACACATATGGAGGCAACGCCTCCAGTAACCAAGGCGATCACAGTGTAGCACCACCCCGGGCCGATACTGTCGATAAGCGGCTGTAGCGCAGCCAACTCCGCCGCGGCAAAGGCACAGCGGAGCAGATTCAGGGCTGCCTGAGCTGTCGACGGACGTGTTGGGTGTAGGTCGACGAGAAGGGTCCCGCACGCGTTGAACACGATGGTCATGGCACCACCTGTAAAGAATTGCAGGATAAGAGGAATAGAAGGGTGCAAGTGATACTCGAGAACCCAGCCATATGCGAGGAGAGTGAGAATGGACAGAGGAAGCAGGTATGCCATGCTTCGTAGACGGGCATGGAAGATCGGGAATACAATTCTCTGGGACTCGGACGTTTCGGTGCTGGAGGTTGGAAGACTGTGGCGAAGAGCAATTGTCCGATAGTCATGTGTGAGGATGTTTCCTTGGGGAGCAGGAATACAGAGTTAATATCCTGGCACAGGAGAAGGATCATTGCGAAAGAGCGCAGATGCAACTTACTTGAGAGTAAGGATGCAAGGAAGCAACCCGTGCCAAATGGCAAGTAGATCAGGCCAGCTTCAAGCTCTTTATAGCCGTATATGGCGATGAATAGAGACGACAGGGATGCTTGGAGGCAGCAATATGCGCTATAGAAGATTCCATTAATGAGGATGACGGGTGCGCTTTCTCTCTGCAGAAATATATGCACGCTTCCCAAGGGATTTGGTATCCTCAAAGTTGCTCTGCGGGAAACAGCTTCTGGTACCGCTGTGCGGTGGCCTTCCAGTGTCAGATCGATCTTCTTTTGCCTGTTTTCTCGCCAGAGGAGTAGAAGACTTTTGTTCAAGACAGGGACAGAGTGGGACCCATTGCCAACCACGTTGCGCGCTGTTTCTGGCAGAAGGGCAAAAATGAGAACGAGGCTGAGGGTGCTCAATATGGCTAAAAGCCAGAAAATCCAGCGCCATCCGGCCTTCTCAGCAAGGACACCACCGAGCACAGGTCCGAGGCCAGGTGCAACGTTTGGGCCGCACCCTAGGATGCCCATGTATGACCCACGCTCAGAAGACTCTGTAATCTGAGCATCACTGTTAGATTCATTGATGATGATGGAGACCGTGGCAATAGCTTGGTGCAGATGGGAGTCGGTCCTATCGAAGAGAAGAGACACTCACATCAGCCACAACACCATATCCAAGCCCGATTGTGGCAGAACCGCCCGCACTCTGCAGCATGCGGAGCAGCAGTAGAGCAGGATATGTACCCTGCAACGCGAGCCCAACATTGGCCACGACGTAGAGGGTAAACATAAGAAGATAAACAGGCCGTCTTCCCACCTGATCTGCCATGCTGCCAAATAGCGTAGGAGCAACGCCGGAAACGATCATGTAAGAAGTTATTGTCAAATTGGCCTTGGATAGAGTCGTATGTAAATCCCTCGTTATCGCCGTAAGAGCAGGATAATAAATGAAACTGCTGAGGGGAGAGAAGCAAGAGGCAAACGCCACAAGTAACACCATGTTCAGTTGCCTGGACTTCGTCAAGCCAGAATGCGGCTCACCAAATAGAGACATGTTGCCGCCGTTAGCCCCCGAGCACGCTCACATGTTATATCTGAAGATCCAGCAGATTGTGGACGTAGTGGTTGAACGGTTTCTTGTGTGCCACGCTCTGCCTCGCAGCTTTGGCTCAGGAATAAGATGTTTTCGTGACTGAACCCCAACCCATCATATCTCGAGGCGTGAGAACTGGTTATCTGTCACCTCTCTTCTAGTCAAGCTCTATCCTCTCAGAAATCAAGGTGTACCTTGCGAAGTGGACAACGGCGTACCTGCTGTAGAGGTGGGTTGGGCATAGAGGGGGGACCAATCTGTGCACACGCCGACACGAAAGGTAGGCCGGCAATAGAATACCGAGAGAATCAACGAAGAAGGACATGCAAGGTATCTGTAACATTCCGCGGGCCTGCCCAAAGAGCGACCGTCGATGCATCCAGGCCTACATACCTGGAATGTTGACGCCCCTTGCAGTCGAACAATAACATACTGATCGTCGAGGGCATTGGGGTTGCCAGAGCCAGAATGACAAGAAAACCCAGCGAGAAAAAAAACTGCCACAAGAGGACCCATTTCAACCATCATTATCCTGTCGCTTTGGTGAATACTTGCCGATCAAATAGCGCATATCATTCAATATCCTTGGTCAAGTCAGTGATAGCGAACTGGAAATTTCCGATCTTTCCACTCACAACTGACGGTGATTAGGCGCGCAATCTGGCCAACCCAGACAATGAGCGATCTTGAATTTTATGCTATACAGCCGATTGCGATCGTCGAATTGCTCAACGGGCTCGCTGGGTGGCATATAGCTGAGATATTTGTCGTAGTAGGGCTTCCCGAATCGGAGGATGTCGGTTCGCCACATACCCAGCTCCATTTCGTTGTGGGCGTACATTGCACTAGAGTCAAAGACAACAGGTAAACCTGTGTCGAGATTGAGGCCCGTATTCTCTTTCCACAGATCTCCGTGGATGAGGCAGGGTTTTAGGACACGCCCGCCGGACTGGAGAGGCGCCAATAGTTTCGGCACTACCGCAGAGGCAAACATTCTGTAAGTAGCTTCGTACTCTGCATGCGGGCCATTTTGGGCTATCTCTCGGCCAAAGAACTGAGTCAGTAGCCTCGTGAAATAGGTGCACCAATTGCTCTCCCAAGTAGTGTTTTGCGGATTAGGTCCATGGTAAGTGGTTTGAAAGAAGCCAAACTTTCCGGTTGGAGACACACTCCTTTGGTGGAGCTGCGCGATGAGGCGACAGAAATCCCCAGGCTCATCCGTTTCACAGCCCAAGTCGATATAATTCATGAGGAAGAAATAGGTGTCGGGATAGGACCGCTTGAATTTGCCGCAAGTTATCGGCTTGGGAATGAGATCGGGCATGAAGGAGTAGATTTCCATCATCGAGCGATACTCTCCTTCCATCATCTCTCTCCCCCGATCGCCCATTGCTTGCTGAGGCGTTCCTGGTAAGCAGGGGATTATATCTAGTTAGGAAAAAACCCTTTACCTTGAGAAAATATGATTTCCTCTCACCATCGAGAAGCACTATAGTGATTCGCGATGCCCGAGTCCAGGCCGCTGTGCCATAGCCAGCCACCTCCACCACCACAGAGCCCGAAGGAAATACTGGCTTCAATCAGCAAAGGGATCGCTTTTCTGTTTCAGGAAATGACAGTTCACGAACAGTCGGCGACATTCTCATCGATAATAAGAATCTTTTCCATGTTTGGATCGCTTCTGGCGTACCTGCGAGATTTTCTTCATGTGACTCGATGAAATAGCGTAGCTTGGAGAAGTCGTATGTTTTACTTCGACATATTGTCTCCAATTCAAGATGTTGCCACGCGCACAGACTCTGCATTGGTATTTCAGCAGCAAATTCCTACCTGGTACGATTGCAACAGCACCCTCGATTTCCTGTCACGCCCCAGCGGCGTGGTCGACGATGCTTCATGGTCTGAAAGTCCCGATTGAGCACTCCAGAATACCAGGTAGGCCTCGCTGAGAGCCGTTGCCAATGACTCGATGGTATGCGGTTCTTTTGGTGTAGGGCGTTCATAAGTGCTTCGGACTCTGTCTATTCCAGTTGCACCGACGCGGCACAATAGCAGTGGAGGCTCTGAGTTTAATACCTTGTTCTTTTCTTTCGTACTGACTTCATGGACATCTGGTCTGAAGAAAGTATCTTCCTGCCGGACCACTCACCGTACCGCTCGACTCTCTTGTTTGTATGATCTTGATAAAAGCATTTCTGACAGCTCGGTTGTCTATTCCCGTGTAGCATGGCCGAATATCTCCGCAATGTCGGAGTCGTTGTAGGACGAGGAGGGTTCGGCTCACGGCGGAGAAGGTAGTTGAAAGTCTGTGGCGAGGGGATCGCGAGGAACTCTCCGCCCCCACGGCGCGTGGCAGTGGTTGCGCGGCTGGCCACCATCAATCACTCTTCGTGAACTCGGTGGTCCGTGTATAGATAGAGTCAGTTCGAAAGACCGACTGGCAGCAGCCTAAAGCATCGACAGATACTTTCTTGCCTTAGGAAACTGACCGTCCAGCAGTTGCGTAGTTGAACTATTCAAAGGCACTGAAGAGCCTAACCGGGTTGTACAACTTGGCGTGTGGTCGGTTCGTCGGAGTAGGCACATTGGGCCTTCGAGACTACTCCTGCCTAATGATGGCCTTTGACGGAGACAGAGGCTTTGGATAAAGTGGTGAAAGATGAGGCATCGCTAGCGAAAAAAACCACGAGATGAGAAAAGGGCGGGCGCTGCAAGACGTTGACGCGTGATGGCGCTTCACTGCCAAATGGTTGTGTCTGATGAAAGGCTACTCTCCAGTACAGTCTCAAGAAGTGCCCTCCTCCTCCATTCGAATGACGCCTCCTTGAACTTTTCCAATTCTTCATTCGATGTGATTATGGACCAGAGAGGTCACAATCGCACAGATCTAGCAAGACTCACTTACTCACACTTATCCAATCTCACTCAAGCACGCATACACTCGGACACGACCGAGTTATCTTTTGAATCCTGACGAGTTCGAGCGCCTTTTTCATTGCAGCATCTCCCCGACCTCACCTGTCGCCATGGCTGACGACTCTATCCAAGCGCTAGGCTGTAACCCCCACCCACCTCTGTCATTCCTCGGTGTGCCTGCAGAAATTCGATTGAAAATATACAAATTTATCCTTCCAGAGATCACCATACGTTGTGTGCGGCGACGTCCAACTGCCCTCCAACCCGGACTGGAGGTCTGCTACCTGCAAAATCACACCTGGCATTCATCTCTTGTTGATCTCACGACAAGTGTATGCTGAGGCAAAACCAGTCTTCGATTCTGCGCCCGTCGCTGTGACCACTGTGCAGAATCTATATCCAAAGATCCCGCTTGACTTCCCACAGCCTTCCCTCGAGCGCATTTACAAACTCACCATGGAAGGGCTTGATCCTTACTATGGAGTTTTTACCACCTTCGTCGGTGGAGGTTGGTTCGACCGCAATCTCTGCCCAAACGTGCGTATCTTGTTGAGGGAAGTGCCAAAAATTCCGCCCGCATCGTATTCAGGATTCAGATTTTCAACAGACGAAAGCCCGCTTCAGTTTATACCGTTGTTACTGCCTGGATCGCCAATCAAGCCTCGAGGCTACCGGACTGCGAATGAAGACGCAAATGACCTCTTCGAGATTTGCAAGTCAAGATTTAGATCAGGTGGCAATAATTGTGCCGTCAGCTGGCTGGATGAATCTAACTACTTCATCAAATACTACGATTTGATTGTGCAAACGACATACAGGGTCGGATTCAGGGCAAAAACCGAAGAAGGGACAAATTGCATGGGACCGTGGATTATTTCGAGACGTGGCTGGATGTGGACGTCATCTGGGACAAGAACGGAACCAGGATCGACGGGCTGCCAGATCTACGTGGATTCGTTTGGTGGAAAGAATGGGCGGACACTTGTCAACTGCCTCCTTCGCAGCGACCAGTCATCCTCGAGACCTGCACCGAGTACCCTGAGCGGGAGTTTGCAAGAGACAGGCCTTGGAATATTGTGAACATCAATTCAGAAGCAAGTGATCGGGAGAATTCAGTCAGCAACAACACCGAAACCACTGCAACTCAGTCCGCAGACACGAACAGTTGAGGTCGCTCCGCTTAAAGCTGGTGCCAGCAGAGATGGCAGGGTGTAGCAACATTGTCAGATGGAGACACATCAACGAGCCGCCCAAGAGCAAGACATCACAAGCTGCTAGTCTTCCTTCGAGGCGTGCAGCAGAGGTACCTTTCAGACCACCAATCCACAGTTCTTAATATGTAAAGATGAGAAGGACGAACGGCATCACGGCCACCGCCGACCGCACGCGGAAATCCAAACTGGGGACAAAACAAAACTGTAGGGCTCGTCTCCCTCCCCATAGTCTAGAACTGTTTCTTATGAGCCCTCTTCCTCTCTCTGTGCCTCTGCAACTGCCTCTCCACCCCGGCCTCCAGATCCAGCAAGTCCCTGCCCCCAAACCCCTTCAGCGGTGCTGTGGCGTCGTGACTCTCCTCACCTCGCCAGGCGTTGTTGTGGTTCGTCTTCTTCTCCAGCGCCCGGACCTTCTTGCGTCCCGCCACGGGCGCCGAGCTGTTCATCACCTGCGCGATCAGGTACCCGTTGATGGTGTTGCCCGAGTTCTCCAGCGCGTAGAGCGGGCACTTGCCGTCGTCCGCCGAGCAGTGCACGGTCGGCGGACAGCAGATCCCCACCGAGTTGGGGCACGTCTGGCACAGCGGGTTGGGACCGGTGGAGTTGCTCGTGGAGAGGGTCGAATTCGAGTGCAAAGACGAATAGGGGGCGGTAGAGTTGGGATATGCGCCGCTCGGACTCGAAGACGTCATGTTGGAGCTCACCCCGCCGCCGCTGCCGCCGGCAAGGCGCAGCATGTCGTTCACGCCCATGGGGTCCGGACAGTAGGAGAGATACACGCTGACGGTCTTGGTCAGTCTGGAAGTCGGGGTCGGCGTGGTCGAGGGCGAGATCACGACGGGTGAACCTGTCGTTGCCACGAAGGTGCCGGAACCGGTCTGCAAGGAACACCAGAGAGTTAGATGGGCAATTGGCTGGTATAGGACGCCCTAATCACGCGAAAGACCAGGCATGGGATGATTTTCGTGGCATGATACGTACCAGGATCCCGCAGCCGCTGAAGTTGCCAGTGCCGCTGACCGTGCCCGAGGTGACCAGCGAGATCAGTCCCCCTCCATAAGCCGGCCAGACGGTTCCTGTGCCAGTCAATGTACCAGTGCCGGAGCCCGAACCGCCTGTACTGTGTCAGCTATGTATTCTTCGAGTGGTCAGCGCAATCGAGGAAGTTTACGCACAGCCCGTGATCTCAGCGGACCCCGTGAACGTGCCTGACGTGGCGATGATGGTGCCGCAGCCAGAGACATTGTTCGCATAGCCTGGACCGACAAGAGTCAGAATTTGAACTTCAATGTAGAAAACAAAAGAGTCAGAGGAATGCTGGACAGAAAGACTTCAAAACCCGTACCACTGGCGGTTCCCGAGGTGACTATCGGTGTGCCTCCTAGGTATACCGTGCCTGTGCCCACTGCGGTCGAGTCAGTGGCGTGCCTGTTTAATGGAGGAATGCAAAGTACATACTGACGATACCACTACCGGAAGCTTGCCCGCATCCTATGATGGTGTTTGGCACTGCTGTCGTGATGAGCGAGACTGAAGAAGAAGTGGTCGACGCGCTCGACACGGTGCCGGTGATTATGGTTAACGTGGACAAGGAAGATGATCCGCTTACAACTGTTGAACTGGTGGTGCCAGAATTTGTAATTGCGATTGTGGTGCTTGAAATGACGATGATTGACAGGCTGGTGGTGCTGGTCGAGGAGCTTGAGAGTGAAGGAGAGGTATACGGCTGGCTGGAAACCACCGAAGAACTTGCCATGCTTGTGGTAGGTGTCAACTTCGACGTTGAGCTGGACGTAGTCGTCATGACCACGGTAGTTCCACTGATAACGGTGACTGTGATTCTTGTAGACGTCGAGGAGCTTGCGCTGTTGAGTATAGGGCCCTGGGATTGGGAGGAGATTCCACTGGTGCTGCTTGGTATGGTCAGGGAAGATCTGGAGCTTGTAGTTGTGGAGCTAAGCGATGTTGTCGTAGACGTGGATGTCGATCTGAAGACTCCAGTCGAGGCCATGAACGAGGTGCTGGTGGTGCTGCTCATTGTGCTATTCATTCGACATGACGCAGGGATCGTGAAACAGCACGGTAGGCCACTAGATGACGAGGTGCTCGATTGGAAGACGCCGCTGTAGTTCGTGTCGTAGCATGATGCAGTTGTCGTCTGTGGGGGGAAATCGAAGACGCCCTGAAGAGCACAGTCAGTCTCACCGCCTGGAGATACGGTCGGGAACAGATTCACATGATATGTATGGGTTGTGCATGGCAAAGTAGACGTGGTCGTGCCAGAAGGAGTAGAGGTAACACTTCCTCCGCCACAAGGAGTGCATGTTGCGATGGGAGGGTCGCCTGCAAACACTCCACGCTTGTCGAAAACCCCTCTGCCCTGCCGTGTCTTGCTGAAGTAGTGATGGTAATGAAGGCTGTACATCGTTTGGTGGGTTCCATTGGCCGCGATCGTGACTGACGGTGCAACCGCCGTGATCATGGACGGAAGAACCTCATAGCGGAGATCAAATCCACCAGCCAACTGGTTTGGTCTTGGAGTGGGTTGGTAGAAGGCTTCAATGGGGAGAGTCAAGGACCCGAAATCAACATAACCATATGCAACGTGAAAGAGAACGCCGGCAAATATGAGAAAGGAGTGGAATTGAGACATCTTGAAGGATGCTCACAGCCAACGACACCGGTAAGGAACGAACATGGTGAGGTTGGAACCATGAGTGTGTGTGCATGAAATTTCATCCCTAGAGCCGCGTTGTGATGTGCACAGGCCATGAGGCGATGGAATGGAATGTTGGCTATGCGAGGCTAGAGGGAGCCCGAGTCTTTCTTGAACACCTCGCAGTCGCCCTTTGTTTGGCCTGGTAGATGCCGAGTGCAGGATGAGGCCATGACTCTTTCATAGTCGTGCTCGCAAGAATTCAGGAAGATGGGTTGCGAGCTGCCAGCCAGTATCAGTGTACGTCAAGTTCGATAGGATCTATCTTGGCTGAATTGGAGAGACTGATGCCGCTTTAGAGCAATTGAGGTGAGCGTAACACCGTGACACCGTGAAGCAACCAGCAAGCATTACAGAGAAGCCCCAAACACGGGAATCTGTAGGTATCTCTAGGGTCAAGAAAAATGTTTGTCCGTTGCTCCCTTGCAGGGGCGTGAAGGACCAAAAAAACTTCAATGAATATATGTACAAAAGGTCAAAGTCCACACACTTGGTGACTGTGCCAGCCCAACGCCAACACTCTCGTCGTTGAGGCAGAAAAGTTCGTCCTCAGCCATCCACTTCCTCGTCTTCCTCCACCCAGCATCCCTTGAAGTGTCGCAAACCCGTAGGCGTTGAACCAGAAGCAGAAACAGTGACCGTCACACTAACGGTCACTGTCTCAGGGCTTATGCTGCTGGAGGACACTGGCGCAACGGGAACAGAGGCAACGTCGCTTGTCGTGGAGGCTGGCTTTACAATTGTCGCCAAGGTCGTCGACGATGGTGAGAGGAAGAAGGTCGTGGTCGAAAGGGCCATGGATGACGATCCAGAGCCGGAGGTGCTAACAGTGCTAGTCGTCCAAGAGAGGGATCGCACTTGTGTCTCTGCAGGCGCAGTAGCAGAGATGAAGACCGAGCTGGAAGCAGTCGTAGAGGAGGATGCCGGTCCTACTGGCGCAGAAGGAGCGCCTTCAAAGATATCATCCTGCGGGCCTGGCGTGAAACCGTTGCGTGTATTGTAAGCGGGCGTTTGTAAACCGGTTGTCACGACATTGTTTCCGGTGAGTTGATTCCACACGATCATTTGCTTTGCTCCTTTGACGCATTTGGAAGGGTCGGTGTCACACATTACGGGTGCTTGGGCCTTTGCTAGAGGAATGGTGGACGTAGCCCCCGTGACCATGCATTTGAAGCCCTGCATATAGATGTTGGGCTGACCACATCCCTTCGGCACCCAAAGCCAAGCACAAGTCTGGAAAGCATTGATCAGCCTGGAATCATGCTAGTGGAATCCCAAAAAGCAGCCCCAGGCTACAAAGTGGGCTGGGAAGACGAGGACAACTTACACATCCGCCCTCCGGGCATGCGGGCATTGCCGCTGGAACCTGGTAGGTTGCTGCCCGTTTCCAGGGAGTGTGCTCAAGCACAGTAAACACAACCAAGTCTTCCAATGTGATGGCGGCAAGATCACTTTCATATGCAATAGCAAACGCAGTTCCTTGAGCCATGCTCTGGTTCTGCACATGCATGTAACCGCCGTCTTGGATACATCCCTCACCCACACCGCCACCGTTCCAGTCCTCTGGGTGCGTGCCACCATCCGGCCATTCCGAAGTCTTCGAGCCCCCATAGGACAGATTGGAGAATGCTTGGTTGTTCGCAAGATCGACGTCGAAGGAGCCGCCGGCCGGCAACTCGAGGAAGACCCCAGGAGGTGGTGGAACAGCATCACATCCTCGATCGTGTTGGAACCACCAGTGGTCCTGGGTAAGGTTATACAACGGTGACACCGGGGAGTTGGAGTTGAAATTCGGGTTTGAAGGGTCTGTACCGTTCTCGCAGTACATGCCCTTAGCAAAAGCCGCAATGTGGGCTTGGACCACTCCAGCCAGGGCTAACCCTGAAAGAATCAATGCTGCAGCCATGCCGTTGGAAAAGAGTTCGTGTCAGAAAAGCCGAACGAACGATTGGAGACAGTATCTGTAGTAGCAGCAGATCTTAACAGTTTCGGCTATCGAAACACAGATCCGAAGCCTGGGCGAAACGAACGACTGAATAGATTGAGAACGAATGGACGTGCGCACTGCGCCGCGTGGAAAAACGAATGAAAGGACTCTATGAGTGCCTGCAACGAAAAGAACGAAGTGCTTGTAGGAAATTGAGAAGCATGAAAAGGCGGCGGCAGGGTCCATTTTGAACTGGATGAAGTACACTCCTCCATGCCCCTTGGGATAGACATGGTTGACCAGAATAGATGTTACATTGTAAAATGAAGGATAGAATAAGCAGCCCACAGGTCCGCCAACGTCTCAGGCAATGAGGTCCCCGGTATAGACGATGGAACTGCCTGGATGGCTCAGCCTCTGCTCCAGCCATGCGAGTGCTCGCGAGCGAATGACAAAGCCGATAAGAGCGGGCCCAAAGGATGGCGATTCTCCCATGAATTTCAGTGTTCGGTTTCAGATCTGCACTAGGCCAGAGATTTCGGGATGATATCCCATACGCCACCAGTTTTGGCCCCGAAGGTGACGGAACAGGAAGGGAGCAGCAGCCAACCCCAGATGACAAGTTTCTCCTTTCGTTAGGCCATGTGGAACGGAACGCTCGGCCTGTTGCTCAGATTCGAGTAAGATCCTCCAGAATTACAAGTTGAATCTATGCATTGGCGACGTCGTATCTGGGGACAGCCTTGCTGGCGGGTTGCATAGCTCACTCGATTAGGCCCGCCCCAACAGTTTCACCATTGGCTCTGAGAACAATCCTTGAAGGCGGTTCCAAGGGTACAACCTGATCTAGGTGCACAATGACTCGCACAACATTTCCCGGTTGGACGATTTTCGGCTTCTTCTTCGTTACTGTGCCTGATGACTTGTCCAAGACACCGACGAGCTGACTGATTCGACCAGGCACATGCAAGCGTCCTTTGTGCACGTCAACATTCATTGGGGTCAGATGATCGAATGCAAGTATCTTCGCTTTGAATTCACCGATGTTCTGGATCGGTGATAGGGGGCTGCAGAGAACATCTCCTGATTTCAGGTGTATGGGGTCAATGTCGGTCAGATTGAGGACCACGTTTTGTCCCGCCACCGCCCACTCTTGAGGTTCATCGTCGACCTCCAAGCTCCGGATCTGGGCCTTTTCACCGCTGGGCATGATGACCACTTGTTCACCGACTTGGATGGTGCCCGCGTCCAACCGCCCTGACACGGACAGGGGGTTCTGCACACCACCTCTGAAAACGTCGTTGATGATCATGCGTAAAGGTTTGTCTAGTGCGTGGGTTGATGGCTCCGCCTTGTCTAGCTCCTCCACCAACGTTGGGCCAGTGTACCAGAACGACCTTGAATCCGAGGCTCTAGTCAGGATGTTTTCACCTCCGAGGCCAGAGCAAGGGACAAAGGTCACGTTCTTTGACTGGAAACCCGCGCTGCTCAGGAACGCGGCCATCTGTTGGCGAATTTCATCGAATCTTTTTTCGGACCATTCCGCAACATCCATCTTGTTCACGGCCACAATGATTCGCTGGACGCCAATGGATCTCACCAGGAGCGCGTGTTCTTTCGTCTGTCCCTTCAATCCAGACTCGAAGTTTCCCGTCGAAGCGTCAATGACGAGGACTGCAAAATCTGCCTGGCTAGCTCCTGCAATCATGTTCGGCACAAAGTCCCGATGACCAGGGGCGTCCAGGATAGTAAAGCAGGTCCTGTCAGTCTCGAACTTGTTGGTGGCTATGTCAATAGTCACGCCTCTAGCCCGTTCTTCCGAGCCTTGATCTAAGACCCATGCAAAGGCAAATGAACCTTTGCCAATACGTTCAGCTTCTTGTCGATACTTGTCCAAGGTTCTTTGGTCGACCGCCTTCAAATCAAAAAGCAGCCTACCCATGAGGGTGCTTTTGCCCGCATCGACATGGCCTCGGGGAATCAGTGCATTCTTTCAATTCGCCAAGCAGGGACTGCTTACCGATGACTACAAAGTTTGCCGCATTTTTTCGTTTATTTTTTTGGTATTCTGCGAGCACATCGATGTTTTTGCTCTTGATTTTGGGAGCATCTTGGATGGACAGCTCGTGCATGCCACCAGCCAAAGCCGATTTTGCTCGATTTGTATCCTTGGCTTTAGAGGTGGCCGACGTCGCGGCTACATTCGAGCAGGTCAGCCCCTCTTCAATTCGATCAGCCTTGTCTCCGACCTTTTGCAGTCTGTGCCTTGGTCACAACATCGTCCGGACTCGGCTCTGCAAAATTAAAAGATTCAGCATTTAGTCCCTTGGAGAAAAGGTCGGTTGATGATGGAAGATAAATGTCAGCGTCGCGGCTGGTCATGATACTGGCGAAAGCCGAGGGACCGGCCCGAAAATTCTGATTGGCTACAAGCGTGGCTTCTGATGTTCCTGCTGCAGATGTTTGCTTGCTTTCCATTTCGGTGGACTGGTCACTCCCATGGTCCTTCTTTTGTGACTGGGGCTGGGATCCTGCCAGTGAGGACTCTGACGCATCGGTTGATCTGGACCTTGGTCTTGATGGCTGGCTGATCCGCAGTTTACTCAAGCTAGAGAGGTAGTCCTGCTGATATGCAGTATCGGCTGTGGTTTGAGCGTCAAGTCTCTCATTTTCTTTCTGCCTTCGCTTAGCGGCAAGCGCCGCAAGTTTAGACATCTTGCCCGTGTTTGACGCACCACCCAGAAGGCGAAGACGCGGATAGAGGGGAGTGATGATGATCTCTGCCTTTCGGTGCTCAGGAATCTGTAACCATGGGCTATCTTTGAAGAAGTCCGCTGCAGCAAATGGGTTTGAGCAAGCGGCGAGGGAGTCGGAATCTTGGTGTTTATCAGCATCCCTTCCGAAATGGCGCGGTCCCAAGCTATCATGACCATAGCGACATGGAAGCGATGCAAACGAGGAATGTAGAAGAGCAAGCTTACTCTTTGAGCCATTCATCTGCTTCTTTGTAGCGACAGGAGTAGGTTTCTGCTTGTCTAACGCAGTGAGTTTTCAACCAAGCTCAAGGAGTGGTGGGATCCCGTACTTTTGAGATATGCCACAGATTTTCCAACATCGTAGTAATAATGCCACAGCGCCTCTTGGATTTCATTGTCCGTAACAGGGAATGCTGATCCCAAGGCTGCACGCACATTGTTGGTGCCTTGCTGCATTTGTTCCTTGTCCTCTGCAGAAAGCTCATTGTCACCGCCGTCGTCTCCATAGTCGCCCTCATAGTCCTCGTAATCATCGTAGTCGTCCTCATCCAGTGCCAGAGACTTTACTCGACGATTCGACATGACAGTGGTCGACGAACAGGGTTGAATTTGGTTATCGCGATGGGAACACGAGGTCGATCGTGGCGGTTTGGGCTCCAAGACAGGGGCGGATTCGCTTAGTGACTGGAATTCCGTGACCATCTACCCGAGCCAGTCGCGGGGTAGAGATCTGATTGACAAGTGATGATGATGTTGTGCGAGAGTTTTCGTCAAGAGGGTATTTCCAACCGCCTATTTTGACGCTTTCATTCCTCTTCTGGTCTTGTCTTGTTTCGTTTCAAAGGAATGACTTGAAGCCACCGGCGGCTGTGACTCGTCGTCGTAGCTGTGTCAGAGAGAAAGTGACTCGAGAGAACTGGTGGCTGTGAGAGGCGAGCGGACGTCGGAACTGGCGCGGGGAATGTCTTCAAAGGAATGCTAATAGCGGCGAGGCGTTGCAAACACTACGACCTGTGCGAACCACATGTTACAAGAACGACTTTGCGGGATTCGATCGTGCCGCTTCAACCAAACCGCTTGTGACTTCGTCTCCTTGCACCTCTACTTCCCAGGTGCGTTAACGTAAGAGTAGCGGAAGAAGGCGGCAAGCACTACGATGCTCCATCGATTTAACTGCTCAATGACTACTGTGCAGAGGATACATGCTGGAGAGGAAGCTCCTATCATCAAAACATCAGTGGGTGTCGAAGTCACGAAGGACAGAGTCAATATGGCCCTGGATTAGGTTCGCGCCAGTGATCTCGTGGGCCGTATTCGGGGTACAAGCAATATCGATATTATCGAGACCGTTTAGTCCAAGGAGGTCAAGCGAAACTGAGAGGTAAGGACTGAAATCGGCCTCGACCTGCGCGATTTCCAGTACTCCAGCAGAGCCATCACACAGATCCATCACACCCTTGCTGAGAATGGAGAAAAGGGCACTGAAAAGCCTCCAGCTTCACCACGACAATATGAAGCCTCACTTCTTCAGTATCGTCGACTGTAAGACGACGCCAACACCGCCCTAGCCACAAATGTGACGGTGTGTCCACCATTGGAGCAAAGAATAGATCTCCGACCGCGGCTCCCATTCAATTAGGCTCCTCAAGAGCTAAACTTGACACGCAAGGCAAAGCTACCCAAAGCCAAAAGAAATAAGACTCTTGCCATTTTCCTTGCGTCCAGCATCTGTCAAAACATCCTATCGTGAGCTTCAGGGGGTGAAATAGTTGCCCAGCAAAACATCGATTGGGCCCGAAAGAGAGCGCCTGGCCGTAGCGTTTTCTTGGGAGCCCTGCGGCAGCAGCTTCGCAACACGATAGCTGATGGCAAATATATTGTCACCGCGCTGTATCAGTTTTGATGACTCGGTCAAATCCGCCATTGCAGCTCGTCCTCGTGGTCGAAAAGACAGGGTGCTCATGCTTCAGAAATTCGGAGACCAGCCAGACGAGATGACGCCTTACATCCTCTAGGCAGATAAGGAGATGTTTGGGGATGATGACAGCCTCTGCCGCAGACACAGCTGTTAGTCGGGTGGCGGTTCAGCACGGCGAGCCATCCGAAAGACTTGGGTCAAGTCAGGCAGCAATTAAGGAACGAAGAAGAACGTGACGTTCGATTCATAAAATCATGACAGGATACTGGAATAAACCTTTTCAAGGTGTTGAACGAGCGTGTTTGGAGTTAAGCTATGAGTGCTGCTACATTGACCACTGTTCAAAGCCATGCTTTTGAGGCATCGTCACTAGCGTTTCGTCTCCTCGGCACCTTACCGGGTTGAATAGGAGATGTCGGCCGCTTTAGGGCCTACCATCACCCACTGCGGTCTCAGTGGCCCAATATCCAGCACGAGCGGGGTTCAGCATAGGACAGCATTACCTTGATCCTATTTCAGGCTCAGCTGCGAGGAGCATCGTCAATCCCCCGTCCTCTTCCCACGCATTTATTATCTCGAGGTGGACTCTCAGTCAACGCAGCCGCCCACTACGCGCCACCAAGGTCACCATTCGACAAAGGTCCTCCTGGCGCACTGTCGGATCCCTGTATTTTTTGGCCGCCGCTTGCCCATTGGAAATGTGAAATCACTGTCTAGCCCGCGCGACATGGTTCATCTCTCCATCATGGTGATGCTTCGGTAACACGTCCAGTCTTTCACAATGTCGGCTGCAAGTATCCATACTGCGCCCATTGGGCTTGGTCTTTCCCCGACCAAGTCGAATCTCACGCAACAGATTGAACAGAGCGAAGGCGAACGCACTCCCCGATCCTCCAGAACATCCTTCAAGGGCTCTCCAAAGCCACGGTCTCTCTCTGACGCTCCCAAGCCCGTTCTGTCTCCCTCGCCCGCCTTTCGAGAACCTTTGCGACGAATCTCTAAGGATGACTCGGCTATTACTACTCCCACAACACCCGCTCGTCCTCCTATACATACTCGGGGCCTATCCCTCCACATGCCATCAAAAGACGCCGCTGGAACAAGCCCAGGTCCCACGATACCACGAATCCCGTTATCACCAAAGCTAGATTCGTCCTACGTCTACGGATCGCCCTCGTCCATGCTCCCAAGAAGATCACGAGGACTGGACTATACAAGGGCGTGCACCAATTTGCACCATTCCACACTTGCAGAAGCGTCTCCAGATGCCTCGCCCATCACAGGGAGAGGGATACAAATACCCCAAAGGAGAAGTCTTGGGAATACCGTACTTGACTCACCAAGCAATCAGTCGAATGCTTTGTGGTCATTGTCAAACGATAGAACAAACCTGTCTAGCTCCGTCAGCTCTGTTAACATGATGGGCTCTGAGTCTGATTCCGAGTCGGATACTTCTTCGGACGACATGGCCATCGACCGTGAATTGGACGAAGCAATATTGAGCACCCCTGCGGCGTCAAGGCTGAACCCGGGGCCCATGCCAGGCTGGGTGAACAGCCCCGGGATGGAATGGATGAACAATCAACCATCTCCTGCACAAGCAAGTCTTATGAGCTTTCAGCCCAACCTGATGAGTTTTAGGAGAGCTCGCACGCGCAAGGGCAAAAGCCAACATAGCTCCAGCAGCGTGAGCATGAACAGCTCCAAGCCTTCACCGGGACCTTTGTCACCTGGCGTTCTGAAAAGCGTTGAGAACGCAGGTGGTAGTTACTTCGGAACGGGGCTCACCAAACAACAAGTCCAGTCTCGGCGCGAAAGTTTAAGTCTGGGCACCAACGATCTCCATCTATCAGATAGCGAAGACAATAACACTGTCAGAACAAACGGGGGCCAGTCTCTTTCGGACATGGACGGCGCAAATGGCGACGACCCTAGAAAGGTCATTCGCAGAGCTGTAACCCGCAGAGGCAATTTGCTTCCCAAGACAAAAGGCTTTGCCCGAATTCGTGCTCAGCTGTTGGAAGAAGCCGCCCCAATCGAAAGTGAAGCGCGACGCGAGGCAGAAGTCATTCGCCAAGTACACGAGAATGAGCCGGCCGTCTCTCAACCAAAGTCCCCGACGATAGCTGCCCATCAGAACAACAACTTTGCAGCGGAGCCCATAGAGGAGTCGATCGAAGATATGATGATGGACAACAAAGGCCTGCTCCCCCCTGATAGCTTTAGTCGACAGGCCGAGAGGAACTCCGCAGGCATAGGGTTTTGGAACGGATTTGACGAGCGGTACCGAACCCCACCACCATCTTTGCGACCTCGCGAAAGCTCTTCCGCCATCAGCGACGATATGATGGATACTCCTGGCTCATCACTAGTCGACAATCCTGCCCTGAAGCATTTCAACCGATCTAGATCTAGGTCGACCACTCCCTTGGCTTCTAACCCACCTACCGCCGGAGATGTCGCCCGACGAGTTAACAACAAGCGACGCCGTGAAGAGGACTTTGACCCGTCGTACACCAAACGCCGAGCGGTGTCCCCCGGCATGAGTGTCCAAAGCAGTCCTATCCTGCCACAGAGCCCTGTTCTAACAAACGACAAAGCGTGGTCTAAACTGCCACCGAAGGGATCCGGGCATGGCCATGGGGATCGCAGCAATAGCGGGAGCAGTCATAACGGAACGAAGAAAATTGGTTTGCAAGGCATGACCGAAACGAATGAAGGCATCATGAGCATGAGCATTGACTAGACTTCATCCACTGTCCCTTCTTTCAAGTTGATCTCTGGCTAGCGAGGCGTCTGGAGCGGGCCGGCGTGGCATGGCATGGACTGGATGGAGACGTGGTTGCTTTTCATCTCAAACGATGTATTATGATACTCGAGTTCAATTGCCCTTCTTGCCTTTGTTTCTTGCTCTGCTCGAAGCAACGACATTTTTTTAACCCAACAAACCTCAATTCAAAAATTGGTAGCTTCTCCGATAGAATCTTGCCCCGCCCCCGTTAGGCTGCGCCTCTAAAGATTTCCTGCCGGTGTCTGACACGCACCAGATCTGTTCCGCTGCGGCACGACCCCTCGAAAGCTGCATCCCTCCTCCACCAGGCTAACACGACCATTGTTACGAACATAGTGGAAGAGCCTCTCCCCAACCCTGTCTTGTAATACCTGCCTTATTCCACCGGTTATGGGATCGACGGTAGACATCACCTCGTCCTTCATTGAGGGCGCGCCCTCCGGGGAACTCCAAGATGTGATCAAAGACATCAAGGCCCTCACCTCCGACGACGACCCGGCCCTGATCGCAAAGCTGAAGCCTGCGTTCGAGAAGTACAATGAAGAGCAGATGGTGGCTGTGAGGCCCCCTGGAGCAAGCGATTATGTACGAGACACTCTACCCTTTATCCCGCGAACAAGGAATATCTGGCGAGAAAACACCCCTCCATTGGAATTGGCCCGCAGTGTCCAGCTGACAACAAGTCTGGGGGGGTTTTTGTTAGGTCTTAATATCCTCCTACAACAAACTCTCCTCCGGGCAATACTACGACACGCAGTCTGCCACCTCCTTCTCCTTCGACCACACGACCTCCAAGCCCTCCGCGCCGCAGTCCTACACGCACGACACCAAACACAGCGACCTCGTGTCGTCGATCGTGAAGCATCTCTCCGGGCACTTCGCCGAACACTACCCACCGACGTCCTCGCCCTCGGCATTCACCGTGTGCGCCACGCCCGACGATTCCCAAGTCGCGATCCTGATATCCTCGCTGAAATCCTCGCCCAAGAACTTCCTCAGCGGCCGCTGGCGGACCGCGGCCCTCTACAACCCGGCCTCCAACACCCTGTCCGGCGGGATGAAGGTCGACGTGCACTACTACGAAGACGGCAACGTCGCGCTGTCGACCAAGAAGGAGTTCTCCAACGTCTCCGTCGACGGAGGGGCCAGCGGCGACGCCGTGGTGCGGAAGATCGCCGCCATCGAGAAACAGTACCAGGAAGAGGTAAACCGGACGATCGTGGGCATGAATGAGACAAGCTTCAAAGCCCTGCGGCGGCAGCTGCCCGTCACGAGACAGAAGGTCGAGTGGGAGAAGATCAGAGGCTACGGGCTTGGCGGAGATCTGAGGGGGGAGGGCAAGCGGTGAACAGAAAGGAGGTTCAGCCGGCGGTGACACCGTGAAAACGATCTAGGAGCACGCTTTTAAAGACGCACATGCATGGAACTCAGGAGGAGTTGTGCTACATTTGCATACGAGACGGTCTCAAATAGGTAACCACGGATGACAAGCGGATTTCCGAGTCTAAGAAGTTCTGGGACGCAAGTAAAAGCCATGGGCCATGCATTTCAATCCCTCCCACGCTTCTCCTGTCTATGGCAGTCCTCTCCCCGACCTCGTGGCCTTCGCAACCTCACTCTGTGTGGTATCCTCCGCATACCTCCGGTAGGCATCAACGTATTGATCCCTTTCACTCAAGGTATCCAGCACACTCTCTCTTTCGCCCACTGCTTTGGCCCATTTCCTCCATCTCTGCCACGTACCTTCGTCATCACCTCCCTTTCCTTCCTCAGGCACACCTACTCCGCCCTTGTACACATCAAAAAGAAACATCCTGCACAGCCAAGGCGCGAGCATGATGTCCACGAGACTGAATCTCTCACCCAAAAAGAACGGTCCTTGAGGATCGCATTCTTTGATGAAGGTCTTGATGTGGTTGAGGAATTCTGTCCGCGCTTCATCTAGACTATATGATTTTGAATCGGAATGTTGCATGAACCGGTAGAACGCGGGGACAATTCTCATTGAGATGTGATCGATCCAAATCCGGCATTTGGCGCGCAGATAGGCGTCTTCTCTCGGAAGGAGATCGGGTCCGTTCTTGGAAGGGTCGTTATATACTTCGTCCAAGTACTCGCAGATCACAAGACTCTCGTACAGGGGCTTCTGCTCCTTGCCATCCTTGTCAAGCGGAACGGCGAGCGTCGGGACCAAACCACGCGGGTTTAATTTGAGGAATTCGGGGTCTTTGTGGTATGGGTTGATCTCGAAATATTGGTGCGGGATGTTCTTCTCGTGCAGGGTAATCCAGCTGCGCTGGACGAAGGGGCAGAACCAGCCGCCGTAAAGGATCAATGGATTTGGCGAGGAGTGTGCTTCAGCGTAGCGGGCAGCGCTCCCCGAGGTATGGGGGTGCAGGGATGTGTCCACGGAGCCCATGGCGCGGCGGCAGATGGCGAAGGTTTTGGGTACACTTACTGACGGACTGTGTAGTAGAAAGGGAAGGTAACGACTGCTAGAACAAAGGGGTAGAGTTGAAATGGCAAGGAAACTCATGCCATGTAGTAATGTAACAGAGGAGTGAACAAAGTGATGCTGCTCAGATCGTGAATGCGGTAATGTCGATGCGATGTGGGGGCCACGATATAGCAAGAATGACGTACTGCGCCTCCTGGGGCGAGTGGCTTACCTAACCCGATCATCTATCCATTTGAACAGCAGTGTCGGTACGCGAAAACCAAGTGCGTGGGAGGTGGTGGCAGATAACGAGATAGATTTTCTTTTCGTTGTAGAAAATGTATGTGGCCAGGAGAAGAGCGAGCGAGGTAGCAGGGACAGATGACGTTCAAACAAACAGCCCGCTTCGGAGACCAATGCCAGTTACTCAGTGCTAGCATCCCTTATGAGAAAAGCGAATGCTCTCGTGCACACTTGAACCTAGACGGGGTCATTATCTGAGTCATGATGGCTAGCTTAGTGGGCAAAAAATAGAAACAAAGTCCAAATACCGAGTATCCCTGTGGAATGGAAAGGGATGGTACTTGTTGGATCTGCAAAGAATAGAATAGAGGCCAGGCTGGCACTGATTCAAGGGGCAAACCAGCGTGTTCCAAAGCCACCCTTTGGCCGCCAAGGCTGGGGCAAGTGGCTCGTAACTCCCTACTGCGGTTAAGTTGATGGTGATGGGGCGCTTTGGTGGACTGCGGCGAACAAGGTGGCCTCGCGCCTCCTTCCGCCAGTGAAGATGGTGGAAAAGGACAGCGTATCGATAACTGCGTCCCTAGAATAAATATTTCCCTCCACCGCCAGCCCCAATACTCCTCGACCTTCCTCCTACCCAACAACCACATATCATTCTTTTTTTCCCCCTTTACCTCTCCTTCCCTCTTCCCGCCGACAAGATGGCGTCCGGTAACGTCCAGCGTCGCCCGCGCAGATCCTCTTCCGCTGCTTTGCAATGGACAACTCTCTTCTACCTCCTCCTCATCTTTGTCTGTCCCTTGGCTTTGATTGGCAGAGTGAATGCTGAAGACCAAACACCCTTGAACGACTCAGACAGTAACTATGGCACTGTCATTGGTATCGATCTGGGTACAACATACTCCTGCGTCGGTGTGATGCAGAATGGCAAGGTCGAGATCATTGTGAACGACCAGGGAAATCGGATAACACCTTCATATGTCGCATTCACCGACGAAGAGCGGTTAGTGGGAGATGCGGCAAAGAATCAATATGCTGCGAACCCAACCAGGACAATTTTTGACATCAAGTGAGCCTCTTTCAGCCTGTTCCTGGTCCCTTTCACTTTACTAACATGGCTTGACAGACGCTTGATTGGCCGTAAATTCGAGGACAAGGACGTTCAGCGAGATCTGAAACACTTTCCCTTCAAAGTCGCCAGCAAAGATGGCAAGCCAGTGGTCAACGTCGAAGTTTCTGGCAAACCCAAAAGCTTCACTCCCGAAGAAATCTCCGCCATGGTTCTAGGCAAGATGAAGGAAGTTGCGGAGGCATACCTGGGCAAGAAAGTTACCCACGCAGTTGTCACGGTCCCGGCATACTTCAACGACGCTCAGCGACAAGCTACCAAAGATGCTGGTACTATCGCTGGTTTGACTGTTCTGCGTGTTGTGAACGAGCCAACTGCCGCAGCTATCGCCTATGGCCTGGACAAGAAGGGCAAAGAGAGCCAGATCATTGTCTACGATCTTGGTGGTGGTACATTCGATGTTTCCCTTCTTTCAATTGAAGATGGCGTTTTCGAGGTCCTGGCCACCGCCGGTGACACTCATCTTGGTGGCGAAGACTTCGACCAACGAGTGATTGACTACTTTGTGAAGAAATACAACAAGGAGAACGATGTCGATATCCGCAAGGATCTGAAGACCATGGGTAAGCTGAAGCGTGAGGTGGAACGCGCCAAGCGAACCCTTTCCTCCCAAATGTCTACACGAATCGAAATCGAAGCTTTCCACAACGGAAAGGACTTCTCTGAGACTTTGACCCGGGCTAAGTTCGAGGAGTTGAACATGGACTTGTTCAAGAAGACGCTTAAGCCGGTCGAACAGGTATTGAAGGATGCCAAGGTCAAGAAATCCGAGATTGACGACATTGTCCTGATTGGTGGTTCGACTCGTATTCCCAAGGTTCAGTCAATGATCGAGGAATTCTTTGGTGGCAAGAAAGCCAGCAAGGGTATCAACCCTGACGAGGCTGTCGCATATGGCGCAGCCGTTCAGGGTGGTGTTCTCTCTGGCGAAACCGGAACCGAAGACCTTATTCTCATGGATGTCAATCCTCTGACTCTCGGCATTGAAACTACCGGTGGAGTCATGACCAAACTCATTCCCCGAAACACACTGGTACCGACCAAGAAATCCCAAATCTTCTCTACGGCTGCGGATAACCAACCCGTAGTACTGATCCAGGTTTTTGAAGGCGAACGAGCAATGACCAAGGACAACAACCTTCTGGGCAAATTCGAACTGACCGGTATTCCTCCCGCCCCTCGTGGTGTTCCTCAGATTGAAGTGTCTTTCGAACTCGACGCAAACGGTATTCTCAAGGTCTCGGCTGGCGACAAAGGCACGGGCAAGTCTGAATCGATCACCATCACGAACGACAAGGGACGTCTCACCCAGGAGGAAATCGACCGAATGGTCGCAGAGGCCGAAGAGTTTGCCGAGGCAGATCGCGCCATCAAGGACAAGATCGATGCTCGCAACAAATTGGAGAACTATGCCTCGTCATTGAAGAACCAAGTCCACGACGAGGACGGGCTCGGGGGCAAGATCGATGACGAGGACAAAGAGACTCTTCTGGATGCGATCAAGGAGACGCAAGACTGGCTCAGTGACAACGCCGATTCCGCAGACAAGGACGACTTTGAGGAGCAGTTCGAGAAGCTGTCTCAAGTCGCATATCCTATTAGCAGCAAGCTATACGCTGGTGGTGCAGGAGGCATGCCAGACTATGGAGATGATGATGACGAGCCCTCGGGGCACGATGAGCTGTGAGAAGGTCGGGGCTTTGGCATGAATTTTGTACCAGCGTTATGAATTGAGGACTTGATTACAAGCATCTAGACGTGCTCGGCCTGGGGAGGAAAATCAGGCCGGACATGCAAAAGGGCGTTGGTCTTTCTCCTTTTCTCTTGTATCCCGGAAGGCAAAGTTGTGAAAACTAGATACCACAAGAAACCCAATTGAAAATCCGTTTGAAAAGGAATTGAACTGGCCATATTTTGCTTTCCAGGTCCTCGAAGGACTAAGAAGACCAATTCAACAGCGAGCACGCTCTGTAGCTCTGTGTGTGCTAACGTGTAGCATCACAATCCCCCTTTCCATCCCGTCCCTTCCCCTCTCGTTGACTCTCCGGATCCCTGCGCGCCTCTCCCGTGTCGATCAGAGATCAAAAGTCCTCGCACTTGGTCACGAACAGCGCGACGACCTCGTACGGATGGGCCCTTCTCAACTCGCGCACGGCGTCCTTGCACCGCCGCGTGCCCACGACCACCATCTCGACCTTGTCCTCCTCGACGTACTCGACCTGGCCGGCCCTGCCGATGTGCGGGTTCGCCGCGGCCGACGGCTTGAACTGGCCTGTCCCACGGCAGATGAAGGCCGTGTCAGTGTACTTCGCCGGCTCCTCCTCGCTGCCGTTCTGGTTGTCCTTGTCCCCGACGCCGCCGTTGGGGCTGTTGGGCCAGGTCCCCGCCCCCGTGGCCCAGAGCGCCTCCAGGCACGCCTGCGTGTTCTCCACCGGCGAGTAGAACGTTAGCTCGTAGATGGTCCTGTCGTCTGCGCTGGAGGCGTTGGATCCGGTTGTGCTGGGGATGGTAGTGGTGGTGGCCGGTTGGCTTGACATGCTGTGGCGGCTGGGACTGGGGGTGCAGACGGATCCCGGCGGCGAGGAGGAGGTCGTCTTGGGCCTTGGGTTGTTGAGATGGAGAACGTGGCAGTGCTGGTAGTGATGTACAAAGACTCGGTCCGCTGCTTTCAACGGTCGGAGTCGCTGTCGGAAGCTGTGAACTGTTGTTTGACGGGCGTGGACTGGAAATGTTGGCATCTGAAGAGAAACGAAATGTATCGAAAGTATCAAGGGCCAACAACGCAAGAAGGTGGAGAAATGTTGCAACGCCGTTCTCGAAGCCATTTACTATATACACAGACAACCAACTCTCTCCTTCATAAAGCGTACTAACATTATAGTGAATTTTTTGCAGCAGCATTACTGTGGTAGATGATGTGTGAGAAATAAAAGACAAAATCCTCCCCGATAAACCCCTTTGCCTCAGTAGTCGAAATTCTCATAGATAATTGTCGTGCCTGGCATCCATTCCTGCACAATCTTCCTCATCGCTGGTGCCGTGCAAAGATACCAGTTGTCCACTTCTGAATCCCAAGCTACCAGGTCATTTTTTGTCACTCTCCTCCTCAGGACCTTCACACCGGTGTCGACTAATTCCTGCAGCTTTGCCTTGGTCTTGTCATCTATCACCGACTCGTCGCCAGTTAGACAGATGGTTAACGAGTCTTTCAACAGAGGATATTGGGTGAGGACGTCCAGCGGCAACCCGACATCACGAATCCCCACGCTCCACATAACCTTTAGTTTGTCGAGATCCAGGCTTTCCATCTGGCCCAGCAAAGGTGTAATTCCAATCCCAGCGGCAATAAAAGCATTCCTGGCTTGGGGCTCGAATGCGAATTCGCCGCCAAAGCCTCGAATGCCAATCTCACACATGCCCTCGCGCTGCCATTCGAGCCACTTGGTGACGTGGCCGACTGCGCGGACGGTGACTTCAAACTCTTCCCCGTGCAGGCCGAGCGAGTTCGGGATAGATGAGACGGTGAAGGTGCGAATGTAGTCATCATTCAGACTAGTCGGGTCGTCGTCTCGCATGTGCGAGTATCCCATGTCCAGCTCGGCGGCCAAGTCCATTGCGACATATTGGCCTGGTTTCCAGCGGCCGAATACATCAGGATCGGCGAGCGCGAAGCGATATCTCGTGATAGTAGGAGTGATCTTCGTCTTCTTGATGAGTTGTGCTGTCGTAGGTGGTGCGTCACCTGCCGTCTTCCCAAACGCTTCCGTTTTTTCTTCGGTCAGGTATCGCACACGGGGATTGTAGGGCGAGCGGCCTTGGGACGCATCGTCCATCAGCTTGCCCCGGAAAGGCAATCCGTTTTCAACAAAGTGCGCGCCAGTCACTTTCAAGCTCACGGCGAGATTGCTTTTTGCGATGACTTTGCTCGCCGCGGCCCCGACAAGTGTCTCAGTGTCTCCGGTCACATAAAGAACATCACCAGTCTCGAAGTCCGGGATCACCAGGCCCGCGTGGGGAGTGCTTTCAAGATTGCCAAGTGTTTGGTAGAGATTGTTTCCGCTGTACTCGGGCCACACAATAGTACTGCCTTCCTCTGAGTTGGCAGGCTGATGCACGCGGATGAAGCCTGGGGGACCGCCACGGTGATTGCAGTCCATGTCCTCGTGTTTGTGCGCGGAGGCGACGAAAAACAGGTCCGCATTATGCACTAAATCAATCGCTTTTTGCGTGAGGTGCGGTGAAGAAGACAATAATCTCGGCTTAGGCACGGCGGCAATGATGTGCTTCTTGTTAAGGTATTTTGGACAATTGCCGAGACTTTGGTCAATCTTGACAACAAGCTGAACTTCGCCGGATTTGCCTGTTTTTGCATCGTCCTTGGGCTCATTGCCATCCGAAACGGGCTCGTTAGCGGTGAGGGCACCGGCAATGACCTGGCCGGCCATCTTGACTCTCCCTCTCTCTTCGAGATGAATACTTAGCCCGGCCATCAGTCTCCCTTTGCCCTCCTCGCGTATCACTTCCCCATCGTCCTTGCCTTTATAAATTGCTTGAATTACGGGATCGAAGCTCGCGTCGACAGTGGTGCGGACTCCCATGACGCTCTGAGCCACAGGCTGTGCGATTGGTAGATGATCGGAGCCCCAGACGGTGCACCAGGGCCTCTCTTGATCATCCAACGTTCCTATTGCCATCATGGGGTACCGTTGGATCATGTTGGCCGCCCGAGGGGTGAGGAATGGTGAAGTCGGATTGTCATAGCCGCCCACGCGAGTTCGTTTATGAATCGCGACTTCGCCCTCGTGCCATGAAGCAGCTTGAAAGAACGACATTTTCCTTTTCCTCTTGACCATGAAAGTAGTTGACCGGATGTTTGAGGGAACAGTAGAATGCTGAAGGACGAAGCGCATCAAACTTGCCCGGACCTCCTTTATATCATTGCCAGCGTCGATGCTTTCCGTTTGTGCCAGGGTAGAATTTTGAACAAGTCAAACCTTGGACTTGACAAATATAGGGCGATCTCAACCCCCATGACGGGCCCAGATGGTATCATCTTGAATAGAGTCGAACCGGACGAGATGTTTACTAAAGCAACAACTGTCAGCATGCATTTCCATCTTTGGCCGCTTCAATGTCTGGGGCATCTTCGTCAAGCGGCGAGGAGGGTTAGGAGATTTTATTGGCTTAGGCATACGGCGCGACGAGCAATTACGAGGATGAGGGTTATTCGGGGGATGGAAAGCAAATCAGATTCGTCGCCTCGGTGGGGAGAATGGAGGATGATGGAGGACGGAGGGGGCTCGAGGGGCCGTGGTGAGGAGGTTTGTGGCATCTCCGAGGGCAGCTTCGAGGCCTAATGAGCCCGCCGAGGCGCCTTTGTAACGGCGCCGCTTAGCCATCAAAGCAGCGACCGCGAGAGTTCAATCCTTTGCGGGCTTAGGCAGGTCATGAATTCTCAACTGGGCGAGCGGGTGGGTGGTTGGTGGTTAGTCACGATTGCCCTGGTCGGTCCACCAGCGGTGTACCTGCGCCCGCGCCCGCTACGCAATCCGCGTCCCATCCACCATGAATTCCCCCAAACCAAAAGCAACTGACCATCCCAATTACCCAACCCCAAAATGACGAGGTCACCGCTCCAATAACAATCAGTGGGATAACCGCTCCCATATTCACTCCTCCGACCACAAAACCCCCCTGGTGCGCCAGACTGCCTCCAGTTCTTCCAGGAAGAGCAGTTCCTCTCCCGAATACATCTTCTGGAACCGTTGTCTCAAGTCGTGTCGGATCAGGGCAATGTCCTCCGGCTTGTCGACGGCATACCCAAATATCAAGGTCGGCCACGATCCCAGGTAACACCTCGACCATTCCTCGTTAGCTTGTGGACACTGCATGATCTCCAGTCCTCTGCGAACCTGCCATGTATCGCCCGCAGGCGGAAGCGGAGATTCAGTATCGCACACCTCATGTGATCTGGAGACCCATTCCAGGAGAAGGGATGCCGCGAGAATGTGCAAGCTTGTCGAGTGTTGGTGGAAGCTGCGAGCTCGTTCAGCCGGTGTTTTGGTCGACCACGAGTCCTCTTCCTTGACGCAGTGGCCCTCCTCCAGAACTGTCTTCTCCCAATATGCCATTTCCCGGCCAAGAACCTCGAGTAGTTCAGGGTCAGGTTTCGCTGGGCTTTTACATAGTTGGACAATCTCAATGATGAACTTTTGGAGCGCCAGAGGGAAACCTATCACTGGACTATTGTCGGCCGGCGAGGCATCTGGGAATGTTAAGGACTGTAGCGTCTGTTCTGCTCGTGCACAAAACTCAAAGTCGGGCTGAAAGTCCACTGCAAAGGGCCGGTTAACCGTCTGGCGAAAGACTTGATAGAGGATGCTTTCCCAGATGATACGATGAATCGGGCGTGGCATGGGCGGTCTTCGCGAATTCGTCCATCGGAGTTTCATGAGCTGGATTGCTCCCATCACATGTTTCCCGATGTCTTTGTTGGTCCCAATATCAAATACCTGTTCGCAAGCACATATTGGTTAGTCGGCTCGGTCATCTGCAAAAGCAGGAAAACTCACTCCGTGGATATAAAGAAAGATGATGGCCACGAGGAGGGCGTCATTAAAATCATCCCGGCCCCAGTCGATCGTGCTGAGAGAGCGATTGACCTCAGAAACGGCACGAGTATAGTACCTGATACCGGCCTCGTTCATCTGAGCACTTCCGGTAAGAAGGTGCATCCGCGACGCACCACAAGCTAGGGCAACGTCTTTCATGCCCTCAAATTGCAGAAGCATTTCCACTACCTCGGGGATGAACTGGGACTGGAATCCCGGATGTGTGTTCGAGAGGATGAGCAGTGGTAAGAATCCATCAAGAAAGTGCCGGAAACAGTCAACTTCAAGGTCGGATTTGAAGACTGGCGAGTTGAAGAGGTCTGAGTTGAAAGAGATTTCACGGCACACGAAGAATGGCGATGCATCAGTACCAGCACTGTCTTTGCTGCTGCCGGAGAGCCGTCTTGCGACATCAACGCTTTTGGGCAACTTAGGAGGCGACGGCGACACAGGAGATCTCGAGGCTCGACTATGTCGCCGGTCGAACAGGTCGTCTTCGGCAGGCCAGGTACAGACTCGGTTGGACTTGATGCACTTTTCGCACCGAGGCCTTTCTTCCGTGCATTTCTTCCGTCGCACGCGACCCAAAATCCTGTCAGCTACAGATGGCTCCACCGGATATAAATGCACTCACAGGTCAAACATCCAGTCTTGGTCCGCAGAGTGGCATTGGATTGTCGTGCCATACCACCAAAAATTTTCCTCGGGCAGCTTCGACGCAGATCAACATCTCATGGTGGGCGGTTCGATGTTCCCGAGACATCCATTGAAGTGCGACAAGAGGATGGATATCGCCTGGGAGATATTAGGTACGGTACATTCCAGGAAGCTGAAATCGACGTCTTCAATCCTTATCAATCGAGGTCGAAGCAGTCTGAATTCTAGGCCCCAAGCATGGTGGGTTTTCACCCCGCATTTACGAGACCGGCGTAGTCGGTCTCAACCGACCCAGAGCATTGGGCTGGCGAGGCCATGGAAGGACAAGCGGAATTCGTTGCGAAGTTGCGGAAATACCTGTACCCACACACACGAAGGCCTCGAAGTCCCTCTTCGTCTCGCTGCGGCACACATCCTCAGGGGTTTGACGGTTGCACACGGCTGCCATACGATGGAAATAAGGTGGCCCTTGTTTTCCATTTGGACACTCTTTCACCGAGACAGTGAGTCTTGTCTCTTATTTATCCAGTCAGCTATGTGTTGAACAAAGATCCCTCACTGGGGTTTAGCACCCTTTTCCAAAGCCATGATACCGCTTCACCACCAGAAGGTCTACTCGGTCCCTGGTCCTTATCCACGCCAACACTTTGCTGACCTTGGACTTTACAGTGTTAAGAGGCGCCCAGAGCCTTCGATATCAGCTCCACGGCAGCCATTAGCTCTTCGTCCTGTTCAGATCTAGCGACGACCTGAATATGACAAGGCGCTTTATCGACGGCTTCCGGCATATCTGCAGTCTATCAGCCACTAGCTTTACAACCTGCTCTTGAAGAGCCACTCACAGTCTGGAATTCTGGGGTCGGGGAGGTCCAGATTCTTGTCCGCCTTGAGATATGGGATAATGCAGGCAGGGTACTGCTCGAGTAGATCAGCCTTCATTCTTGCGTCGGCACATAGCCCAGCTTTTCACTTACCGCTAGGAGATTCCACATCACCGTATACGGCGGCATTCTGAAGGTGTCATGGGGTACAGCGGTCTTATGCGACCCTGGTGCCACAATAACGTCCAACTTGTTCTCTACAAAGAGCTTCAACCAGTCTGATCGAAATTTGAGACGCTGTTCATTCATGTCGAATAAGTCACCCAGACTCTTGTCGCGGCGGCCTTCAGGAGGCGGTGTATACATGTCCTTGACCGAGGTGACCCACGGCTCCCCCGAAGCTTCAATATGTTTGAATCCGGTGCACTCATTATCGATATCGAAGAATCTCCAGGACAACTCTGTGGCCTCTTTGAACGACGGAAATTTTTCGAGCATCACAATGTTGTGGCCGGCTTGCTTCAGCTTTTCCGTGGCTGTCTTCAATGCTCGCAGGATTGGTGGTTGGACAAGCCAAGTGGGACACTCGAGGATAACACCAATCGTCAGGGCCTTTTTCTCTTCAACAGGATGCCAGGGCATGGCAAGTGCGGTATAGTCAAAGTTCCACGGCTTCGAATTGATGACGGATTCCAGAAACAGTCGCAAGTCGCGGGTACTCGTCGCCAAAGGTCCTGCCGCTGGCATTATGCCTGTCCAGCCATCCAGCACCGGATTCGTCTGGCCGCCAAAAGGAATGCGATCAACAGATGGCTTAAACCCGTATGTTCCACAACAGAAGGCAGGTATTCGGATGGATCCCCCGATGTCTGTCCCGACACCCAAAATTGAGCCTCGCATACCGACAAGGGCTCCTTCGCCGCCGCTACTTCCCCCAGCAGTGAGTTTGAGCTTGTGAGGATTCTGGAACAGGTAAGCAAAGCGTTTGCAACTCTACACCATCGCCCTTACCAGCACGCGGCCAAAGACGTTGTTTTCGGAGTCGGCTGTCATTAATGTTTGCGGAAGGTTGGTCTTGACATAAAGCACGGCGCCATTTTCAAGCAGTATATCAACCAAAGGTGAGTTGAAGTCCGCCACTGGTCGGTTGATAAAAGAGACATAGCCGATTGTCGAATACGTGCCCTTCAGGTTGAAGGAATCCTGTAGGCCACAACGTTGAGCAATGAGACCGCCCGAGAGATCTTTAGCCATACCTTCAAACTTATGGGCATTCCATGCAACGGCCCGATTGGCTTACCTTCTCTCTCCAGATATTCGTCGAGATATTTAGCTCTTTCAAGAGCCTTGTCGAAGAAAATTTCTGTCAAGCAGTTCGTCTTGGAACTTCAGCGACAACTGCCTCGAGATACAGGATTGTTACTAACCACTTGATGGGCGACAGCAGCTCTCTTGCAGAAGGCTTGAGTGACTTCAACAGCGGAAAGCTCTTTCGCAGCCATCTTGGCTATCAGATCGACAGCATCATAATTTTCCGTGATCTCGAGCTCCTTGGGCGTGAGAAGGCCACACTTTGCAGGCACGTCCAGGACGCTCATATCGGAATCAGCATTGACTGATTCTAGGATGCTTGGAGCCAGCCGCCATTCTTCAGGTATAGCTTTGGCTCCCTCGGCACGTTTCTTCGCGACCAAAGTTTTCCAATCCTCGCCCATTCTTGTGATCGGCCAAATATTATTCAGGATGAGACTACAATAGGTTCAACAAGTTGCGAATGAAAGTTGCACAGCTTTATGTATACTCTATTGCTCGCCTGACACAGACTCCAAAGCGGGGAAGCTTGGACAGAAGGGACGGGATGTTCACTGATATTGAAGGTTCGTCAGATCAGGTAAGGGAAACCTCGCTTGACTGTCCTGTTTGCTCGCTCAGTCGGTTTGGTGCCTTCTGATATCTCCTCTAGATCCCTTTTTGTCTGGACAAACAGGATCATTTCCTCCGCCGGCACATAGCAACGGTCAATCACACGGAATTCCGCGATGCTTGTTTCAGGCTAAGATCTTGGAATGGAAAGGCCGCCTCTTAACTATCGGCCCAAACCCAGCACCAATCAGACATGATAGCGCCCGCAAAGGATTCGGACGACGGCCGGACTCTGGCTACTGGAGGCTATGTGGCAATCTGCCGCCTCTAAAACCCAGGCGCGGCCTGAACGGGCAGGAGAGTTTCCGACAATGGCTTTGAAACTGGCCTTGAGCCAAGGAAGGCCGGAAGCAGTTGTGTTTTCACGAAGCAACGACATGCCAGAGTGAGATGAGGTTTCTTCGACACAAATTTCAACATCTTGCGCCCACAGGTTCTGGAGAACTACTCGTTATACCGACCCATCCCTATCGCGACCAGCTTGTCGCGCTTGTCCCTGCGAGGGCATTGACTTGCATGGTTCTCCCCAATGGCTATCCACTTTATTTCATCGCCAGCTCCGCCCTCCATCAATACATGATCGTCGTACCCCTGCCTCACCGTTAACCATGTGGTACATCCGTGTGGTACAACCGACCACATGCGGAGATCCCAGTATCTTATCTTTCTGCGCTGCGTTTTCATAGGCTTTATCATAAGAGTCTATGCTGGAATCGACCATCTGGGTCTATTCCGAAGGCCATTCTGCTCTTATCGAGGAGATTGCGCGTCGAATCTTCTATCTCTGGTGCACGCGCATGCGGTGCTCTGGAACTTGTTGCGCGGACATTTGCGATGGCGGGAGCACAGACACATAAATCAGTGTTACGCCCATGATGGCGATCCTATGAAGATCACCAACTCGGTTCTCGTCTTCTTCTCTCCTCACTTCTCCATCCTTCGTCTCTTTCCCTTCATTTTCGGAGCCTTGCAATCTGGACCGAGATGGCGCACTACAACTTACCAGTTGACACAGTCCCGGGGACTGTCCACCTCGTGGACATTGAGCATACCATGCATACCCGACATGCTGGATCTGGGGACAAGGACATTGTTCTAGTACCCACTCCATCGAGCGACCCTGATGATCCCCTGAACTGGTCGCCTAGGCGCAAGCTCATGTTGACCGTCACAGTCAATATGTATGTCTCACCACGACCTTGATATTGTGTGCCACGACACTGACCGCTACTAGTTACACCTTGGTGGTTGGCATTGCTAACTCTGTGGTCTATTCGGTGCTTGTTCCGCTTTCTGATGCTTCGGGGGTCTCTATAAGCACCCTCAACCAAGGCACGGGATACTTGTTTCTTCTTGCTGGCTGGGGTTTGCTTTTCTGGCAACCTTTTGCCCTGCGATATGGCAAGCGACTGACCTACCTTCTCTCCATCTGCGGAACAATCGGTTGCACAATGTGGGGCCCATATGCTCGTGGCAACGGAGTGTGGATTGCGAAAAACGTTTTGGGAGGGTTTTTTGCGGCACCGATAGAAGCTCTTCCGGAGATCTCTGTGACAGACGTGTATTTTCAGCATCAGCGAGGAACGTACATGGGCGTCTACGCTTTCTTCCTCGCCGGGAGCAACTATTTTGCCCCAGTGATCTGTGGCTTCATCGCCGATGATCAAGGCTGGAAGTGGGTGTTCTACTGGCCTACAATCTTCCTCGGCGTGGCTTTGATCTTTTGCTTCTTCTTCATGGAAGAGACGAACTACATACGATCCACAGTCGGTGTTGTCGAGACATCGAGTGGCAGCCAAACACCCATTTCTGCGACTAAAGACGAGAAAGCGACAGAAAAGATGCCGGACGTTGTCAACGAGCCCGCGCTTAATGTTGAGAGCGGCACCGTGGTTTACGGCAGCAACAAAACCTACTTGCAAAGAATGTCGCTTTGGCAACCGTCTCCCGGGGAACCAATGTGGACAAGAGCCTACAGGTCGTTGAAATACCTGAGCTGGCCTGTCATCTTCTATGCTGGGTTTAGCTATGGCAGTTATCTTGTGAGTTTTAGATTCGGCTATGATCATCTTTTTTGTACTGAAAGAGCTCGGCGTCTTACTGACAACGTATCCCAACAGATCTGGTTCAATGTGCTGAATGCAACTGCAAGTATCATTCTAGGAGGTGCCCCATACAATTTCAAAGCCTCCATGGTCGGACTTTCATACGTCAGCACGTGCTTGGGCGTTATGGTTGGGTGCTTCTTTACTGGCCGGTTCAGCGACTGGCTCACCATCAGACTTGCGCGCCGCAACAACGGCATCATGGAACCGGAACAACGCCTCTGGCCCTTTGCAGCGTGCATCATTATCGTTCCTGCATCCCTCATTCTGTGGGGCGTAGGTGCTGCTCATCACGTCCATTGGTTTGGGTTGATCTTTGCCATGGGCACCCTGGCCGCTGCAAATTGCTTCGGAATTACTCTCAGCGTCAACTACCTCATCGACACATATCATGAAATCAGCGCAGATGCAATGACGACGGTGATCTTGGTTCGGAATACCATGTCATTTGCCATTGGCTACGGAATTACCCCTTGGTTGGACAACCTCGGTCTGCAAAATTGCTTTATCTCGGCTGCGTTCATCGGCATGGCGGCCTCATCGGTGTTTCTGTTCATGGTTTTCTATGGCAAGACCTTCCGGGAGCGGAGTCGAGTGAAGTACTGGAACTTGGTTGCAGAACTGATGGCTAAGAGCGCCGTGACCACCTGAGAGGGAGGAGGCGATTGGGTGAGCACATGACAAGGCTCGTAGGATAATAGCTCGAGCTTGATGACTTGTGTCTCATCCGACGTGTTTGGAGCAGTGAAGCGAAGTAGGTATATAGACAGAAAACCATGCCATGCTATCGACTCAGGTAATTAATGGTCATTGGTCAAGGCCATAAGGCTGCACTGAGGCGCAAGGCTGTACACGTGATGCATAAACCCGCTCCGATCTCATTCCGACTTTTTGCCTCGACCATTTTTTCCTCGCTCGGCGTGATTCTTGTCCTTGCCTATCCTCACAGAACACCATTCATGTTCACATATGTTTGGCCGTATCGCAGTATGTCTCTGAGGATCTAATTTTCAAGACTGTCCAGCTGATCTTCAATACGGAGCCTTCGAACCGGTTTCTTCCTTGGTTCAACATGCTGAGCCTTGCCGATTTTCCGCTTGTGCTGAAGAATCGCTCCTGTCGGCGTCAGAGTACCTCATACTGGTGGCGGCCTGGTTGATACGTCTTAATGAACTTCCTTTTGCGATCACATCTCCACCCTAAGTTTCCATTGAAGCATTTATCAACCACTTCCAGAACGACATCGACCACCACGATGCGGAGTATTATCAACAACCGCTCTCACTTGGCATCGATGCCCTACACGCACTGTCGCACGCGGATAGTCGATCTGCTCGACCTCGACATCCCTGAACACGCAACTGATGAGGAATACCGCGCCATCTACCTTCAGTACATCCTCTGGCCACCCCCAAGCAAAATTGAGAATGCGACCCTGCTCCGGGATGCTGTTGAATCCATAAAACAGGGCATTGCCCCCCCAGTAGCCTTTCCCACGGAAACCGTTTACGGTCTTGGCGCGGACGCGACTAATGAGCCCGCAGTTTCAGGGATCTTTGCAGCCAAAGGTCGACCCAGTGATAACCCTCTTATCGTTCATGTCTCGAGCATCAAGCACCTGGAACGGGTCACAGGGGAGCCGTTGCCGGAAATATACGTGCCAGTAGCAGAAAATTTTTGGCCTGGTCCTCTGACGATCCTCCTCCCGGTGCCATCATCTGGGATCTTTGCAAGAAACGTTCACCCTTTCCAGTCGACCATTGGATTCCGGATCCCGTCGTCGAAATATGCTCGCTTCTTCATCGCGGCAACTGGGAGACCTATTGCGGGTCCGAGTGCGAATTCTTCCGGGAAGCCAAGTCCCACGACAGCGCAACATGTTCTGGAGGATTTGGACGGAAAGATCAATTTCATATTAGATGGAGGAGGCTGTGAGGTGGGTGTGGAGAGCACGGTTGTGGATGGGCTCCACGATCCGCCACTGATCTTGAGGCCGGGGGGTGTGGGCTTGGAGGAGCTGAGAAGCCTTGGGGCAGAAATGGGTAATAAATGGGAGAGGACGGCGATCGGATACAAAAGACATTCTACAGGACCCGCTGATGGCTCAAGAAATGATGGCTCAAACACGACCACGACCCCCTCGACGCCAGCGTCTATGAACGGGTCTACTATTGGGGTTTCTGCATCTTCGGCCAATGCGAGCGTGGCTCATTTTGACGGCGCCATTAGCTACGAAGATGATGTCAACGGTGCACCTCGCGCTCCGGGGATGAAGTATCGACACTATGCGCCAATAGGCCGACTGGTTCTGTTTTCCGAGGACGCCGTGCGGGACGGTCGCGTGCCGGACAAACTGGATGAGCTGGTTGGGAATTGGCGGTCACGTTTCGATGTGGATGGACAGGGGAAATCCCACGAAATCAGGGGTGGAATCATCTCCTGTCACTGGCCTGCCTTTGCCGGGCTGCAAGTCAACGAGGTCTCTTCGAACGGCTCGTATTCCAGCACCAGCAGGGAAGAAACCCCTCAAGCCGCCCTTTTAGACGCAGTACCGAATTCCGTCTATGCGCCAATCACCTCGATCGCGACAACCACCGGGAAAAACACCAACGTCACGTTATACGACGTTAACCTCGGCCCCGACATTGCCTCCCTGGCACACTCGCTATTTGGGGTCCTGAGACTGTTCGATGAGCTGGGCTGCGCCTTCATCTTCGCCGAGACCGTCCAGCGAACTTCGAACTCCTCCATGCCTCCATCGAGCCACCCTGCCGCCTTGACGAACGGCCAACTGCCGGCCGGACGACAAGAAACCAGACACACGCGCCGGGATCTCGAGGACGCAGTGATTGATCGGATCGAGAAGGCCGCCGCCGAGAGGGTGGACTGAAGCTCAACCCGGCCGATCGACCCGTTTGCTAGACATTTCTTCTCTTCATGCCGCTCGCTTACCGCGACCCGCGGGCTCCATTGTCAAATGTATCCTACCATTTCTGACTTTTCGCCCGTCCTAGAATCAAGAGCATACTCATAGACGGCCCGAAGCCACGGCCCACTCGAGGAGAGCAGAGGCGTGTGAAGTATATAAGGAGAAGTAGACAATGGGTAGAGCCATAATCAAGCGACGCCGGTGGCGGCACTTTCCTCTACTCCCGATAGGTCACTGGTGACAGAAATGGGCGTCTGGGACTACATAACTACCCACCTTTCACCTATTTTACACAGGTAGGACAGGGCAGGATGTGTCTCCACGAGAGACCTGGTCCCTCTGCCTGCACTGTGCAAGACGGATTTGTTTCAGTGGGCAAAGAGCGTGCCGCTCGTGGAGTTGGGAAGGCTACGAAAGCGTGCGTCTTGATGCATACATGCAACTACACATGTAGTCAAAAGTATATCCATGTCGGTGGAGAGATATAGCTCGGCGGTATTTTGCGGGATTCAGTTCATGCACATGACAGAGAGCAGCAAGGTGCAGAGCACATCTATGGTATTCCCTTCCTAGACGGGTATAAAATCGACGAGGCCGAATCCATTCTTAACATAAAATTCGTTCGCATCACTATCAGAGAATCCTTGTCTCATCCGCTCAACCACAACAAGGACGCGAGGAGGGGCTATCCTATACTTCCCTCGGTGCTGCTGCCAGTAGCCCGCTCACCTAATGTGGTCGTCGTCTGCGCCCGCCGCGTCCAGGATCCCTTGACCTGGAACAAACCACGACCACTTCACTTCTACTCTGGCAGGGCCGAGGATTTCAGAGCTCAATCAGACTTTCCTCGACAGCAACTGGCTGCTGCTGCGTAGGATGTGCCGCAGGTTGGCTATACGCAGCCGGAATATGTTGTGGTGCAGAAGGGAATTGGTCCTGCGTATAGGTGGGATAGGTTGTTCCATATGAACCCCCGGTGGACATTGGCGGCGGTTGTTGCAAGGGTTGTGGTTGCTGTTGCTGAGCTTGCTGATATTGCGGAGCAAATTGTTGTTGCTGTGATTGCTGTTGTGGGTAAGGTTGCGACGGAGCCTGTGTTTGCTCCGGAGGTGCTGGCTGTCGTTGTTGATAAGGCTGTTGTGTCGCCTGCTGAGGTGGAGATTGATGATACTGAGTTTGAGGCTGTGGAGCAGGTGCCTCAGGTGGCATCTGCGGCATTTGAGCGTAGGGCGTTGGAGTCTGCTGAGGATCTGAGGGAGGCATCTGAGGATACATAGATGGAGGTTGAGAGGACTGAGATGGGTACGGTTGCTGCGGAGCGGGTTGATGTTGGTACATCTGTGGTGAGGGTGGTTGATTGAATTGTCCAGGTTGCGGCATAGGTTGATGCTGCTGTGAGGGCTGTTGAGCTGGATATTGATACGGTGAGGCAGGAGTATCTTGTTTCTGACTCGAATATGAATACGAACGCTGAGGTTGAGGGATCGGCGTTGCTTGGGTAGGTGGAGCATAAGTCTCGACTGGCGCATTGCTGAAATAGTAGTTCTCCGCGCCACCAGGACCAGCGTTCATCGACGGCGGTGGTCCCGACGATATCGAGGGATACATACTCTGGGGGGCCGCAGGCGAGGGCATTGCGTAGGCGGCGTACCCCGGATTTCTCTGGTTATAAGTATTGTTCAACCGCTCTTCAAGCATTCGGTCGTAGTACCGCACGACCGTAGATAGTTTTGCATGTAGATCGAGGAGCGCGTCATTTTTTGACATTGTTTCGCCCAGTGTCCGCGCCAACTTCGGTCGAAGCTTTCCAATGCTCTCGTACAGCTCTTGAATCTGAGGCTCGCGCAGAATTGTGCCCGGCGGCTGGTGCTGCAAGCGGTCGACCAACGTGGCAAACAGGTTAATATTCTCAGCTTCCATCACAGACAATTCATAATCGTTCTTTGGCATGACGAAAGGCTGAGCGGAGGTGGCTCCGTCGGTTGTGGTTTTCTTGAGAGAAGCAGCATGCTTCTTGGCTTGCTCTTCGGCTTCTTTCAAAGATAGTGCTATGGCAGCTTTCAAATCCGGATCGTCTTCTTCATCATTTGATACACCGTTTGTCTTCGCCGGCTCTTGCTTTGACTGCGACTGCGGAACATAGCCTGAGCTTGGAATGCCTTTCGCCTCTTCAAGACTCATTTCTAATGCTCTTTTCAGGTCCTCATCAAAGCTGCTATTGTTCTCTACCCTGGCACTTCGGGGTTGCATCGAACTCGGTTTGGGTGCGAAGGAGACGCGGCGGTCGGAACCACCGCCTGACTTTTTGGTCAACTTGTCGTAACAGCCGTCGTCGACCCGCACTGGCTGCATAATGCCTAGATGCGGGAGAGGAATCGACTTTGATGAGCACTGTTGGTCGAAGACATTGCCACAATTCCTGCAGTGGTGCTTTCTATTTGTCAGGGTGAATGAGGTTCTGCATCGCATGCAGACATCGCTGTCTGTCCACTCGGGCGGTGCACTGCTGTCCAACATGCTGCTGGCTATCTCGATCTTGGGCGGAAATTTGAAGCCTTCCGACTGCAAGCTCTGGTAGACCTGGTCGATATATGACAAATCGTATCTTCCCTGAGTAGCACTGGCCCAGCTCTGGATCAGCTCCAAGATCTTCTGCTTGACCTCGTCATTGACAGCCGCGGCGCCGGAGGCTTTGAGTAACGAGACCAGGTTGTCCATGAATTCACGGGAAGCAATCTCCGTGAGGAAATGGGAGCCGCCATTCTTGACGCAGGTGTCTGTGAGTTTCAGGGCTGATAGTTGGACATTGGGATTCTTGTTGCCTATCCGCCTCTTCAGCGATCGCATGGCCTCTTTAGGCTGCACTGTCTTTGATCGGATGAGGTCCGTAATCTCGAGCGAGGTTGCGATGTCTTCCAAGCTTGAAGAGGTGGCTTTTTCGATCTGTTCGTCGAGCACAGACGTGCCTGACGAGAACCACCCAGCCATTGTGCGGGATGGACAAATACAAGGCAGCGATTGTCGTTTTGCGATGAATAGGGAGGACTTGACGGCTTGCAAATGACGTTGTTATAGGAAATTAACGAATTCTTGTCCGGCAATCAAATCAACGGGACCGCCTGTAGAGTATTCAGAGGTGGAAGGTGAGATTGGAAGTACTGTGTAGCTGGGATGAACTGATGGTTGGACGCAGTGAGTATCTGGGGAAGTTCTGGATAAACGTGCACTATCCGCCACATGCGCATGCACCAGCCACTGAGCGCCCACCAGCAACGGTCCATAAACTAATCCGTTAGTTAGCCTTGCCTCTGGCCTCTGGTGGCCTCAGCCTCGCCCGCTGTGTCATCGGTGGGCACTTCGCAGACGGGCATTTCCCCATCTATCTCGTTCTCGGCCTGCGGCCCCAGGCACTTACAGAGCGTCACGCATCTGGCTCGAAACTCCGTTTCCCATACTGAACAACTTTCCAGTGACTTTCAGCTGTTCAACACCCTATTACCCTCGAGCCAACTAATGTCATTCTCGACTCGACATCTCCGGAATTTCCAGCCTCCTTCTTCGGTCTCCAGCAATCAAGTCTGACGCTCACATGCTCTGCTTGATCAATCATAAACGCCCAAGGTCAAGGAATTAATTTTAGAAGCCTGCCACTCAGACGGAAGGTCTTGCCACTGGTCCAGCGCGCAATGATACTGCGGTAGGAGCGACACTCATATCGCCATGGCGGTGTATGCATCCTCATCCTCCGTATCCTCCCATACCACTTCCACCTCGGCCAGCGCTCGAAGCAGTTGGACCGATCCACGAGATTTCGCCCCAGGCCCCGGCTCGGGCGCTGGAAAAGTCTACGCTCACATCAAGGACATCATTCAAGATGCCACTACTTCCTTCCAAGTAGACGGTTCGCTCCCTCAGTATCTGCACGAAGTCGAAAGTTCCACCACTGTGGCAAAAAGCTCGGTCGACTTTGGCCGTCACGATTTGGCCTACAAGAGTTATATGCGGGCATATGAAATAGCAGTTAATCACATTCCAAGACACAAGGAGTTCGGATTCTGGGATAACAACCCAGTGTGGCGAGCAAAGTACAAGGCTGCTCTTCAGAGACTGGTAGAGATGGAGGGAGAGATGACTCGGATCAAAGCCCTGATTGAGGATAACAACGCCCGTTATGGGACTCAACCACAGTCTCGCACAATGCCTAGAAAACCAGTCTACTCTACAGGGTTTGGTATCCCTCAAAATTTGATTCCTGGCCGACCAACCTCTTCTGGCAGCAACGATGCCCCTCTGCGTTCGACTTCGCCAAATTCATCTGCAGAGCTACCTGATTCCCTCCGAATCCCCCGGGCACGTCCTTCAAGCAAACCCAAACCCGAGAATTTGCAAGGTCGACCTTTGACAGAAGCGGCCAACGATCTGACCCAGCGATTCGCGAAGCTCAGGGGCCCGGGAAATGCAACGGAACACTCGAACTTATTGTTCATGCCTAAAGCGGGGGATTTCCAGCATGGAGCAGGATATAACTCACAATCACATTCCAACGATGCGTCGACCTCGCGAACCAGCGCATCCCGAGCGATTCCTGCTTTCAGCAATGGACCTATCGTCCCACCAAAAGTGCCAGCTGCACCGCCCAAGGTCCCCATTGAGACTTCCATGGCCTTGCCAAAGCCTCCTAGTCCTACTTACAGCCCGATTAACACGACGACGGCCAATTTCCATGCAAACAACCATCGACTTTCGGCTGAAGTGGGCCGTCCGCCCTCGGAGAGGAAGCAGACTTACTACAATCAATCGCAGAATTCATCCACAGCCTCATTGCACCTGCAAAGGACTCGCGACGAGCTCTCTGCCCCGTACCGACCAACTACTCCCAATGGAGTCAATTCTGCCATCCCCCCTAAAAACAGCTCGAGTGATCTCCCTCATCAAACGTCGATCGATGCCGCGACTCTTCAGGACTACATGAGGAGATACAACGTTTTACTTATTGACATCAGAGAGAGGGCTTTGTTCGATGATGGGCACATCATGTCTACATCGATTATTTGTATTGAACCGATCTCTTTGAAGGAGGGTGTCTCGGCAGAGGAACTAGAGGACCGACTCGTACTGGCGCCGGATAATGAACAGTCACATTTTTCTCGCAGAGATGAATTTGATGTGGTTGTTTATTATGACCAGTACACAAGCGACGTCTCCTACCTTAAGGGTCCACCCACAATGACTAAGGCTCCGGCATTAAGAGCACTCTATGATACATTGTACGAATTCAACGACACGAAGCCCCTCAAGGACGGCCGACCGCCTGCGTTACTGGCCGGCGGGCTTGATGCTTGGGTAGATTATATGGGAGTTCAATCACTTGCGCGGTCACGAACTGCTGCCACATTGGGTATCACACGCCAAAGGCCCGTCGGTCCTGGTAGACCTATCGCACGACAGCGCATGGTTTCTGCCAATTCTCGTTATGAGGTCCGGAACAGGCGTCTTCGTGACCACAAATTTCTGGATGAGAGCGAGCAAGAGGCGTGGCGTCAGCAGGCTATGCAGGAAGAAGTGACCCCGATCGAGAAACACGACACCGCAAGCGATGAGGAATATTCGGTGGTGGAGGAAGAGCCCGAGCCTCCGTCGCCATTCATTCCCGACTATGAGACATTCTTGCGGCGGTTTCCATCAATTCAACAGCAGGAGTCCATGGTTATGCCTGCTAGACGACCTGTTCCCTCTCATCACGCCGCCTTTGTTCCTCAAATTGCACCACCTCCCGTTCCCCAAGTACCGGCAAGGCCTGCTCCCGCCATACCGAGGCCGAGTTATTCGGGCCACTCGGATATCAATGCGCCCCAACCAGCGCTGGCTAGGGTGACGTCCGCCACTCGGCCACCTCTTTATTCAACCGTAACATCCCTTCGCAGACGGCTACCCAAGACCGGCCTGACGAATTTCGGGGTAACCTGTTACATGAATTCCACTCTGCAATGTCTGTCTGCGACTATTCCCCTGTCAAACTTCTTCAACGATCGGCTCTATGAGGGGTATGTACAGCGCAACTGGAAGGGTAGTAATGGCATCATGCCCAAACTCTATGCCAACTTGATCCAAGCAGTCTGGCAGGGAGATAATGAGGTGATTAAACCGTCAACTTTCCGAAACTTCTGTGGCCGTATGAACCGAGAATGGGTGATCGACCGACAGCAAGACGCAAAAGAATTCTTCGACTTCCTGGTCGACTGCCTCCACGAGGATCTCAATGTCAACTGGGAACGGACGCCTCTTCGGCCTTTGACAACGGCAGAGGAAATGCAAAGAGAGAGGATGGAGATTGCACGAGCCAGTCCAATCGAGTGGAAACGCTACGAGCACAGAGACCATAGTTACATGTCTTCTTTGTTTGCCGGTCAACATGCCTCGCGCCTGCGTTGTCTCACTTGCAAACGCACTTCGACTACATATGAAGCATTCTACAGCATCAGCGTAGAAATCCCTCGAGATCGTGCGGGCCACATCTATGATTGTCTTTCCTCATATTGTCGAGAGGAGAAACTGTCGGAGCTTTGGCGATGTCCATATTGCAAGTGTGAGCGTGAAGCCACCAAGCAAATCATCCTTACTCGCCTACCGCAGTTTCTGGTGATACATTTCAAACGATTCGCCGCATCAAAGCACGAAAAGGCCAAGAAAATCCACACCCCGATCGAATTCCCATTGCACAATCTAGGCATGGATGATTTTGTGATCCCGCGATCTCCCGCGCTACCGGACCAGGACGGGCGTCTGAATATGGAGCTTGCAACGACACCACCCTACACGTATGATGCATACGGGGTTCTAAGACACCTAGGAAACAGCGGTGATGGAGGACATTATATCTCCATTGTGAAGGATCAGGGGCGGGGGGTGTGGAGGAAATTCGATGACGAGAGGCATGTTGATTTGGACCCGATGAAATTAAGCCCGAGGGACAGGTTGCAGAACGGGGAGGCGTACATCGTGTTCTACCAGAGAGCGCAGGGTCGATGATCGACGTCCGGCTGCCAATAGTTGGGAAGAGATAGTGGCGGCATTGGCTCCTTTTCTTGTGGCACGTTCGAGCAAGCGAAGCTTTTCTCCATGAATAGTGTGGATTGGTATTTGGCTGTATACGTCTTGACGAGACGGATTTGTTGACCTTGGAGGAACGCCGTCTCCTGGATGACCCTGCATTCTGAATTTTGGGACGGGAAAGTTTGACGACGACCATGAAAAGAATCCGATATGACGAATGAAAAGTAAGGTTCTTAGTAGTAATCCGGTATCCTCTTCTCGTGGATTGTCTGTCTCGATTCGCTCCTTGACGCCCAGGCCGTCGAAAACTTATTTGCGGTATCTTCAACCAGATAGATTGTTTCTTCACCTGGAAGATGTTTGAGCAGGCAGCCTATCCCTAGTCTTGTCCTTGATTTGACAGAGGTTTGCTCTTACTGGTACCAACGACTGGTGAGTTTTCCAATGCGATTTCCAAGAGGCTTCCCGCTTCTCTTGAGTCTCGGCTTTGTAACGTCATTCCACGTCGGACGTTCCTTTAACTGCCGATTATTGTAAAACTGTTGATTCGGAGGACTCAGAGCATCGTGGCCGTGGCTGTAGTCGCAGCGTTTAGCGATTAGCGTCGAGCTTACCCATCACGCAACCGCGAGGCTGTGGCATACACCCCTCAAGAGGAGGATACCAAGGACCGGTCACATCGACGAATGAATCGACGGCTACCGATCCCGGCTTACCCCCAGAAATCTGAATGAAATCTTAGCCAAGGGCGATATAGCCTACACAATGCGGAGCTATCAACCGGCACTGCTGCTGTCGGTTCTGTTGATTGTTGATCATTTGTGTTTCGTCTTCCCATACATCCCTCCCTCCATCCTCCGCTTTTCGATCGCCAACTTATAGGGTGGTGCTGTTGGAGGCTGCACCGGATCCAGTGACACGTGACCCTCCGGCAGCTTGTAGGTCGCGTCGCTGTCCCAGGCTGACAGGTCACCACAGGCCAAAAATGGAGCAATATGTCTCCGAGGGTCAGCGTCTTCAACGGAAGGGAATCGGAGTTCAACAATGCCATCGTCGCGGAGGTGGCGGCTTTGAGTGCGTGTTTGGGGTTGGGTATGCACGTTTCCCAGAGATGACCGTGTTTCTACCCCCGAAGAATCATCGGCCTGGTCTGTGGTTTCAGCAACAAAGTCTTCAGGGTTAGGCTCTTGCTCCTGGTCGCGCGAGGTTGATGGAGGCATCGATGCAGCTTCAGGCCCCGAACTTCGCATTCCATCCTCCACCTCAATTTCTGGGGTCCATAGCACTTCCGTTCCGTCTTCTCGTCTCACCATCACAGGGTTGTAGCCTTCACAGACCACAAACGCCTCGATACTACTCGCCCGACTGGCCCGCGGTTTCGCCACACTCACCTTCTCGAACAAGATTCTCAACTGTGCGTAAATAAGGTCAACGTCTCTGCCTCTGAAGATCTTGGCCACAAATTTCCCGCCTCGCCGTAGGACTTTTGTGGCAAGCGTGAGCGCGGAGTAGAGCAGTTGAGACTGGACGTAGATGTCGAGCGAGTGGAGACCCGTGACGTCGGGAGCACCGTCGCTTATCACAAGGTCGATTAGGTGAGTTGTGTTCTGAGGCGAAAAGTCCGGATCGATCGCCCTCAGCAGGAGTGGAACGGTGGAAGGGTGAGTAATGTCGGCTTTGAGTTGGGTTATGCCTTCGAGGGGCGCCATGGGTTGGAGGTCAATGGCAACAATCTTGACGTTTGCTCGAGGTTTCAATTCACCGCTTGTTGAGCTGATTTCGAGGGAAGACATGTCCTCTCCGAGACTCTCCTTTTGCCTTTGGTCTTCTGTGCGCTGGAATCGTTCCATCTTCTCAACCCAGGCTCTCCGCCCAAAACTCTCACCTTTGATCAGTACTCTCGAAAGAACCTGGCTCCACGACCCCGGGGCAGCGCAGAGGTCCACTACCCTGGTGCATTTCTCAGGTTCGTTGTAGGAGAACAGGTCGAATTGTTCGTCGATCTGGATGAGCTTGAAGGCAGATCGGGCACGCCAGTTTTGTTCTTTGGCCAGGCGGTAGTAAGCGTCTCTTTTGTCTTTGGAGGATTTACCCATCCTGGTCGTGTATGATTACTTGACTGCTCTCGCTGCTTCCTTGGGTCTGAAGCTTTTCGGTTTTGTTTTAATACGAGTGTGAGAACAAATTGAACGTGAGTCGGAAAATTGTCCTTAGGGCGGCGAGGCTGCACCATACTACGCATAGCGGCTTTATGGTTCACCGGTGTGTCAATACGGTCGCGCTTCTGCATCTGAAGTGCAGTTTATGCCGACTCCGATGTTTATGCGCAGTTGAGGCCAGTTCAATTAATTGTTCAATTAATTAGGATATCGAACCCGATTTCTCGACTTTGCTGCCAGAACTCCTCACCCCAAGGTATCCATTTGACAATCCTCGTAAGAGGGCGCTCATTAGCCATGGCACCTAGCATGTCCCTCCACAGCGTCGTCGCCATCCTCATACTCTCCACCGACTCGTCTCCCGATTCCTTCAGACTGTTTGCCAAATACTACTATCCTCCCCATGCTTCAGCTGCACCACAACACCCTCCGCAATCACAACCGTACCCACACCTGAAAGAACAGAAAGCTTTTGAAAAGGGACTACTTGAGAAGACATCAAAGCAAACCTCCGATGTGATTCTTTACGACAACAAAGTCGTGGTGTTCAAGATGGAGAGCGATGTCATGCTCTACGTGGTAGGCGCCGCAGAGGAGAATGAGATTCTGTTGTATAATGTTGTATTGGCATTGAGGGACACGTTGAGCATATTATTAAAGTTCGTCAAACCACCGCCGCCCACAGCAGCAACTGACTAGGGTGATTATAGGAACTCGACAGACAAGCGCACAATCATGGAGAACTATGATCTGGTAACTTTGGCTATTGACGAAATTGTCGACGATGGCATAGTATTGGAGACGGACCCAGTGATGGTGGCATCCAGAGTGTCGAAAGCTCCTGCACAGGATGCACCGAACATGAAGAACATCGATCTAAGCGAACAAGGGATACAGAATCTCTGGGAATTCGGCAAGAAGCAGGGAATGGAGTTCGTACGAAGAAACTTGTGATTTCCATGAACGGCGGGAAGGGAGGTGATCGGCCAAAGTCATGGACATGGCCTGGACTTGAGAAATACAACGAGGTTGTTATCGCACGGCGTTATGAGGCGGAGAGGGGGACAATGAGCATTATGACCATAAAAGTCAAAGACCTGAGGCCTGGTGGTCCTTTGGAAGACTCGGGGGAGGGGGGCAATAACAGCCTTATTGGGGGCGCAGCCTTGCCGCAATGAATTACCGACGCAAATCGACGTCATTTGGACGCTGAAATATTTCCCATCGAAAAGAGTCACCCTCTCCAATTCCTCATGCTAAGTTGCGCCCTCTGTTGAGCCTCTGCATTGCCTCTTGTCCCTCGTTAAATATTCCTTAGACTTCTAAAGAGGTACCATCATGAAACAACGCTTCTCGTCCCTTGACGTTAAGGTCTGTATCTGGCCAATGCCCCGCATGCGCCGGCAAGCAGCAACTGACTCCGTTGTTGTAACGTAGGTCATTGCGAATGAATTATCAACTTCCCTCACCGGCCTCCGCCTCTCAAACGTCTACGATCTCTCCAGTCGAATCTTCCTGTTCAAATTCGCAAAACCCGGAAGACGAGAACAACTTCTCCTTGACTCCGGCTTCCGCTGCCACCTGACCTCCTTCTCGCGAACCGCAGCCACTCAGCCCTCCGCCTTCGTTAGCAGACTACGCCACTACCTCAAGAGCAAGCGTGTCACCGGTATCTCCCAGGTCGGCACCGACCGAGTGATAGAGATCTCCTTCAGCGACGGACTGTATCGCTTGTTCTTGGAATTCTTTGCTGCGGGAAACATCATCGTCACAGATGCGGATCTCAATGTTCTCGCCCTGCAGCGACAGGTCAATGAAGGAGATGCAGACGTGGATGTCAAATTGGGGGGCAAGTACAAACTTGAGCCAAAACAGAACTTCCATGGCGTACCTCCCATATCAGAAGAACGAGTCAGAGAAGTTCTCCAGAAGGCGGTTGAACGCTCGAAAGCTGCAAAAGAGGTGGGCGGCAAGAAAGCGAAACGAGCAAAGGGTGTCGATGATCTGGGAAAAGCTCTGAGTGCCGGCTTTCCCGAATTTCCTCAGCACTTGCTCGAGCATGCATTTAGAGAAACGGGCGTCGATCCGACGTTAAAAGCAGACGATGTTCTAGGAGACTCAAAGTCTCTACGGACAGTCATGACCGCATTGCAGACCGCAGACGAGATCTTCAAGTCCCTGGGAACCGGACAATCGAAAGGGTACATTATCGCGAAGCAAAAGTCCCCTCCGCCAGGCGAGACGGAGCCCTCAGGCGCACAAGAAACGACCAGGGAGTCCGTTCTCTATGACGATTTCCATCCATTTCGGCCAATCCAGTTTCAAAACAAGCCCGGCGTTCATATTCTCGAGTTCGACGGCTTCAATCGTACGGTAGACGAGTTCTATTCGTCCATCGAATCTCAGAAGCTGGAATCCCGACTGACGGAGCGAGAAGAAATCGCGAAGCGGAAATTGCAAGTTGCGAAAGATGAGCACGAAAAGAGATTGGCAGGCCTTCAGCAGGTGCAGGAATTGCATGTCCGGAAGGCTCAAGCCATCGAAGCGAACATTCACCGCGTGGAGGAAGCTTGTGCTGCGGTCAACGGTCTGATCGCGCAAGGCATGGATTGGATAGATATTGGGAAGCTCATCGAAAACGAGCAGAAGCGAGGTAATGTTGTGGCTCAGATGGTCAAACTTCCCCTCAAGCTGGAGGAGAACACGGTAACTCTCCTGCTTGACGAACCCAGCTTCGACGAGGGCTACGAGAGTGATGAAGAAGATGAAACTGATGACGAGGCCGAATCCGACGAGGAAGACCAGGGGACTCGAGGCAAAGGTGGATCCTCGACAGATAAACGACTGGCGATTGATATTGACCTTGCGCTGTCACCTTGGGCCAACGCACGCCTGTACCACGACCAGAAGAAATCTGCAGCCGTCAAAGAGAAAAAGACTGTGGAGGCATCCTCAAAGGCGCTCAAGTCTGCCGAGCAGAAGATAGAAGCAGATCTCAAGAAAGGCTTGAAGCAAGAGAAGGCGGTCCTGAGACCGGCAAGGAAGCAGTTCTGGTTCGAAAAATTCTTGTACTTCATCTCGAGTGACGGTTATCTTGTCATTGGAGGCAAAGACGCCCAGCAGAACGAGCTTCTCTACAGGAGATACCTGAAGAAGGGCGACGTCTATGTACACGCCGACTTGCAAGGGGCCTCGAGTGTGATTGTGAAGAACAACCCGCGGACCCCAGATGCGCCGATTCCTCCTTCCACTCTTTCTCAAGCTGGTACATTGACCGTCTGCACCAGCAGTGCATGGGACTCGAAGGCGTTGATGGGGGCCTGGTGGGTCAACGCGGACCAGGTGAGCAAGACAGCTCCAACGGGCGAGTATCTTACTGCTGGCGGATTCGTCATCCGGGGCCGCAAGATTCAGTTAACGCCGAGTCAGTTGCTCCTTGGATTTGGCGTTCTGTGGTTGATTAGCGAGGAAAGCAGAGTCAATCATGGCAAGCACCGGTTGGACAGGACAGAGAGCATGCTTCCGGGCGAGGCGGAAGCATTAGCCAACGACGTGAGAGGGTTTTCTACCGGAAAACAAGACGTTTCAGAAGAGGTCGGTCCCGATCAAGGACAAGCTGTACCGGATGTTGAAGATGCTGCCGATGCCGCTGTGGAAGAAGAGGAGGACGATGATCACGGAGCAGCCTTAAATGAGGTGCCCGAACTGCCAGGCAATGTTGATGGCGACGCTGACGACCGTGACTCCACGGATACTTCAGAGGCGGAGGAAGAAAGGTCGAACCCTCTGCAGGCCAATCTTGCTCAATCCTGCCAGGATACTAAGGATGATGACGACGAGGAGGACAAGCTATCGGTCGGAATCGAGGATGAGACAAAAGAGCAGCACTCAGACGAAGCGTCACAAGGAGAAGAGTCCGACGACACTCCAGCTACGCAGCCATCTACGCGGGCGTCCACACCGGCATCCGCATCCCAAGCCATGGCGAAGTCCAAACCTGCACAGCTCGCCCGCGGGAAGCGCACCAAACTCAAGCGCGCCCAAAAGAAATATGCCGACCAAGACGAGGAAGACCGCGCTCTAGCCATGCAACTCCTCGGGTCCAATCGCTCACAAGAACGCAAAGAAGCAGCCGAAGCGGAAAAGGCCGTGCGCGAAGCCAAGGCTCAAGCAGACAAGGAACGACGCAGAGCACAACACTCAAAGGCGGCGGAGAGGGAACGCCTCCGTCGCGACAGGCTCGAGAAGGCGGCCGCCAGCGGTGCAAATGGCGGAGAAGGGGCCGACTTGGACGAAGATGACGAATTGAGCAAGGAGCAGCTGGAACAGGAGCGGCGCGAACTGCTGGATATAGACCGGCTGGTGCCCATGCCGGAACCGGGCGACGAGCTCCTCGCAGCCATCCCCGTTGTGGCGCCCTGGACGGCCCTGGCCCGTCAGAAGTACAAGATCAAGTTACAGCCCGGCAACGTTAAGAAGGGCAAAGTGGTCCGCGAGATCCTGGGGTTCTGGACCTCGCTCGCCACGAGGGGCCCCAAGGTTGTGGACGAACAGAATCGCGAAAAGGAGAAGGTCTGGAGGCGCGAGATGGACCTGTTGAAGGAGTGGAGGCTCGAAGAAATCGTCGGGGCCTTGCCCGTCAAGGGGTGTCGGATTGTCCAGAGTGGAGGGCTGGGCGGTGCGTTGGGAGGTGGGAGTGCTGGAGGTGGCGGCGGGGGAGGAGGTAAAGGTGGTGGTGGGAAGGGGAAGGGCAAGGCAGGAGGTGGGAAGAAGGGGAGATAGCGAGACAGCGAGAATTGAATAAAGGCAATATATGTATGCAGCGCGATCGGGCCCGGCCACGGTCGACAATGCGCCATCAATCTCCCCTATTCCATCTAGGGCGAAGTTTCTTTGTCTTTGGCGCTCCCTCTGATTCAACCACACCAAGTCAGCGTTGAGCAGGTTCACCCAGTCGTTAGGGTGCCCAAAGTCAAGGTTTACGCCTGCGTCTCGTCAAAAACACTCGCATCACTCCCACGACGGCGGTACTCCATCTCGATGTCCTGACCGCCCCAACCTGTCATCTCTTTCGCCTCCACCTTTCTCCAAACCATCTCGTCCCACTTTGTAAAGTTCTTCGCCTGATTCAGATACTGCGCCACTTCGTCCCGCCCATTGTCTGCTTCGCCAGCATCGCCGGCGTCTTGGGAGTGTTCTCGATACCTCCAATTTCTGGCGTTCATTCCGAGTCTTTCACGGCGACGGTTTGCCTCGTTCTGTTTCTGCTGTTGCAGTGCCAGGCGCTTCGCCACCTCATTGGCATCGTGGAGTGCCACCAATTTGCGCTTCGCTGGGTATTTGACCATGAGGGAGTCAATGAGGCGGTACATCTGCCATTGGCGGCTGCGTCCAGCAGCGTCTGGGATTTCGTCCTTGCCCGAATCGGACTCAGAATCCTCCAGAAATTTGTGAGCAAGAACATCTTTGATGCTTCGCTCGCTAGTATTGTCCAATTTTGGCGGATTGTCGATTTGATATTGCAGATACGCGGTGGTCACCACATCACATACAGTCATTCCTGTGGCGTTCTCCCAGTAAAGCAATCCTGGTCTGTACTCCACGATGAATTTGACTAGTTCCTGGTGGCCTCGTCGCACGACGGAATGCAATGGATAGTCTCCTGCTCCATCCATCTTTTCGAGGTCTTTACCGCCTGAGAGAGCTAGAATGAGCTTGAGACTTTCTTCCCATCCACCATCGGTGATGCGGCCGAGGAACAACGCCAAAGGCGTGTTACCCGTAGACACAACACTACTACAGCGTTCATGGAGCAACGCCGCGACGATGTTCTGGTCCAGAATTTTCAAGACTGAGTCAAGTAAGGCGGGATTGTCAGTTGGGATGGTGCCAAGGACGGTATGAAGAATGTTGCGTCCCAGATTGTCCTTGGTGACTTGCTTTGCGCCTACCGCGATCAACTTCTTCGCGGCATAGTATCTTCCGATTTCGAAAGCAAGATGGAGCGGTGTTTTCCCGTCGCTAGATCGGACTTCGAGTGCATTCGTCATCTTCTCAAGCAGGAAGTCAAAGCACGGCTGAGTTCCGTCTTTCTTGGGAGGCGACAACACACCAATATGCAGTGCAAGGTTATTCCGCGTCGACAACCACGCGTCGAGGGTGCCGCGAATGCCTCCTTTCGCCTTGGCCAAAGCTTGGATGCGTTTGTCCTCCTTGAAGGTCTCGGCGAACTCTAGATAGTGTCGCAGGGGAGTATCTGACATGAAGTATTCAGTAGTCTTCAGGTTGCCTTCGATTGTAGCAGCCAGAAGAGGAACTCCCACGTCTGACTCGACCTGTTTGACGTTGTAACCTCTACGACCAGCTTCAGCCCAATCTTGACGTTTTTTGCCGTAAACAGAGAGCCCCTGGTAGTATTTTGGCTTCTCGTCGAGCTGAATTCCTGATTTTTGAAACACCTTCTGAAGAGGAAATCCAAAGCCAGTAGACTTGATCATTTCACCTATTATCTCAACCCTACCCAAGCGAACTGCCAGGTCAAAATCGGCTTTGGAGATGGTGATCACGTGCAAGTCGTCTTCGTCTTTCTCGCCTGCGAGAGTGTTGCCAACCTTGATGATGAATTTCAAAAGATCAATGTTGTTGACGAAAATGGCAAATCGGATCAGAGACCAACGATTCACTTGGCTCGTTCTTTCAAATACCGCATTAAACCATGCCCACGACTGGTTCGACTGGTCGTTGATATAGACATTTTGTGCATGGATTCCTCCAAAGACATGTCTGACTTGTCGCTTATTCATGACATTTTCAAGTGCATGCGCGATCTGGCAGGTCCAGGAGGTCATAACGGTCGGCGAGACTCTCGACTTGACATTGTTGGCCACCGCAGCAACGTCGTTCACCGTGAAAGTCTCATCCACAAGTTCAGCGACAACTCTCACACGAGCACTGTGCTCTGTACCGTCGCTGTTGTCACTGCATTCGCTGTCTCCGTCATATTCCTCGTCTGTACCCAGGACGTATCGGTAGGTTTTTGACTCGTCGCTCGGTTGATACTGGATTTTCGCAATCTCAACAATCAACTGCGCCAGCTCGTAGTGGCCACGAATGGTTGCAATAGAGAACGGACTGAATCCGCGTAGATCCATGACCGCTACCTGTAGTGGGTTTGCGCCAGTCAGACATATTGACTTGACAGTATCCAAGTCGCCCTTCCAGACAGCCTCGAACAACTCGATGTACTTGGCCTTCTTCTCTGATGTCAGATCTGGCACTTTGAAAGATATCTTCGTTTCGTACGGGTCGTTGCTGAAGCTGTTCGCGCCGAAATAGTAGTTGGGACGTTGCTGTGTCTGCTCTTCACTGGTTTCCTTTGGATAGAGATCGGAAAATGCTTTGGCACCCTTCTTGTCAAGCTTGCGTTCAAGGTCACGGAGCTTCGCAATGGTGGCCTTGATGGCCGCGTCTTTCGCCTCCTTCCCAACCTCTGTGCTTCGATCCTTGGTTTCAACTTCTTCCTTGTACTGCCTCATTTGACGCTGATGAATCGACTTTGCGTCCTGTAGGTCGTGAAAAGCAGTCCAATGACAATAAGATCCCTCTTCAAAGCTGCTGAGGTATTCATCATCTTTCTTTAGTGCAGCTGGCTGCTCCAACTTCCGAGGTTCCGGAGATAAGTATTCTTCAAGTGACGAAATCCGGTCTCGAACGAGATCCAGCAAGGACTTCGGGGATGGGCCCCAGGAGCGATATGGAGCTTCCAGATATTGATACGCGCTAGTAGTTAACGCATTGACTTCTTCGCCCTTTTCGATGAGTTGAATTACAAAGTCGACCAATTCGTGCTTGAGGGCGAGAATGACTGGCTGTTCGACATATTTCTGGAAAACCTTTTTGACTTCTTGTGGATCGTCCGAGGCTCTGTCGAAGCTGCGTTTGTATGCTTGGGCAAAGGTTTCGAAGTCGATGTGGGGTTTGGCTCCCATACGGACCAGATCCTCGACAAGTTCTGGTTTACCGGTGCGGATAGCCGTCAGCAAAGGTGTATCGACGGTTGGTTGAGTCCAGAAGCCGGAGATGGCGATGAAATTGATAGCGTTAGCAAAGTTGGATGGCTCAGCAGAGTGCATTGTCTGAACTATCAATGTCTTTGCACTGTTGACCGCATAGTGGAGTGCAGAGATGTGATTCATATCGCTGTCAACAATTGTTAACTTGTATCAAAGACTATGGAAAATAGGATGTAACATATCTGCTGCTGCAGAAAAGGGGTTATGTGAGGCTTGAGACTTACGCTTGCGTGCATGACGCCCTGAGGGCAAGAAGGCCTTTGACAGTTTCATTGGCTTGCTGTAGTGGGAGCTCCAACGCCAGACAAATCGTCAGAATTGCAGCCTTTGCGTGTTTTCGGTTGTATTCGTCCACAATCTTGACAGGAAGCAGGACGTCGGCGTCGTAATTGTCCACGAGGACCTTCACCACATCCATGTGTCCGCCAAGGATGGCCAGATGAAGGGGCGAGAGTGGACTATCCCAAGCGAGAACATCGACATCATAGACATCGGGCCCTTCTTTGTCTTCGGGGTCTTGAGTTTCGGAGACGCGGTCCACTTTCACAAAAGACCCTTCGGTCATGGCATCTTCTTCGTCTTCATCTTCGTCCTCGTCCTCGTCCTCGAAGTCTTCAGAGTCAGCGGAATCACTCTCGCCAAGATCGTGCTTATCGTTGTCAACTTCTTGCGAATCTTTGGCAGCATTCCTTCGCGCTTCTTTTCGCGCGTCTTCTTTGAGCGCTTCTTGTTCCTCATTTGCGTTGCTCTTGTCAAGAATATCCTTCACCATCTGCACTTCGCCACGGTGAGCAGCAAGGTGTAGAGCGGTCATACCATTATATAGCCTCGAGACGAGGCGAGCACCATGTTCAATCAGACACTGGACAATTTCGGGAGTGGAACACATAACCGCAAGATGTAGAGGTGTGCGACCGGCGGGATCTCGACGATTGACGTCAACGACTTCTGATGCAGAGAACCAGTCTCTGACAGCATCCAGGTCAAGGTCGACTATTGCTTGACACAACCTCGTAGTATTGCCGACATACGCCATTTCCGTCCAGTCGTTGTCGGTGATGGGATTAAAGCTGCCGATGGCCTGCCTGCCTGGATCATCTTTGAGGAACGTGACATCTCCAGATATGTAGATCTTGCCTTCTTCCTCAAGCGCAGCAAAGTCTGCGTCGGTCGTTGGCTCAGGGCAATATCCGCAGCAGTCATGAAGGACATCGTTGACGGATCCAAAGAAGGCCGGATGTCGATGCAACTGGGTCTCTCTGTCTTTGGGTTTGTTCCATTCAGCATTGAGGAGCAAGTCCTTGGTGAATAGAAGCTTCTCGACCCTTTTGGCGTTGTATTTGGGGCCATATGGAATGGTGACAGTGTGGTAGTTTGAAACTTCGTCCTCTTCCACCCATTCTGCCACATCATCTGGCTGAGCATCTTTGACATTTCCTGGGAGTTCATGGCGAATTCGGGCATTCCATGGCAATGCTGGCCGGCCCCGTTCTGCTCGACGCTTTGCCAGATATGTGTCTCTGTCATTGGGATGGGGCAACTTTTCAAGAACTAGCAGTCTCGCCAAACCCTGTACTCTCGAGAAAGATCTCTCGAAGATAGTAGGGTCAATTCGACTGCGGTCGATGGTGGGAAAACCCACCTCGAAGCCGCGATGAGAGTATTTGGACAGCCGATTCTCGTAAGACGGAGATCTTCTGGTGAGATCGATCGTGTTCACTTGAGTCATGAAGGCCGCTAGAGCTCTGGGAGAAGCCCACACTTGCCGGCCGTCGTAGGCAACGCATGAGCAGTCCACGTCGAAGCCAGTAAGGATCTCAGAAATGCTCTTATACAGGCGGAGCACAATTTGGACATGGCGGGTGGGGTATTCCGAGACGATGGTAATGGCATTCTTCGTGCGCTGTTTTCTGGTCAGTATCGGATATGTTTCAACATTTTCGAGCACTCGTGAATGCTTGAGAACGATTTGAAATATGCTCAGGGAGGCTTACAATGGTTGTCGTCTCGGCCAGAATGCTGTCCCGAATTTTGGTCTCAATTTGTCTGATCTTCTCGATAGCTTGTTTCTCATTCAGACCGTAGAGGAATAGATCGACATCGGAAGCAGGGGCGAGCTTCTCATGGTAATAAGCTCTGAGCGCCCGCTAGAGGGATGTTAGAACGAGGCCCGCAAAAAGACTTGTGAGTGGCGGCTTACCTTGGATTCATTGTGGGGAGCGCCGACGGGCAGCAGAGAGGTGACAACAGCACTCCCCGCACAAACCACATTACTCCAGTCTAGGTCCACCAACGAAGACTCGGAGAAAAGATTGAAGTTGGTCCTGAAATCTTTCAGGGTTTGAGTGGTGGCAGGGGAACCGTCTGTCCGGCGAGCCTCCCGTGGAAGTGCTAAAAGGTATTTGTCTTTCTCGGCATCAGACTCCTGTGTGAGATCCCTTGCTCGGACAGAGATAGGAGCGTCTTTGAAGACAGGTACCAGGTGGTTTGCAAGGGCAGCTGGGTGATCAGGTTGCTGGGCGTATATCTCTCTCAATTTACTTTCGTAAGCCTTGAAGGGTTCCACGGCTTCAGCAACACCGGCCTGGGTTTCGGGTTTCTTGTCGACATAACTAAGGAAGTCAGAAACGGGGACTGGGAGAGGTGGAAGCTCCATAGACATTGCGGTCGTAGTGGTCGAGAAGCGACGGGATGGATTTGGCTGGGGATGAAAGCGAACGATGGAAAAGGGGGACACAGGCGAGCTGAACAAATCAGAATGCAGACAGGTACAACTGCCGCACCAAACTACACGCAGTTGATTTGTAAAAGCGATGGAAGGAACAACGGGATGATTGATAGATGAGATTCGTATCCATGAAGTGAAGGTGATGGTCATATAGTGAAAGCGCGTGTGAGTTCAATGGCCGTCGAGAAGAGGCACGCGCTGCTACACGAACACACGTGAGACGAGAATGGCGCAGGCACCGGCAGCAGCCTGAACAGGTTTCACCTCGACAGGCACCAGATCCGCTTCGACTGTTCTTTGTTACTGTGTTAGCTGTGAAGGCTTGTTCATCGCCCCTTACGCGACCTCACGACGGAACTTCTTGGGTTCCAGAAGTGGAGATGAAGGGGCGCCGGTGCCTAGCTGTGCCTTGGCCTGCGTCTGGCCGATCGAAGCAATAGGAAGGAAACACTTCACCGTACCTGAGAGCATGTCCGCTACGGCAGGTTACACTGACCTCTAGTGCGTTTTGATATTGGCAAAATTTTCGGGGATTGGACGAGTCACGCGAGCACACAATCCCACAGAGAAGAGGTCGAGGCAGATGCTTCTCATTCTAAGCGGAGCAAGATTTGCAAGTCGGAGACTGATCCTACAAACACCCTTGCGACTCCATCTTACGCAGGAGACGGCCAAATTACTGCCAGCAACCAAATCTCTGTTTTCCACCGCCTCCGTGCAGGACTCCTCCATCCTCGCAAAGATGGCCAACGACCACATTCTAACCCTGTCATGTCCGGATAAGCCGGGCATAATCCACGCTGTAACAGGTATTTTTGCCAAGAACAACCTCAACATCCTCGACTTGCAACAATTCAGCGACCGGACTTCAGAGAAGTTCTTTATGCGGGTCCATTTTGGACCAGCCGACGACACCAAATTCCTGATACCCTCGTTCGATGAGCTAGCAAGCGACATCAAGATGGACTACGAGCTCAGACCCGTGGCCGAGAAGCCCAAGGTTTTGATCATGGTCTCCAAGATCGGCTACTGCTTGAACGACCTCCTGTTTCGCCAGAAGACTGTGAGAGATCCTCGTTTTGAAAGACTGTTTTGCATCCTTTTGAATAAGTCGTTGCTTTTGGATCCTGTCGAAATCGGTACAAGACTAACCAATACCGGCAGGGCCAATTGGCCATCGAGGTGCCATTGATTGTGTCGAATCACCAGGATTTTGAACCACTCGCCAAGAGTTATAACATTGCTTTCCATCATCTGCCGGTCACCAAGGACACCAAAGCCCAACAGGAAGCCCGCATTCTGGAACTCATTAAAGAGCACCACATCGACTTGATAGTCCTGGCGCGGTACATGCAAGTCCTCTCACCAACCCTCTGTGAAGCCATGTCGGGCAAAATCATCAACATCCACCACAGCTTCTTACCTTCCTTCAAAGGTGCGAAGCCATACCACCAGGCTTTTGACAGGGGCGTCAAAATCATCGGCGCCACGGCTCATTTTGTGACGGCCGATCTGGACGAAGGACCGATCATTGAGCAGAGGGTCACGAGGGTGGATCACAGCATGACGCCAAAGGAACTCGTCGACGAAGGGAGCAATGTAGAGAGTCAGGTTTTAGCTGCGGCAGTCAAGTGGTGGTCAGAAAAACGAGTGTTTTTGAACGGGCACAAAACGGTGGTATTCAACTGAGGCCAACAATTCAACACCCCCGGAAACTCTTTTCTCAGACCTAGACGGCGTTTCCGGCACAGCGGAGAGATTGGTACGAGCAATCTAAGATATATATCGCCTGGGCTATCACGGTTCAGCCGCAGTGTTCGAGACGGTAAGACAAAAAGTTAAACGTTGGATGAACACCATCTCCCCTTGGCTCTTCTCTAAACCAGAAATCATCGGACTTGTCCACCATCATATACTGCCCTTTATCCTTCTATACCACTTGTCCTCCACTCATTCTCCTCCATTTTGCAACTGGCATGCAGCAAGCCTAGCAAAGACTAGCAACGGCCAGGTCCATCCGATCCACCTAAAATGATCGTTCTCCCTACCGCAGCGCCGCAGCTCCACAGGGATTCTCGCCTCGTGCGTCAACGTGGGGAACGGAGATGCCAGCTGCATGCGTCGGCGTGTGGGCGATTCGTATCAAGGACTTGTCCGTCCAAGAAAGAACGCATGATTCTGGAGCGGGAGAGACTGGTGATAATTGACACAGTTTCCCCGCGGGAACAATGCATTCGGGATATAAAGGCTGGCCCGGGCGTGCTGTGGCGCGGCAGGAAGAGCCTGTTCGACTTACAGCCACCCAGTCCCCAGGTACCGAGTATGCAAACGGCAGACGTCTCTCAATAGCACAGGTGGTCCAGGACGGTGCTGCTACCCTGATAGGAAGAAACAATAGCCCAGGTTGCGAACGAAAGGCACCAAGGAGAAAAGCAGCCGCTACGGGCGACAAGACACGACGACGCTGGTGACAACCATGGCGAGAGGACTCGCTTTCACTCTGGCGCGCTCCGTCCTCCTCATCTCCCTTGCATTCTCTCATGTATACTCTCACACCCATTCTCACGATGCTCCTGAAGCCTCCTCAGAGGCACCTCTCTCCTTCTCGGTTGGACCCAATTACCCCTACCCCCTCGAGGACCTCGATAAAGACCTCCCCTTCTCTCAACCCGTCACCTTTGCCCATCTGCCGTGGCAGCGGTGTTTTTCCTCCCGTCACGGGTCTGACCTGGACATTGCCATTGTAGGTTTTCCCTACGACACGTCCACCTCGTACCGGCCCGGCGCACGCTTTGGACCCCGCGGCATCCGCGCCGCGAGCTCGAGGGAGAAGAAAGGCCGGAGCTACAACACGGTATGGGGCATTGACCCGTTGACGGAAGGGGGTTTGAACATTGTCGACTGCGGCGACATCCCCGTCACGCCGTTTGACGCCCAGCACGCCTTCCGCCAGATGGAGCAAGGCTACCGACAGATCTTGTTCCACAACACCTCCTCGTCCGCCGGCGCCGCCACCGCATCAGCAAAGCCGCTCCAGGGCAGGAAATGGGAGCACCCCCGGGTCCTGTCGCTTGGAGGCGACCACTCGATCGTGCTGCCGATCCTGCGCTCGCTCAAGGAAATCTACGGGCCGATCTCCGTCATCCACCTCGACTCGCACCTGGACACGTGGGACCCGTACGCCGGGTACACGGGGATCGTGTCGGAGCAGAGCGCCATCACGCACGGGACCTTCTTCTGGCACGCCGCGCGGGAAGGGTGCATCGCCAAAGGCAGCAGCGTGCACGGCGGGCTGCGGACCAAGCTGTTCTCGCCCAAGGACTACGCCACGGACAAGGAGGTGGTGGGCTTTGAGATCATCGAGGCGCACGAGATCGACGACGACCCCCGGGGCATGCAGGGCATCGCCGACCGCGTGCGCGCCATCGTCGGCACCGACCGTCCCGTCTACCTCAGCATCGACATCGACGTCCTGGACCCCAGCATCGCCCCCGCCACGGGCACGCCCGAGTCCGGAGGCTGGACGACCCGCGAGGTCAAGAGGTTCATCAAGGGTCTGGAGGGCGTGAGATTGGTCGGCGCCGATGTCGTCGAGGTGAGCCCGCCGTATGACACCGCGGCCGAGGTGACGAGTGTTGCCGCCAGTGATCTGCTGGTCGACATCCTGGCGTTGATGGTCAAAGATTCGGTAAGGAAGCCGGAGAAGGCGCAAACGGAAACGGGGGTAAAGGATGAGTTGTAGATACGGCCTGCTTCTTGTGTGTTTGTGAAATGCACTGTACAGAGTACAATCGAATACGCCCGGCAGGAAGGATATCGCTTCCGACTTGATCAACGGGGGATTCCTCGAACGGAGCAAAATCGAGAGCTGGGGTGAATAGGTCGGTTCTCGTACACATAATCACCTTGGAATATATCAACTGCCTTCATTCTCATCATCACTCCTGTGAGGGACAAAGGTCGCTTCAGAACCCCCCATTGCGCTTCGACTGCTGGAACCAGACAATCTCTCGTCCCAAGAGCGCAATCTCGAACTCCCCCTCGATTTTGCTCTCGAATTCTGTGTCTCAGTAGTGGCCGGTATGGCTGAGGGTATCACGTAAATCATCCCCATAACATTCCCAATCCCCCCTCGTGCCGTTGGCAATAAACCATGGGCCATCTCGCCACGGCCAAAATACCAGGGTGCAACGCCATTCGGTCGCAGACCCGTCGACCAACGACTTGAAACCCCGAAAAAACATCGTTAAACATCACCGACCCTTGCTGATAGCTTCCGCCGCTGTGCAAAACCACGGCTCCAGGAGCAGGACTTGTTGCAAGACCTTGGGTGCCACGACTCCACTCCTCGAAGTCATAGGCGGCTCGTCCTTTCCTCCGTGCGAAACGTAGTCCAGGAAACGCTTGACTCTTTGTACTGCGGCCCTTATCCGTTCGTGGCGGTAGCCGGCCAAACGCGACATATTGTCGCCGATCGGCTCTTCGCTCTCCCCGGGCTCATAATCGTCGTTCACTCCCATGACTTTGAGTTTCTCTTGTTCCTGCTCTCGAGGCTGCTGTGTCTCCTACACACGAATAGCCAAACAATCAGCAAGAACAGAATCCAGACCACCTCTGTCCTGTGACCCAGCGCCCTCCCAGCCATAGTTGTCGGTACTGTCAATATCCATGCTGTCCTCGGCTGGATCAACGTGTCCGTTCGTTGTCGCCGCCGCCGCCGCATTGGCTGCTTGCTCTTGCTCCATGAGCCATTGATCATGATCATACCCGGCCGAAGCATTACTCACGGTGTATCCAATACATGGCATTGCATTCCAAGGTAAAGGACCGACCTGAGCGGTAAGTTGCAGATCTGGCATGCCGATGGGGCGTCTTGCATATGCGACCTGTGCTTCAGTCGGCAACAACTCGTCGTCACGAGTCCTTTGCAGTTTTCCAGCCTTGATTTCCTCTTCCTCTCGATCGATTTTCTTCTTGTACGAGGCCGTCAAGATGCCGCCGCCGGCGCTGTGTTCATACATTGGGCCGTTGGACCGGGTTCGATTCATGACCTCGGACAGCACGCCTTTTAGATATGTCTCCGCTGCAACCCCGACCAACTCAGCGCATTGTACTGAGCAGCCTTGCGCGATGGATTCTTCATAACAAATGGGGACAATCCGAGAGTGTATCGTCGCTGTATCCGGGAGCTCGAGTGTCTCTGAGAACAGTGGCTGCAAATATCTTTTCCTAATTTCCAAGTCCCAGTTTGTCTTCGTCAGTCCTCCTGCGCCTGCACTTGCAGCGGCCTCTGGCGCCTTGATCCTGCCGGCCAAATAAAGCTCTTCATATGGGTTCCTCCTCGCTGCCGCCTCCTCGTCTGCCTTGTCGTTCGCAACGCCTTTGATGCGTCGTCGGTCCCGGGCGGGTAACGCCATCACCTCGGCCTTGAGTCGCTGTTCGCTTACATCGCTGGTAGCGGCGGGTTTCGTGCCGGACGTCATTGCGGACTTGTCTGTCGTTGCGCTGACCCATGCTGCGAGCCCAGGTTCTGGAGGGTCTTTGCCGGTATTACATAGTATAGCTAGTATCAAAGAGTTGTGCGCATGCTCGGTCTGCGGAGTCGCATAGATGAAGACATCGCAGAGGTCGCCGAATTCTCGCGCGTTGAGTTCACCTGCGGATGAGAGGTCAGTCTCAATGTCCCATCGCCGAGAGCTCTTATGAGTAGGGATACCAGGGGGAGATATTACCTCGAATAAACCTGGTTATTGCATCGAAGTATGTGTCCCAGTTGTGACCGATTAGAGACTTGAGTTCCGTGTATAGAGGTTCCAGGTCAACTCGAGGATAGGTTTGAGTCGCTTTCGGTTGTTTCGACGCAGAGCCCGGAGGGGGTTTTGTGGTGCTCGTTGTAGAAGTGATCGTGTCCGACCGCGTAAGAGCCGCGGGGTTGAAGGTCTCGTCAAATGTAGCCATGCTGAGCCAGAGGGCGTTGGGAGTTTAAGGAGCGCGCATGCGCTGCGCGGTACGGAGCAAGACTTTGTTCATGCAGAATACCAGTGCGTTGCACGTCTCGACATGGGATCTTGTGCCATGATGGCGGGGAGATGAAGGAGTTTGTTAGATTTCTGTTGTCCCGAGTCGCAGTTTGGTGATGTGGTGAGGGAAAGTTTGCGGAGCAGTGACATGTCCAGGCTTGTGCTTGAGCCGACTGCCATCCTAATCTAAACATCGCAACTGGAGATCAAGCAACGCCCACTGAACGAATATCGAGTCTATGTTGTTACGAGCTTACATAAAGGACCTTCAGGGACAAGTGCTGGCTATTGATGCTAATCATTTCGCTACCTGGCCTCGTTAAGCCGCGAGGGCGCCCGCAGCCTCGCTCGTCCTCATGGAATCAGGCTGTCTCATCCAGGAGACCGCCTAGTCCCTCATCAGCTCGTAACGCCATGTGCCTCGTAACGTCTATGCATCCATCTAGGCTATCTTGATCTTCCACTTCTTGACCGTGGCATCTGCTCCGGTGCTGTACACAGTGTCTCCAAGCCAAACGAGACCGTTGACTCCTTCTTTATGCGCATTCGTCTCCTTGACCCGCTTTCCAGGTTCCTTCAGACTCCAAGCAAAAATATTGGTATCCAGGCTGCCAGAAGCCGCCCCTGTTCCTTCTGGATTCCAGGCAATACAGGTGATCTTTGCCGTATGAGCGCTCCAACGATCGGTCACAAGCTCGAGTGAGGAGGTTCCAGTTACGAGGCCTGTGATTCCAGTGCTGATCTTGTAGACATAGATTTTTCCTGCAGCAGAACCAACTGCCAACATCGAGCCATCATTTGAGAAGGATATAGCCGTTAGCGGATGGGCAGAGACCTGTTCAACAAACGCAACCTGCTTGGGCGCTTTTCCAGGCACAACCGAGAATAGACGAAGGCTGGAATCCTGAGAACCAATTGCGACTGTGCTGCCGTGAGAGGCGAGAGATGTGGGCGTTGATTTCAAAGGCAGCTCGCCGTCTTCTTCCCCATCTTTGTAGACAATGACGCTTTCTAGTTGAGCTACAACAACCAGAGAGTCCGTCGTGCAGGCTATAGCTTTTGGCTGCGATGACAATTTTGTCGAATTCCCCGTAAACGTCTTGGCTCCGGCGTCGACTGTTCTCAAGGTATCATCCCAGCTAACAGTAAAGACCTGAGGGTGTTTTCCAGAAGGCGCAGCAGCAAGTCCTGAGATGATGTTGGTAGGTCCGTCGCCCTCGATTGTCTCCGCCGCACCGTTTGCAGCATCCCAGGAGCATAATCGCCCCTCAGAACTGCCTGTCCACAGAGTTGCACTGTCCACATCTCCGGAAGACGTAAGGGCCGTGATGTTCTTCTGATGACCTGAAATGACTTTTGAGGGTTTGCTTGAGCCGGTGTGTAAATAGTTGAGGTCGCCGCTCAGAGACAGAGATATAATCAATCCATCTGACCTGCCTGCAGGCCATACGACACCGACTTGCTGATCCGAAACAGCCATAGCATCGCCAAAAGACCAGGTATGCGTGACTTTCCCAGCTTCCACATCCCAGGTCTTGACAGTCCGATCTGCGGAACAAGTCACAAAGTTCTTCGAATCTTTGGACCACGAGACCCCGAAAATACTGCCCTTGTGGCCTTCTGAGCCATCCGTAATCTCAGTATTCACCTCCCCAGTTTTACCGTCGTATAAATAGATCTTCTTGTCTCCGCCGACGCTGACCAGGTGGTTGCCGTCAGGTGAGAAGGCAACTCCGTAGATGAAATTCGTATGGTTTCCTCGGCCAGGGATGCCATTGAATTTGAATGGAGCCCCGTGATAGAAGACCAAGTTTTTGTCATCACCTCCTGTAGCTGCTCGCAGGGGTCTTTGTTGTCTGATGCTGACCGCATTGACCTGTGCAGAGTGCCCGCTTATCTCTCCCACTGTGTTGCCCGAGTCCGCCGTCACGCAGTGTCCATAACGTTGTTTTCCGTCGCCCACTGCTATAATGCGCTGGCTGTCACCGTCCCACGCGATGTCATTGATCCGGCCTGATATGATGGCATATTCTCCTTTTGTCGCTCCTGACCCATTGGGTGAGCAGTCCCAAACCCGAACAATGCCTGAAGCATCACCAGAGGCACAATAGAAGCCGGAAGGCGCAAATCTGGCGACTGTGGTAGTGGTTGTGTGTTGGGTATACTGAGTGGATATAGCAGGATTGTCGATGGATCGAAGAAATATGGACTTGTTGGCGGCGTACGCAATGCGCTCGCCCTTGGAGTCAGAGCTTAGAGGGGTAGGCAAGCCTCTAGATGTGGACGGAAGAGCGGCATAGATGCCTTCGGCGTTTATGGACATCTTATTTTATGTCTAGGTGTCGCAGGAATGAACGCGAGCACCTTTCGTAGCTTTATTTGAGTTGCAACGCGGGTAGGCAACTACACTGCAGGTCGCAGCATGCAAATAGACTTCTTGTTTGGGCAAGGCTGGCGAGTCAACAAAACTGCGAGGCTGTCGGAACTCGAATCTTGCCTGTTTGAGACCACTATGTGATCAAATACAATGAACTCTCGGTGTTGTAGTTTTCTAATGTCACATCTTGCTTGTCTGAGCGTGTACAAGCACTGACGAAAAATGAAATCTTTTGATCCTGGATCTCAATCGACTTAATATTCAGACAAATACATGTACAGAGCAGACGCCCATATCCCCGTTTCCATTTCCTGCCCTTTTTCTGCCACACCACACCCACCATGATCCAAATCACTTGTCCACCAATTAGACCGCCGAGTCTCTGTTCACAATTGGCCAAGCTAGACCGATAATTGTCGAAAAGTGCTAGTCCAGGTCCCACCAACACACCCTTGGAGGGGGATGGATAAAGGCGCAGGGGCGATTAAGTTGCGGCACCCGTTGGAATATTGGAGACTTTCCGCCATCTCGTCCAGTATGCCACTCAACCCATGGTGTGTCTGGAGAGTAAATCATGGCACTATGGAGCAAGTTGGCTACGGAAAAATGCTCGATCCCTGGGAAGGTGATAGTGTTTGTCCTCCTCGCACTCCTTTCCTAGTACCGGCTAGGGTGGCTTGCGGGATAGGTTTTTGATTTTGCATCGATCGCAGGTCGTTGTCTGGTGCCTTGGTGTTGCATCTGGTGATCAACATACATAGGAACCAGTATTTGCAAAGTTGACTGGGCAGAACCTCCTTCCTCCATGCAGGAGGTGTTTCGAAGCTGTGGGTTCGACTCGCACTGGTGTTCGAACCTTTTCTCAATGGCCCTTGGGCACCTGATATTTCCAAAGCCAGGGACGTTCTGGGTTTCCTTTGCTGACCACGAGGGTCCCCTTCACCTCACCCGCCCAGTATTTAGCATCCTCCCCTGCATTTCTTCCTTGATGATTTCGGGATGCTTGTGGATACTTGGCATCAGGCCCAATGCTATCGCTCTTCGAATAGCCTTTGCAATCTTTCGTTGGTTAACCGGTCGCAGTCCGGTTGAGTTCGAGTGTCGGATTCGGCCCATCTCGGTCATATACTCAGACATTACGGAGAAATTCTAGATATGGATTAGCATGCGTATACCACGTCCTTGACGTTGCAAGCTCACTTTGTACAAACTAAGAGGGTTGACAGAGAGTGCGTCGAAGGCGTCAGTCGTAGGTCGATGCTTTACCCTCCACTTGCGAGCTTCGGCTGCACTCAGATCGTGAGGGGCGTACACGTCGCCAGCTTTCCAAGGTCGCGTAAGCTGCCGTGCGATGGCTTGATTTTCCTGTGCCACTGCTGCTCTCCGTTCCGCTTCTCTAACCGTCATGCCAGCTGCGCGTTTGAAGGTCTCTGCATAATGTTAGTGACACGAGTCTTCTGTCGATGGCGAACGAAAGACATACGATCAAGGGGAGACGAGGCGACTGATCTGCTTGCGCGACCCAGCTGCAGCCTCAGGCTGGAGCTGAGCTGAGCCGACATGTTTCAATAAACTTTAGCTGTAAGAGGAATTACACGAATGAAGCTGGTGAGGTCGGGATGGAGTCGGTGCATTGGAAGATTGTATTTTCTGCAGGAAAAGCGAAGGAAGGTGCGCCGATACTCCGCATTTCAATTGCGGTAAATATGCCTGCATACTATTATGGAGTAACACATCATACCACCACGATTTCTCTAGCCAGCATTCGCACTGTTCTCTCCTCTTCCTCCTTATCGACCATGTTTCCCGCACCGTTCAATATCTAAAGCACCGAAGCAACTGGTGTACAAAGATCTTGCCATGAAGTTCTCACATCTGACCCGAAGCGTGTTCCGCGCAATCCTCGCCAATAAACCATACACCATCCGAGGCTGTCAAAGCGTCATTGGAAGGAGAACACTCTCTCAATACACCCGCACCTCCTACCACTTCCACCACAGACGCCACCTCTTTGGTCTGAACTTTGATGGTGCTAGGCAAGGCTTCCAGGGTGCTAAAAGCACTCCTGCCAATGTCGAACTTGCGCTGAGCAAGCTGGTTGATCTCATTAGGGCGAGAAGAAGCCAGTCGCGATTACCTTCAGATAACGAGATTATTGATGCTCTCAGATTTCTCTTCACCTCAAGAATTGAGACGCCGCGACGGCTAACGAGAAATGAGGTATTCCTGGCTACAGAGGCTTTCAAGCATCTACAAGAGCGTGGACATGTTTTGACAGAGGACACAAAGACGAGTCTATCAGAAGAAGACCTGGACAATATTTTGCTGGCATTGGCATCTGCTACAGGCCATGATAGATTTCGGACCGATGCCCGCATTTTAGCAACCTTGGTCTTTGATGCACTCAAAGATTGGCCGAGGGCTGCCGGGGCCGCGGAGGATCTAGAGCTTCCTGTCCAACAGGGTCAACATCAACGGGCTCAAGGTTCACTCTTGTTGACCTATATTACCGTGCTCTCCAAGACAGGGTCCGCCCAGGATGCTTTAGAACTCCTTCGCAAATCTCCCAACAACTCTGAAAGGGCCAGCCTTCCGATGTGGACAGCCGTTTTGAGAGGTCTGGCCAATGAAGGGCGAATGTCAGAGTTCTGGAAGCTCAGTCAAGAGGTGCAGAAAACTGTGGGGCCTCTGGATGCTGTCTCTCAAGAGATATTGATCACTTATTTCGCTCAGCATGACGAGATATCTACCTTGAAAAAGGTCTTTTCCCTGCCCTTAGCGGAAGGCCAAGTGCCGACAACGCCGACATTAGTCAAGGTTGTGGACTGTGCGATGCAGAATGGGGAGCTGGAATGGGGCGCAAAGCCAGTGCACCTGCTGCAACAGAGGACCGACTCAGGAGATTTGGCAGGGACTTTACTTCTCTGGCATGCTACGCATGATCCAGATGTGAATCACATACGGCAGATGATTCAGCAGCTATCAGAACGTGGGGTTACCGACGCAGTATCCATGAGGAGCCTAAACCGTATTGTTGAGTACGCCTATGCGCAAAACAACCCTGAGACAGCCATACGTTATCTGGACCTGGCCGAATCTCTCGGCCTTCACCCAGACGCCAGGACTCGAGCATTACAGTTAAATTACGAACTGAGGCGTGGAGATCGTGCGGCTGCAGCCCAGGCGTACGAGCTCCTCTCCAGAGAAGATATCCCTCTCGACAGGTCGGACGTGCCAATTCTGAATCACTACATCGCTGCTTTATCCTTTTCAGCAGACCCAGAATACATTCACCTCATGCAAGTCGTCGACCACCTCCTCGAAAGTGGGGCGGAGCTGGAGGCTGAAGCTATCGCGGGTTTGTGCCACGTCTTCCTTCAAAAGGACGAATTAGAAGAGGCAACGGGTCTGCTCCGCCACAGAGTGGACTGCTATCCCATGGATGACCGGGCTCGAATTGCTGCGGTGTTCCGCCAGTTCATCATCGACCCGACTGTCAAGGATCAGCGGGCTTATAACGCCTACGAACTGTTTCGCCATGCGTTCCCCGAATCCCCGGTCCAAGACCGCGTTACTCTAATGCAGTCATTCTTTGATCGGCATCGTCCTGACCTAGCATGCCTCGTGTTTGGCCATATGCGGCAGCGTGAAGACGTTGAAGCTCGACCCACGGCCGAAGCATACGCTAAATGCTTCGAGGGTATTGCCAAGTGTAAGGATATCGACGGATTGCAAATGGTCTACAACATGCTCAAACTCGACTTGGAAGTTGAACAGACGACACGCATCCACAATGGTCTTATGGCAGCGTATACGGAATGTCAACAACCATTTGTCGCGATCATTGATCATTTTTGGAAGATTATGGAGTCGCGCGAGGGGCCTACATTGAGCTCTTTCATCCTTGCTTTGCGGGCGTGTGAGAGGTGGATACCGCAGGGCGGACATGAGGCAAGGCGTATTATGGCGCTAATGCAGAGTTTCAACCTCGTCATCACCAAAGAAGTATATGATGCCTACATTGGCGCCCTGGCTGGACAATCCGAATTCGAAAACGTCGTGGAACTGATTGAGCACATGGAGCGTGATATAGGCGAGCTGCCGGATGCTGTCACCATTGGCACATTTTACAACGCAATTCCCTGGCAGTATCGCAAGGACGAGGTGGAGAGGTGGGCCAAACAGGCCTATCCAGACCTCTGGGCCGAGTTGGAAAGCTATGGCGACGTTATTGATGAGGAGTGGGAGATTAGGTATTTCAAGGTTGATCGCTCGGTGGACATGGACGACGAACTCTTGTTTCAGAAGGGCAAATATCATCCGGTCATTGCACAAGAAAGTCAAGCGGCGTTGGAAACTCCCGTGCACTGAGAAGCGTCCCTTGTCTAACCGGACTTTGTTGTCGATATGAGCCTGTCGGATGGGTGTTGTTTTCCGTTCTCTAGTTTGACAGCGACGGTATAGACCGAATTTCCTTCCAGGCATGCGACGAGGAGTTGATCCCAGCAGGGGAGTTATAAATTACTTGTTCCCGTATAAAATGATATGTTTCCCATGGTTGAGTTACCCACCAGGTTGCGGTGGACTGACAGCCGCTTCTTGACGCGAGTGCTTCCAAATCGCTGGTTCAGGCCGTCCTCAACCGAGGGCACGTCACCGCTCTTTATAGTTCGGTTCTTTAGATGTGTCGACAGTGCAACCAGTCACCACTCCACGCGTCGCGTTGGATGGTCACGCCCTGGTCTTGGGCAGCTGAAACTCGCTCGAGGACTTCGACTCGCCGCTCGCCCCCGGCGACTCGTCTTTCAACTGCGTGTTCGGATGCTTGTCCGCGTCTGTGGGTTTGATCAACTTGCCCAGACTGACCCACAGGTCCGGGTAGTTTGCCTGGAGTGGAAAACAATCGCCCTGGTCAGTCCTCTTCCCGGTGTCGAGAACGTGGGGAAAGAGAAGCAAGATGCGCGAGATGATAGGGAACGCCAACTCACCTCCGCCTCGGCCGTGACCTCTTTGTACTTCTGCCACAGGTCGTCCACCTTGCGGTCCACGTCAATGTCTACCTTACCACTCAACATCTCCACATCGACCTACCACAGATCCTCATACACCCCTCGCAGGCCGTTTCTGAACTGTAACGCCCGGTTCGGCTGGTTCCGGCTCTTCAGGAACGTCAGGAACCCTGCGATCACGGTGTTGATGGCTCCGAGGACGGTAATAGCGATTCTCGCGGCGTTGGAGTCTTACAGAATCATCGGTCAGCGTTCGCGATGATATGGCAGGGAAATGAAGCTCTCCCTGAAGAAGTATTCGGAGCGCGGGGGCATAATTACTCGTTGGGGAATCAATCTGAGTCTTGGGGGGCCGTTGCGATAGATTTTGTGTCTTCGGCCAAGGTCAAGACTCAGGATAATCGTGCCGACAGAAGTTTGTCCACTTGAGTCTTCCCACACAGTCCCGCGGGTTTAGTATGAGAAGCAGGAATGGACACAGCTTGCCTGGTTGGGGAGGACAGGCCTCTTCATATACCGCAGCACCAGTTTTCGGAAGCAGAGGACCATTCAGCAGCGGCTAATGCTTCTTTCTGAAGGAGTGCACCTCTTGCAGCGGAAGAGCAGTGAATGGACGAGTCGGTATGCATCACGATACGAGGTGCACGGTCCAGAATGATGCAGATGCCCTGAGTTTGTTGTAAGCGAGGACATCGGTCTCACTCAATCGATTGCCAAACACGAGAAAGAAGGCTGACGAGAACGAAGCCGGCAGGCAGATGGCACATGACATGGTAGAGCTGGTGACACGAGGGGTTCCACAGAAGCGACAATGTGCACCGTTCCAGCGCAGCTGTGCCAAACCTCATTCAAATCTCACTGATAACTTTACAGGAAGTAATCATGATGAAAGCGAAGGTGTGCAGGCAACTTGTTGCCCCCTTGCCAGTCGAGGAAGTCGTCGCAATCAGTCCTATCCTTGGGAGGGTTGCCTTCAGCCAGCCTCTTCCGCGGCTGGAGGTCCATGATAGTCCAGAAAATCAGGGATGCAATGCATAATGTATGTAGGGTGTGCAGAGAGGAGGGTGATGGGTTCAGCTCGTCAACGGTGGCAGGTCAAGTTGCAGTCAATTGCAGTCGCTTTTGCGCTGCGCAGGCAGCGGCATGCGGGAGTGCCAAGCCAAAAATAAGTGGCACTGTCTGACGAGAAATAGTCCTCCAGTAGTGAAGAGAAGTGATTCTCTATTGACTCCAAGGTAACCATCATTTATAAATCGTTTATTCTGTCCTTGGGAATGTCGCCACCCCTATCCTTGTTAACGATATTAACTACAGTACCTAGTTATCTGATCTGGTGGGTGCTTCGTCGCTATAGTGACTGGCAATATATTCTGAGATGCATTCTATTCTCTGTCAGACCGTGCTATTTTGTTCTACGCAGTCCGCACCTCCTCGACATTGACCAAGTCCCATCCGCTGCACCGCTCGAATGCTCCTCGTTACACGACTAGCCTGGCTCAGTCGATACCTCCATATTGCCTTCTACCTGCCTGCCAAGGTATATCAGCTTCACCAGGGTTACGGTGCCCGATGCATGATGATCACCCGGCTCTTGAATAAACGAGTGCTTCTGTCCTTCAATCGCCAGCTGTGCTGTGCCTCTCGCCTCTGATCACCTCTCCAAATATGCGATGAATAGCATCTTGATCACTAGCTTCTGGACCCGTCGTCCTCAAGATCTCATATTGTCGCTTCGGTCGTCATCAAACCCAAAGAGCCTGAAGACGCTCGGCTGTTGAGATCACTGGCAAGACTTGCATGCCGATATTGTTCACCGTTTCGCGCACAGCCTCGAGCAACGGACGGGACTACTGGAAGAGGCCATCCCGACACTCTCGTGATCAACCTTGTACATAATCATCTAGTGGTATCAATCTGCCAGTTCTTCGAAACTTGGCAGGAGGGAAGGAGGGAAATGAATTGCAGAAGCTGGTCCATATGCCTGACCGCATTTTACGTAAAGAGGATCGCCACATATGCCCAATCACCATGTCTAGGCATTGCGCACAGACCATGCTGGTGTCTGTGTGCAGCAACTGCATGGAGTTAATCAGGATCTCCAGTCTCCAGTCTTCATTCCCTGTTGGTGGATGGCTGGTTGATCTCTCGATTTCCGCATTGCCCAGATCTGAAGCGGAGAACTGTTGGAAGGCTTAATGCTGGATCTGGAGGATATTGACTATCCCTATTTGTACGCATTGCGTATTTTCGGTTTGCATGGAGCCCGAAACCGATTGCCTTTGGCTGTCTCCGGAAGGAAGGAAGGAAGAAACAAACACACACATCGAGGGTATAAGAATGGTGCCATCTTCTCACAGTGGTCCTGGAAAGGGACATGTTTCTTCTTCCTCCTTCAACCTTCCCAAAGTCTGTTTGACTTGTTGAACGGTCTCAATTACTCACCATGTCGCTTTCCGGCAAGACGACACTCATCACAGGCGGTGGTAAGAATCTCGGTGCGCTGATTGCCACCCTCTTCGCCGCCGAAGGGACGAATCTGGCTCTGCACTACAACTCTGCTTCCACACAAAAAGCGGCCGAGGCACTGGCGGCCGACCTCTCGTCCAAGAACAAAGAGATCAAGATCAAGGTCTACCAAGGGGATCTCACCACCGCGAGCAGTGTAGAGAAACTATTCGATAGAGTTGCCGCAGACTTTGGCCCGAAGCTCGACATCGTGATCAACACGGTGGGCATGGTCCTGAAGAAACCATTGGTGGAGATTTCCGAGCAGGAATACGACACCATGTTCGCGATCAATTCCAAAGCCGCATTTTTCATCACCCAAGAAGCGGCCAAACGGGTTAGCGACGGCGGCAAGATCATCAACACCGTGACCAGCCTTCTAGCAGCATACGCACCATCCTATACATCGTACCAAGGGAGCAAGAGCCCCGTGGAGTGGTTCACCAAGGGCTTGAGTAAAGAGTTGATGCCGAGAGGGATCAGTGTCAATGCGGTCGCGCCAGGGCCTATGGTATGTATGACGGGTACTAGGTCGTCCTGATGCTCAGATCACAGAGAAGCTGACAAGTCGATACATTAGGATACACGTAAGCTTCGTTCTCCAGCGTTGCGGGTGGATTGGCATCTCTCTTCCTAGTGCAGAGAGACTAACTGTCGGGTAGCATTTTTCTACGGCCAGGAGACCCCGGAGGCAGTTGCCTTCCACAAGTCCAACGCCATCGGCGGTCGGCTTACAGACATCAAAGACATCGCTCCGATATACAAGTTCTTGTGCACCGAGGGAGCTTGGATCAACGGTACGTTTGCTCCCTTGTTCTCTCGACATATGGTATAGACTGCCCGAAGTGATTGGGTCTTTCATGGACTGGACCGCAAGAGCGAGAAGGACGGGATGGGTTGCACCTTCAAATTCCCGGGCGGCAGATGCTGACACTTGCCGTCCAAACAGGTCAGACAATCTTCGCCAATGGAGGATACACGAGTCGTTAGGGGAGCAGCATGTGTGAATAACTCAGGATGAAGACATATTCCGAGAGTCATCGGAGGTGGGTGACTGAATCGTCTTGGTCCGTAACACGTAGCTTGGATTGAACGAAGCATAAAATGAGGAGAATTTGCTTCGTCTTTAAGCATAAGATCGGAACAAAGCCATTGGCTGGATTTTCCAGCTTGGCACGGCTAACCGTACAACGGCGGCCCAAAACAGTAAGAAGCTGGTCTCTCACTTTCCATCTGTCATCCCAACCCTGACTCCTTCATTTCCCACTACCGGAACACTATGCATCTCGCCTGTTTCTCCTAATCCGGCAAGGAAAACATGGCCCAACCCATGCTCACTTTTATCGATGCTGGCCCGCTGGAGGAGGCTCAAGCGCAGCAGATGCGCCGGGAGATCAGGTCGCACGTAGCCCGAGTTGTTGTATCGCGTTACCAGGCATCCCGCTCAACTCAACGGCCACCGCACAAAAGGCGCCGCGAGCCGAATCCCACTTGGGATCTTCGTATCAGTCCACGCGCCAGCCCTGCCGTCGCCAGTCCAAAAGAACGAACGGAAGAAGAGCAACCAGAAGAAAGGGCGCCGACACCACCATCTGGCCCTGCGACGGCGAGTAACAGCAGACTCCAGCATGCGCCCTCTGCAGCGAGCATGATTCCAGCCTCAAAGAGCCCGATCTACCACCATCCTCTTGTTTCCGTAGTGCTGGATAATTGTAGGTGACTGGTTACCTGGCTCCTTTGTTCTGTATTTGAGGGGAACTTCGTTGTGGTTTCACTTGTTCCGAAGACCAGTGTGTGCTGATAGTGCCCCAGACCTTAAGCACCTGGCCGTGGCCGTGCCAGAACTCGACGGCGATAGTCGGTCCATACTTCTCCAGACTCTGTGGTTCCCCATGGTTCTCAGCTCGCCGATCGTCTTTCAGGTCATCGTGTTGTTCTCGGCGTCTCATTATGCAGCAAGGCAAAACGATATAACGCTGGCCGAGTCAATCTTGTTGCTCAAACAATGCGCCATTTCCGGTATTGCGCAGGCCCTGTCTCCCGCCTCGAAAGGGATCGTCTTTCGAGACGAGATCATCGCCGCCGTCGCTAAGATGGCGAGCTACGAGGCGGTCTTTGGGGACGAGAGAGCATACCACTGTCACATGGACGCGGTGAAAAAGATGTTGGAAGTAAGAGGCGGACTGGCCGCTCTGGGGCTCGAAGGGTTCCTCTCACGGCTACTGGTGTTCATCGACACCAACTCGGCATTCCTCCTCAACACCCCGTTGCATCTGAGTGGTTCGTCCTTGCCGAAACTGGCGAATCAATTCATCATGCCGAATCCCAGCCGCTTCATCGGTGAGGTTTAGAGAGCCGTTCCATCGACAAAATTCGGAAGGCGCAGGGAACCAACTGGCGCTTCTACAATGAGCCAGGGCCGCGACGGAGGACTTGGGGATATCGGCAGTCTAGGAACGTGTGTACAAGTACGACTGATGAATGGATGAATATCTGGGGGTTTCGGATGGGCACTACCCGTAAAGTTTGACGTGTACAGGGTTTTTGGCGCAGCTAGATGGGAATCTGGGTGCTGATTTCAAGTAATAGACATTTTAGACATTTTTTAACCGGTTATTGCACTGCCATGTTGGCAGTGCTAGTCGTGTCTACCTACTGAACAGCCGGGACCTGAGGTCGCAGATGGGTTGACGGGCTAGACATGTCAGTGGATTGCTGTATGACGAGGTACCTGGTAGTGTGTTGCCAAAAAGGAGGGGTTGCAGTGCCCATCAGGCCCAGACTGTTAATCGATAAGCCCTGAGCGGCCCTGAGTGGCCTTTGAGTGGCCCTGACTCCCTGAGCGCCCCAACTAGAGGCAGCTGGAGGAAAATCATCTTCCCCCACCACTTCATCCACCTCCATCGCCCACCTGCGCCCTGGCACCTGGCAAGCTTCACACCACCTCCGAGGTCTGTCATCGCCGAAGCATACCCACCCGTCTGACCATCTCCCCTTCTCCTCCTTCCTACTGCCAACCATCGCGCCATGTGCTGAACTTTCATCGTCAGACACAGCACCCGTCTTCGCTCAACATCCGAATGATCACGCGGGCTTGATCGGGAAAGCACAGGTGACATGTGTACGAAGAGTGGGCGAGAACACGGACAAACGAAAGAGGAGGCTGATGGACGATCGACTTACCGCATTTCCCTTACTCCCGGCTTCACCAGAGCCGACATTCATTTTCAACTTCCACCTCCCTCCCTCATTCTCTCCTCCCATCGAGGTGGCTGGTCCACAAGATACCATTTACTCGACTGACAACAACTGGGTATTGTTAGCTGCTACTCTCTGTCTCAACAGCATACCCAATTGACGCCAGGCATTCACGTCATTAGCCTCCGGCTCAGGCCAATTCCATTACTGATCCGCATCCGCGATTCCGTACGCTCTGGTCATACGACCGTGGGAGTTATGAAAGGCACAGGTTGCTGACTGCTGTGTTTTCCTTGGGAACTCCAAATACCCTGCCCAAGCCTTCTACATCCTGCTTCAGCCTCAGCAACAATGTCGTTCCTTCGCAAGACCTCGGATCCTCCCACCTTCTTCCCCATCTTCCCTACATATCTTCTCCCCTCGATCCCATTCCGCCGTAAGTCGCGTCAGTCGAGCACCGACAGCAATAGTTCAGCGGACACAACCACGTCCACCGGCTCGGCCGCCTCGTCCTCTTCGAATCCTTTCACTAGAAGCCCTACCCCGACGCCCATCCCTGTCTCATCCGCTTCGTCTGTGGTTGTTCCGCCCGAAGACAAGTTCCTCAATGGCCACAGCTCTCACATTCAATGCGCAAAATGCTCCACTGATCTGTGCCTGACTTCGCAGATCATCAGCAAAGGCTTCATGGGCAGACACGGTCGAGCATATTTGGTTCAAGGGACAACAAGCCACATCCACACCATGACTCCTTCCTTGCCTAATACGTTCCAGAACAAGTCCATCTCCCGAAACCTAGTGACAGGACAGCACATTGTGAGCGACATTAGCTGCGCAATCTGCGGGAGCATCCTGGGATGGAAATACGTTGAAGCCAGCGAAGAGAGCCAGAAATACAAGGTTGGCAAGTTTATCCTCGAGACGAAACGCATTCGCATCAATGTCTCCTGGGAGAATGAGGAAGACGGTACCGGTCCTTATAAATATGATGAAGTTCTACCGCTTCCCCCGAGAGAACTGAGAAAGCTGGTCGATGGTGCGGCCGGCCCGACCGACGATCTCGAATTCGACTCGCAAGACGAGGACGAATGTGAGGATCTTTTTGCCGGAGTTTGGAGCCCGCAACTTGCTGCCAAAAGGCGGCAGAGGAAACGGGAGCGGTTTGGGAGGCGGCCCGTTGGCAGCTTGATCAACTTCGGCGCTGCGAGCAGTACCGACACTCTGTCATGATGCTCCCGGCATTGTGACTACTTCGTCTGGGAACTTCACCTCGACCATGAAGACTTCCGACTCTAGGCCCATGATGGTCAGTTCTGGCTGAGATAACGTCGTCCAGTTCGATGGAAATGCGACCAACAACTTCCGCTCGATCCGGGATGCACTTCTGACTTAGTTGCGTGCCATCGTCCCCAACCACGCTTCAGGATGCCATCTACCGGTCAATCCTGGCCGAAGCTATAGGCAACAACACCACAGACACATGCTGACGTTATTTATGCTGGCATCTATGACTTTTCTTTGATTTCGAAATACCCCTCGTCGCAATAATACCCCATTTGCTCAACTGCGACTATTTTGCACAGTTTCACCACAATCATGATACCCACTACAGATGGTCAGCCTACACCGGGGAGCTTTTGGGAAATGGAATGGCGTTTTGGCTAGTTGCTGCTCATTAATTGGGAGCACCGACGGTGTGGTTTGCTTTTGCTTTTGCCTTTGCCTTTGCTTTTGGTGCTGAAGGCCTGCTGAACGAGATCCGATAGGCTGAAAGGCAGTATAGGAGACATAAGAAGTTAATGTGAACGAGCCTGCGGGGGAAGTGGTCGGTAGGCAGAAGGGTTAGACCAGAAAGATCTCTCCATATAGGAGTTAATCACTGTCAAACTGGGGATGCCGACGAATGCATGTCCATTCCTCCACATATACCGTGTAGCAGTATCATGTTGCACACCGTGACACTTTGCGAGTGATATCGTCTTGATGCCTCTACTCGAACCTCTTACCCGTCGCATGATCGTTCGCGATGCGACGAAGGCAGTTCAATCGCCCCCCAATCGCCTCATCCCAGGCTTTGTCCAAAGGCTTGAAGGCGGCCGTCTCCAGTCATTGCTGGGCCCCCGAGGACATGGACCGGCGTCGGCGGCGTCGTCGTCTTGCTCAGATCGACGGTTTCGCGGCCCGCCAAGCCGGTCGACACGCGCTCTAGGTGAAGATACTACTGTAGCAAGGTACGGGAGGCATATAGTCAGGCACGTGGCTAGGCAGGTCACGAGTGCGGAGTCTCACCGAAGCGGCCGCCATTCTGTGCGATCCGAAGCACAGATATATGATGTGATAAGTGATAGGTGGTAGGTGGTAGGTGACATGGGATACATGATATATGATATAGCTACTTAGTCGTCTAGCTGGAAAGGAAAGGTAGCTCTATAGACCCGATTCCCCTCTCGACTCTCGATTCCCCTACATCTTGCTTCCCACTTTTCAGCCTCGGGGCAGATAAGAGAGAGTGAGAGAGAGTCTGGGTTAGGGGATTACATTCTGTTTCTACTGCATGATGATGGAGAATATGTTCCTTATGACTCGTAAACGCTGCAGACACTGTCAAGCTGGACTGGCAGATATGAAAGGGCGTCGACCGTAACCCGTATTCCTTCACCCTGTCCTTCAACCTTGAACATGTATAGACGGAGGTAAAGGTACTGACTGATACTGCCGGCAGCAGGTTGTGTCTGCGACTTTGAGAGAAGCACCTTTTACCCTTTCAAAATCTGCTATCCCTACCCCTCCATGAATAGCCACGACCGCTGCGTTGCGTCTCAACTGTGAGGGTGGTGGTGATGGTTATGGCGATGGTGCTGGGCTTCGGCACTGTCGATGCCTTTGGTTTTCAGCCCTTTTCCAAACTTGCAGCACGCCTCGTGTCTCCTCAGGTTGTCCAGCCGGGGAAAGCGCCTTTTGCAGCCCAGTCCATGATACTTGCACAGCGTGTGTTGATGCTTGGGCCTGTGTGTCGCCATGTGCCTCTTGAAATTCGAGCCCTCTCCGTTCAGGAACGTGTGGCAGATGTGGCAGTACATCTTGTTGCCGTTGTGGTGGGTCGCCACGTGCTCGTCCCGGACTTGCTTGTACATGAATGATTTCGGGCACGAAGGGAATGTGCATTTGAACGGCCCTTCCGATTTGTGGACGTGTTGGTGCTTGTGGCCCGTGGCGTTGGCTGTCGAGGAAGACGCTGATGACAAGGTGGTGAGGAAGGATGCTAGGTGTTTCTTCGATATGTGGCCTGTCAGAGCAGCTTCGGAACCAAAGTCTGGAGAGTCACAGTCTTGCCATCGGCATTTCGTTACACCTTTGACCAAGTGGACTGTTTTAAGATGCTTCTTCAGGTCGGTGCCTGTAGCGAAGGAGGCGCCGCAGACCGTGCCGCAAGGCATCAGCCATTGGCAGGCTCGAGAAGTCTCTGGAGCGGTGACAGCACTGAGGAGATCCTGTGTGGTGTTCAACGGATCCTTGGGAGACGCAGCGGGAAGAAGGGCTTTATGCTGAAGATTCGAAGGCGTGGTGAGATTCATGGCGTCAGGTATGGGATATCCGGGGAGAGAAGCACGCTGGTGAGCGGCAGCTGGATGGCACCCAAAATCGAGTCTAAACGGTGGCAATGGAAGTTGCTGGTTTAATCCTGGATTGCCGGGACAAATTTGCTCCTGAGCTATGTTGTTCCAGTAGGGGACCGTGTTATCAAAGCACTGATGATGCATAGGCACATCAAGGGGATGGGCAATGATATCGGCCTGAGCACTGGGCATTTCAAAAGCTCGGAAGCTGGCTGCATCCGTTTCATCAAACTGGAGGCTCGGGGCCAACAAGGCATTTTCATCCAGCAGGGGGACTGAGAATGAAAGACCCAGAGTTTTATCTCGTTCAAACTGACTCCAGTCAATACAATCAAAGCAAGAGAAGTCACATTCGTCGCAGTTGCCTTGACATGCGGCGCCCTCGGGGCATTTGCTGTCCTTATTTTCGTTGCATTCTTCGCAGTCGTCGACATAATCGCTGGTCCGTTGGTTCGCTTTCAGATGCTCTTCGACACAGTCTTCGCAGTCATCAACGCAATCCTCACAATCCATCGGACTGGGGGAGCTGTGGTGCGGTTCATCACAGCAGCTGCCGAGGTCGTTGGCAGATTGATCAAAATCGACAACGCCAGTGTTGCCATGTTCGAAGTCGACGCAGCAGTTGAGGGCGCTCGACGGACGGAAAGAAACATCCTCATCCTCGCCACAACAAGCGAACTTGTGAGGCTCTGTGGCAAATCGTGACGGGCTTCTTGATGGGACTTGGCCCCTTATCGGTGACCTGTAGTTCTGAGCCCGACTTCCGAGGCGCGACTTGGGCGGGAAGACATCGATGGGGTTGACATAAGGCTGGTGATGAAAGTCTTGGGCCGTCAGACCCTGAGGAGAGGTTCTACCCATGGCGGTGCAGCATCAGACGACGGCGAAGCTCGTCTAGCTCGACGATACGATTTTGCTCGGCTCGTCTCGGCTGAACGAGGTTGATTGAGTGAATGATTCCCAAGGCTGCGGTTAGTGTAACGTGGGGAGTTCGGGAAACGGGAAAATTCGAGGCGATCAAGTGTCAAGTGGGATGCTGCCAGTTAGTAATTCGGCCAAGAAAGATCTAGCCAGAAACGGACTAATGAGAACTTTAGGCGAAGCTCGGTCATGGCATGACGTCCATATTGCGAACCTGCCCTCGCGTACAAAGTTGCTTCACATGTCACCATCATTGTTGCTGAGTACCAGCTCTGAGAACCAGCTCTCACATCTAAGTCAAAATCACAGATATATGCTCAGTGCCTCCCACTCCTCAAGTTTACTCGTCGGACTTCTTCACTCTTTTGACCTGCTCGCGTTGCGTGAACTCTAGAAATTCCCTCTTCTTCTGCTCCATCTTCTTGTCGTCCATGTTCTCCTCCCATTTCACCAAAACATTCTCATCATCGTCCAACAGATCGCTCATGTTGTCTAGTCCATTCCATTTCACGATCCCATCACCCTTGAAGTTTGCCACTCGCTGTGTGTAGAACATGTGACAGGTTGGTCGGAAAGCCTCTCGACCGGCGGGGGTGTTGATGTCCTTGATAAGAGGTGGAAAAAGGAGGATCATGTTCCGCCCTTCGTCCATGATAGGGGCACGGCAATACGCGCAAGAGACCTTACAAGGGAGGTGGTGGGTGGTGGATTTGGCACTGGGATCGTACCAGCCTAGGTCGTGGTGGCCGTTTGTGAAATTGATGTCGGATTTATGGAAGATGGCGGCCCATTGAAAGGGCGCCTTGGAGAACCATCAGTCACAGTGTTCGCACAACACCAGAGAATCGGAATGGTTGAGATTGAAAAGATGTACTCACTCCGTGTAATCTCTGGCACGTTGTGCAATGACAATATTTGGCCGCCAACGGCTTGTCTCGACTCAACTGATATGTGACTTTTCCACAATGGCACTGGCCCTCCCATTTTACGGGAAAGTTTTCGTTCTTCTCGTGAAGACGATAGGGCTCGCGATGTTTCCACTCATCTTCTGGGCGGTCGGTGCTGGAACCCGCCTGGTATTGATGAGCCTCTGGGCTTTCGTTGTCTCTTTTAGAGGGAAGGTGATCCTGCTCTTTGCTCATTTTGTTGGTGGTGAATAGACGACTAGGTTGACGGGAGGTGTTGTGGTTATGAGCTGAGGCAAGCTTGCGGGAATTTGGGCAACAGGAAAGCAGAAGTCGACTATATGCGGGGGAAGAAGAAGGGGGTGCAAGTCGTGGGAGCAGTCTCGTTGACGCAACCTGTCGTTGAGGATGCAATTGGGTCCCAAGACGAAGTAGTAGCCTGGGACTCATGAGGATGAAGATCAGAACAACAGAGAGCCGAGGTCTATATCTGAGCAAACAAAAGTGAAGCGACACACCAAGCAGATCATTCTCACCCCTTCAGAGTTTCAGGCACACGTCCATTCCAGCCATTCTCTTTCATTTGAAATCGCACGGTGGATGCATTTATTGCAGCGGATTGGGGACCCGACGGAAGATTAGCCAAAAACGTCACTAAATTGAGTGGTGATGGTGGTGACTCCGGACACAATGATCCGTAAGGAGTTTCGCGTCAGAATGATGACACGCCAAAGAAATCTCCTGCTTGGAGGAAGGATTGGGTGAATATCGTGTCACTCAATGACACCATGACTCTGCATCTCCGCTATACATTGAGATACATAGTCAATATTGGCACAGACGAGGATGGGAGAAGTCAATCTGGCAATGACATCATCGACCCCGGTATCTGCTCCTTGCCAATCAGCTGAATTCACAGCCTTGCAAACAACACGTCCATCAACGCCTATAGACGAGGTGTATACTGAATACCCAGCTGTCAGGCCGCTCAGTTGATGACCTCCTTTGCCTCCAACTGTTTCATCACCTTCATCAGCACCTCCTTCGTACTCAGAGATGCGTTCTTAGGATCTTTCCTCACTCGCTGCCACACCTCGCCGTGTTTCGGTTCATTCGCCACGCACTTTGCAACGACATCTTCCCGTTTCTCCTCGGAGCCGTGCTGCATCAGAAACTTGAGGTACCAAGCCCAGCTGTCTCCCAAGTCAGGATCCACCACAAGCGCCTTCTCGAACCAATTCATCGCTTTGTCCAGTCTTCGTTCGCTCCAGAATATCCGTGCCACAGTCACGAACAGAACCGGATCATTATCCACGGCTTTGATAGCCTCAAGACTCAACGGTTTCCGTTGTGTGCGCGGTTGCAATTTCCAGATGTTCTCAGACCACAGAAGCCCTGACTTGGGACACTCTTGCAGTCCCTTGGACATGAGGATCTTGGCCTGTTGGACATTAGGTGGGTTGGCATGTAATTCGACTCTGACGCTCTCGGCCCACAGCTCGGCATTCTTCGGGTTCTGAAGGCGCGCACGATCAAGGACAGATCTGGCCTTGATGATGATACCCTCCTTCTGTTCGAGTCTCGCCGCGAGAAGCCACAACGGCACAGATTTGGGACACGCTCTAGTGCCTTGCGCATAGGCTTCTCGCGCTTGTGGTATCATTCCCTTGTCTTCGTAGATCTGTCCCTTCATCATCCACAGCTTGGGACTGCGTGGAAAGCGTGTCTCTTTCTTGTCCATCACTCTCGACGTGAGACCTTGCAGAACCAAGTCGAGTGCGACATCGATGTTGCCCAACTGTCTTTCGTACGCTGCACTCTTATACCAAACCCGCTCGGTGGGTGCCTCTTGTCTCGCCGTCGCAAGAAGTTCTCGTGCTTGGCTGATCTGCCCAGCGTCGGCCTCCAATCTGACTGCGGCAAGCCAGATCTCCTCGTTGTTGGGATTTTGATTAAATGCTTTACCGAGCACGCGGCGGGCATCGTCAACTTCGCCGGCATGCCATTTCTCTCGTGCAAGTTGGAGCCACAGTTCTTCTGACTGTGGACAAGCCTCGACAGCCTTTTCCAAGACTTGCCACAGGGCTTCTTTGGTGCCGTGATTCCTCTCTAGATCAGCTGCAGCCAGCCACAGTGATCTGCTCGTGGGGAAGACTCGTAAGGCGTAAGCATAGATGGCTCGAGCCGTCTCAAACTTCTCTCGCCCGATACTTGCCTTGGCGTCATCCTTGAAGATCTCTTTTCGGTCGTCGTCCTCGTCCAGGGACCAGCCGAGAGTCTCTCGGATGATAGCACCGCACGTCAAGACAGCACCCTCCTCTTCACACTTCTCAGCCTCCGTAATCCATTCCTCGCGCTTAAGCATAGCGCCCTCCTTCACTAACGCTTTCACAGCACGATTCATGATGTTGACTTTGGTGGCATTGCCCATTTGTTCTTGTAACCTGGCGGCAGCGATCCAAATCTCGTGGCTGGTGGGTACAGCTTTTCGCGCCTTGTTGAGAACGGCCTGAGCATTTTCTGGCGACTCCAGACGGGCGAGAGCAAGCCAAAGCTCAACGGACAATGGAATAATCTCAGTGGCCTTGGCCAGTAAGAGTTTGGCATCTTCGGGATCTTCTTCCAGATTCACTGCTTCCTTCCAGATCGCCACTGACTGGGGAATGTGGTCGATCGCTTGTCGAAGAACCCGCTTCTTCGCTCGAAGGTCTGTCTCCAGTCTCATGGCTTCAATCCACAATCTTGTCGACCGTTCATTGTTCTTGATGGCGTTCGCAGCGATGATCTTGGCGTTCTGCCCTTCGTTCAGTCGAATGTTTTCCAGCCAAGCATCTTCGCTCTTGGGGCACATCTCACAGCCCTGAGCCATCTTTTTCCTCGCCGCGACAATCTTCCCGGCATATTCCTCCAAACGCGCCGCAGCAATCCAAGCTGGCGCGTGCTTGGGATTTGTCTTGATCACGGAGTCGAGTAAAGTCCGCACTCGTTGGATCTCACCCAGCTGTACTTTGGACGGATCAAATTCTGACGTCTCCAGACTGGTGAGATATCCCTTTGGATCAATCGTCGTCGCCGTGCCGGTGCCGGCGTCCGCTTTTGCCGCCCTGTCCAACCTGGTTTGCAGCACTCTGTCTCTTGCAGCACCAATATCGGCAAAGTTTGTCATCGTTCCGTCCTTATGATCCGCACTGGTGACAGCGCCGTTCACGGCATCATCTTGCACACTCGTCGAGAACTCGGCGGAATCCCTTGCCCTCGCAAGCACACTGTCAGGGACGACATAAGAGCGCTGATTTCTACTCTGTTTCGCCCGTCGATTCTTGCCCGTCAGGTCACCAGGATCTGGAATATTCGCCCAGTCGTCATCGGTCAATGTAACAAGGCCTCGTTTGAGATCCGCAAACTGATCGGAGATCTTGGGGTTCTTGCGATTGTATTCTTCGAGTTCTTCTCGTTCTCGTTCTTCCCTAGAGGACGGCGAAGGAATTATGTCGGTAATCTGTTCGATCCCATGTGGAAAAGATAAACCACGTGTCTTTGTTGAGGGAGAGGGGCAACCAGGAAGGGGCAGTACTAACCTTAGTCTTTTCCGACGCTTACCCATCCGTTCGTCCACATCCTGATAGATTCTATCTGCTTCATCGTCGTCTTGTGTAAAATTGCCCGAGGCGAACAAGCCTGTCTCATTATCTGGGTCCTGAAATCGATCGTCGTCCTCCTCTTCCTGCTCTTGTTTCTTGGCAGCGGCGCCGTATGCGGTCGGGGGCGCTGCTCCGAGTTGCTGAGCTCGTCGCGCGAGAGCTTCTTGGATTTGTTCGGCGCTGGGTCCATCTCGAGCAGGGCCCAAGTCGGATCGAGTAGTGAAGCCAGTTGCGCCTCGACCAAGACCGGCAACGTAATTTTCGGGGGCTTGTTGGCTGAGAAAGTCGCGCCGCGACATGGTGTTCGGCGACTGGCGGCACCTAGAAGCCGCAGAGGAAGACGCGAGGGAGTCAGAAAAGGTGTGCAGGATGTCCTGCCGCGGAAGAAAGAGGGAGTAGCGAGAAGGATGCGGCTGAAGAACAGCTTTTCAGAAGTTGTTTGGTAGAAGGCTGCCGTTTCGGCATCTTCGATGAATTTCCCCACGCATCAAAATTCTGCCGTCTCTCACCGCCAAAAAGTTCCACCAAAAATGTTCGTGGGCAGACTTCAACATCAATATCTACCTTGCGGATACACCCCCGACTCCCAGCCCATGAGAGGCTGTTATTGTCGTCTCCGTGCTGCAGAACATATCTTAGAGAATCCTGGTACCATCTCCGCCCAACATGCCAAAGGTCAATGCAAAGAGGCGCCCCGGCGCACCCTCTTCTTCGCCCTACTCCAAGCCTTCCGCAGCCTCGAATGCGATCTTCAAAATGAACACGGATATTGGTCAACACGTCCTCAAGAACCCCGGCGTGGCCCAAGCAATTGTCGACAAAGCAGACCTGAAGCAGTCCGACATTGTGTTGGAAGTCGGGCCCGGTAGCGGAAACCTCACAGTGAAGATCCTGGAGAAGGCAAAAAAATGTGTCGCGGTGGAACTGGATCCGCGCATGGCTGCCGAAGTCACGAAACGAGTTCAAGCCACGCCCCAGCAGAAGAGACTAGACGTATTGTTGGGGGACGTGATCAAGACCGAACTGCCCTACTTCGACGTCTGCATTTCCAACACGCCGTACCAAATCTCCTCGCCTCTAGTCTTCAAACTTCTTGCCACGACTCCTGCGCCCAGGGTGTGCATATTGATGTTCCAGCGCGAGTTCGCCATGCGCCTCTTCGCCAAGCCCGGCGACAAACTATACTCCCGACTCAGCGTCAACGCGCAGATGTGGGCCAAAATCGACCATATCATGAAAGTTGGCAAGAACAACTTCAAGCCGCCTCCGCAGGTCGAATCCAGCGTCGTGAGACTGGTCCCGAAAGTGCCGCGGCCGAACATCAGCTATGAGGAGTGGGACGGGCTGTTACGGGTGTGTTTCGTGCGGAAGAACAAGACACTCCGGGCCAACTTTCTGGGCACGAGCAGCGTGTTGAGCATGCTGGACCAGAGCTACCGCACGTGGTGTGCGCAGAACGACATCCCCCTCGACGATGGCCCCGCCGACGAAGCGACGCTGATGGAAGTCGAGAACATGCAGGACGGCCCCAACAGCGAAGAGGAAGAGGAATGGTCCGGTTTCATGGACGTCGACGACCAAGACGAAGACAACCTCCCCGGCCTGCTGAAAGACCAGTCCAGCAAGCCCCGCCCGAGCCCGGCCGAGCGGTCTGTCTCCCGCAAGAAGCGCGACAAAGTCTTCCACCTAGTCCGCGAGAAAGTCCGCTCCGTCCTCGAAGATAAGACCTCCTTAGCGGACAAGCGGGCACGGATGTGCGACGAAGCTGACTTTTTGAAATTGCTGTACCACTTCAATCTGGAGGGCATTCACTTCCTGGGGATCAAGCATGGCGAATAGACAGGCCTGAGCACGAACAAGCGAACATGAGCACGATCAGAGTCACAGCGCCAGCCCAACAAAGAAAGGGATTGCCTAGAGCTCCATCTTTCCGGTCAAAACAAGCCAGGCACCTACCAGCGAGAAAGGAAAATGAGCAATACCGACGACTAGATGGCATATGGCCTCTACGCCAGCATGAGATGTCAAGGCTCGCCGACCGGTGACCCTCTCTGTCTACGTCTCCTTCTCAGATGCATCCAATTACCGGCGCTGACACACGCCCCACGCGGATAATGGACGTCGATGCCCACGCGTGGGTACGAGATAGAAATGTCACGAGCAGGGACATATTCCAGTAGACAGGACGCCGTGGTCGTGGACCATAATATCCAAGCAGGCACAGAAGAAAGAGCCCCCTGCAAGAGAAGGAAAAGCGAAAGTTCACACCTCACCAGGATTGATGAGGGTACCGTGCTTGGGCTTGAGATATGCCCGCATGCCGAGAACAGAGATACAACGGGGCGACCAAAAGGGACCTCCCCTAGCTACTGTAGTTAACGAGTAACGAAACGAGCCCGACGGGATGAAGATACCCCCAAGTAGATGGAAAAGAAACAATCACAAAAAGGCCGAGAGGTCAAAAATATCACACACTCTCTCTAGAGGTTTCTTGAGCCGGTAAATGTTTTCGCGTTGTTATTATGGCTCGGCCATGAATATTCTTTGCTATCTGCTCAGTCAGGGAAGTAGGGCTTCCGGGTCTGCCTGGGGGCTGTCGCGCGCTCGACAAGAGTGTATAACCCGCTGAATCCTCCATATATGTAGCTCAGGAGGACGAGTGTGCGCCCTTGGTCGGATCGGGGCGTCCAGGCTGCGCGAGGACAGCCCGTAGTCGAGCCCAGAAAGTTTTGGCCCGTCCACGTCGATTTGGTATCCTTGCAGTGCCATGCCAGTTCATTCACATCATCCCATCGTATATATTCATAACATCGTCGCCGAAAGCTTGGAAAGTGCACACTTCGACCTCTGGAACTATCCCCAATCCGAATTTCGACAGGAGGGTGCCCTGTCGGCATCCTGCTTATATCCTCCAACCACCAGAATTCTATGTTGATATGGCCAGCCAGATCAACCCCAGAGGACCAGATCCTTCGGTAAGAGACACAGCATATCCATCAAATAGAGAGAGAAAACAAGGAGATAAAAGTCAGAATATTGTGTAAACACATCATCCCGAAGAAAAAGTGCCGCTTGCTGCTTTTCATGTGGCATTCAAGTGCCACCATGGTTCCATCTGCTCATCGGATAAGCAGATGGAAACAGAAATCCTGCCTTGTTTTCGCTTTTCGGTCGTAAATACACACAGCGCGTGACCGAGGGTATCAAACAACTTTTGTGTTTGGACTTTTTTGAGATCTGCTTTTTGAACGGAAGAAAGGTCGGCAAATATCCCAATCCAAGCAGAAGAGCAGCGGCAGCGGCGCCAGCATAGCAGGCCCCTTTGCGAAGCACAGCATGTCTGAAGAAGACAACAAAGAGATCAAGGGGTTAAAAGGTCCCCTGTCATCAAGATTGAAATAACCAGAACGCTGACAAAACGACACGTGAGAATAGCCAACCCAGAGTCAAAAAAAAAGGGATATAGACAGATAACCAACTCCGCTCCAAAGACTGGCCGAGAGACATGGTACAGGAGGCAGAATGTTTCATAGATCGAGGTAGCTGTAGTCGACGCTTTGGCGAGCAGAATAATCCTGGCTACGTCGATTCATGCTGGGGGCTCGACTAGCCTGACGACTCGATCTCAGGCTTGGACCTCGTTCTTCCAGATACGAAGGTCGTCTGGATGTGGACATCTCTCGATCCCTCTCCCGAGCCGAAATGACACTGCTGGAGACACTCTTTTTGGAGCCCCGACTCGCAACGCTCGGTGCTCGCTCGATCCTCTTTTGCTCCTTGGGTCGCTCATTCTCTTTGCCTTCGGCGCCCACTGATAGAACGAGCCCGCCGATGCTGATGCTGAGAGGTCGTCCATCTTTGTTGATATAATCGGGAGGAATCGTCATGTTCAAGCCACCGGGAAGGGTGATGCTAGTCTTTGTGCCGCTGGTCTGACTTCTTCCGCGGCCAGATGAATCCTTGGAGGACGACTGCCGACTGAAGTTACTTCCTGTTTCCGATCTCGAACTTGAATTGCGTTGATCCAAATCACGAAGAGCTTCAGCGGTCAACTCATTGGATGTTTTGTTTCGCCTCGACTGATATTCTTCGATCTCGGCTTCCTTTTCCTCTAAAGGGACGGTCATGCGACGAGGCATATTGTGTGGAGTCGAGCTTGCAACAACTTTTGTGACGGTCGTCCCTGCCGAATAAGAGACGGATTTTCTGGGCAAGGGCCGATCGCGCGTCTCTGGAAGCCCAGGTGCGCGGTATGATGAGGGTGGACGAGAAGAAGATTCTCTGCGGTCACGAAAAGCCGATGGAGGAGGTCGAGACGGCCTGTATTCGTGGTCGTCATCGCTATCGTAGCGTTCCGGCTCGTACACCACCCTTTCGCGATGTTGTGGCTCTTGCGGGTGATACGTCTTCGCTCTTCGGTTGCTGGGTCGACGTGACAGGACGACTTCAGGTTGGGTTGGTCGTGGCGGTGGTGGCATGATTGCCCGATCATCCTCTTCGAGGTTGCGGATAGACTTTTGAGACGACGGCAGCGGCCGAGTCTCTCTAGAAGGAATTCGTTCGAGCGTCGCCATTCCAGATTCAGGATACCCTTGACGAATGACAGGCTCGCCATAGACACTCGACCGGCGAGCCGGGCTTGGTTGTCGACTCGGTCTCGCTGAGCGTGGTTCAGGGATAGTGGGTTGGTCAAAGTAAGAGGGAAGTGGCTGGTAGACCGCATACGACGGAGTCGGTAACGGCGCAGGAACGACATATGAATATGGCATCGGACTGTAGGGCATGCTGGGCGTGACCGGGGTCGCATATCCTGATGTTGCAACGGATGGAGGCCCATACATTGGATGATTGATGTACTGTACTGGAACGGCAGCATTGGAGTACATGCTCATCGGTCTAGATTGCTGGGTAGAGGAAGACCGTCGGACTTTGACAGGTACGGCTTGGTCATCTTTTGTGCCTTTCGGAACCAAGGTTTTGACTGCCACTGCAGAGGGAGGCGGCGGAGCCGCTCTGGAAGCCCGAGAGGGATCTTGCCTTGTGTCGACGTGTTTGACATAGTAGTCGTGGCTGCCGCCAGGCCCTCGCTCATGCGAGTCATGCTTGGCTTTATGAGGTCTAGCCTCCGATGAAGGTTCATTTAATTGGGACGATGACTGGCGGCGACTGGTAGGTCGAGAGTGGCCATTTTGAGAGACAAGGTAAGGCTTGCGTTCTCGTTCACGGATTCCGGCGGTGTCGAGCTTCAGATCTGGCATTTTGCGCCGACCTGAGGTGGATTCACTCGCTACGGTGCCAGCCCGACTGGCGTAGCCCGAGTCGCCTCCGTCGGCATTGAATTCATTCTTCTCGCGTTGTCGCAGAGCAAGGTCTTGCTGAGAGCGTTTGGCAGAGACATTGGCACTGGTTTGAGAGCCGGGAAGGGCCGACTGGGTGTCCTCGTCCCAGTCTTCGCAAGTGGCTGCCCGGGGACGACGACGGTCAGAGTCGTGCATGGAAACGGCGGCAATACAGGCCCGAGACAAGTTGGTGAAGGTGGTTGATACTGTTGAGCGTACCAGCCTATGCCTGGACGTGAATAAGAGATGGGTTTATGTGATGGAGGCGGTGGAAACCAGAAGGGGGGGAAGTGGTTCGTGTCGGCTTGGGAAGTGGAGTGACAGGGGCCCCGACCGATAGATGATGCGCTAAAAATTCACGGCAAGGTACTTATTTTGCAGGGGCCCGGCCCGTAAGGCTGCTCGGAGGCGCGGGGCGGCCAAAGGCTGGCAAAATCACCGAAACGATGCGCTGATATCCTCCTTGAGGGGTTGATCCAGTGGCCGCGGCTCGTGGCGTGCCGGGGGCTTTTTGTTGCTGAAATAGCAATCCTATTATCGTCTGCCCCCCAAGAGTCTTGTAGATGGATTGGCCCTCAGACCTAATCGCTTCCAACCTGTTGATTTTGGGTGATCGCAAATGATTTCAGTCCAGTTCGTGTGGTTGCGGGTCCATTTCGGGTTCAGTTTTATTTTCCGTCTCAAATCACCTTGTGGTATTTTTGCGATCCACTGGCTCTTGAGCCGCGGGTTACAGGTTGCCTCCAGGCGTGTTCCACACTCGGGTGCTGTAACAATGACTCTGGTAGATGGCAAATGCAAGAATCCGGTCGCACAAGGGGCCCGTTTCCTGCTTGAGAGGAAGGGTGAACGGACACAGGGTCTTCCGTCGCCTCGACGATGATCTCAGAACGAGGGTGGTATTCGTGTGCGATGGTGATTTGCCGGGTGAATATGCGCGCCTGTCAATGCAAAGGCGGCCTGCAGAGATCAGCCACAGCTCAATGGAACTCTGCACTGTAGAGCTCGCTGCTGAACCTCGACAGAAGTCTAATGGAGGGATGGAGCGATGGAGGGAGGAGATGGAGGAGTTAATGACGCTTTGTGCTCAGGATATTCTTCTGCAAGGGAGTCATTCTTGTCTCAACCCCACTACGCGTGGCTCTAGGCAGGCAACGCGGAGGAGGAGCGAGGGGTAGCCATGAGAGAGGGTGTGCGTGTCTTGGACGTGCGTGTAGGAGTGTGAGTAAGTGAGAGACCGAGAGAAGAATCAGAGGACGAGGTGTGCCAAAAATCCAGCAGCTAGGGTGGGATGGGTGTAGGAATGACTGGTGACCAGCTGCAGGGTGACGAACTGGAGTCGGAGGCAGCACTCTTGGTTTGATTTGTGATTTTTCCAGACACCAGCACTTTTGCCAGAGCCAGGGTCCGTGAGGGAGTGAGAAAAGAAAAAAAAAATGGCGCGGCAAAACGAGCAAAGCCTGGCAGCGAGGGTGAGCCAGAGGGGTGATGGCCCTTGGGCGCATCCGCCGACCGGCGTTGAAGAAATCCTCAAATCCTCGCCATCTCCCATCGCCCTCGCCCCCGGCCGGTGTAAGCGGGAGCCTTTAGTTGCGTGATGCGCGTTGTCGTGAGGATTGCTGCCTTCTGAATGGAAGATAAAGCCCAATGAGCTGCCCAACCTGCACGTCCCCGGTAACTCTAGGAGCCATTCAGCGCGCCGAGGGCGTCGACAAGTCGCTTGCTAGTTGCAGGCTACATCCGCACACACTCGATATCCACTCGATGGATGGTGAATGCCAGTGTCTGCCACGGTTCTGCCACTCCTGTCCTCCGTCCATCCCACCCTCGGTGCCCTCAGCGTCTCGCCTCGCTTGCAACTCCACGCTGCACGCTCCTCGAGGGAACTGGTGTCGATGATAACATCAACGACAGGGAGGCGTCGAGCAGCAAACCTACAGCCAAAGAAGGAGAACATCTCATCCCCCTCCCAGCAGAGGGTTCGGCAAACCCCCAAATCAACAGCAGACCAACGACTGCATATGCAGCCTATGGATCCATGGTGTTTCTGCCTGAATGCTTCCAGCCTGCCATTGTCTTCCAAGTGTCAGACCAGAACGTGGAGGGTGCTCACATAGGGGATGGCATTGTGATACAACACCATGAAATGGCCTGTGGCACGGCAGCCTGCTGGTGGGCAGGAGAAAACGCGGGGAGCCTACACGCAGATGATGCTCGTGAAGAGATTCGCTCACTTATTGGAGCTGACCAGCTGATGCTGATGCTGGTGCTAGGGTACTGAGGGAGCTGACCACTGATGCTGGTGTTGGTGTTGGTGCTCGTGCACGCGTGCCTCAGGCTCGCTGCCACTCATCCTCATCCCCCCGCCTTGCTATCAAACAGTTCATCTACCCCTCCATCCACGCATCAATTGATCTCTTCTGCCTGCTACTCTCTCAAACTTCGACCTATCAGGACACAGCACCGAGAACACCTGTCCCCAAGGCAGAGCGAGGGTTTTCATTGCGCGGCCTTCCACTGTTATCAGCCTGAATCAGTCCACCTTGGGATCGCTGCCTGCGGAATCTTTCTTCGTCTTCGATCCGATAACAGAAGAGGAGCAACAATTTTACCCCTCCAGATGCGGTCCGGGTGGTGGCAGGGGATGGTGGCGACATTATGAGCAGGGCACATTGGTGTGGCTGCCCAACGCACTGTGACGCTGGCAAACAGTTTTCGCCCTGACTAAACCCAACTTCGTCTACGTTGGCATGCACCCCTCCTTCCGTTCAGCCTTGAAAAGGGGAAGGATTGCACCATGCTCATCAAAAAGTCTACCTACTAGTACATCGAGCTCCGAGACCCCGGACACCAGAAATGCGGCTTTGTGAAGCTAGTTGCTGCACCCGCTCTAACGTCCTTATCAGCCTGATCCCTTGTATGAACTCCCCCCGGTCAGCCGGCCATCCCTGCTTGCAGTTGTCTTGTTGCATGAACTCAACAGCCGAACTTCATGATAGTCGAGCGCGAACCGTCAAAATCCTTCGATCCATTTTCAGCTATGCCAGCCCGGGTTCTCCCGCCGAGATGCGAGGACCACCCCTGTCCAAACACCCGTTCACTTGACAGAACTTCTGAGTGCTTCCATGTCACTCCATCCTACATCCTCTCCACCGGACTTAGCCCCAGCAAGGTCATGCCATTCCACAACACCTGTCGGGCAGCCTCGTATAGTGCCAACCGAGCCTTCTGCAGCTCAGGTTCGCTGCCCACCACTTGTAGGTGGTCGTAGCTGGAACTCAGCGCATGCGCCATCTTGAACAGATAAGTGAGGACAGTGGCAGGTTCTCGAGTCTTGAGCGTGTTGAGCACCACATCCGGCCACTGTGCCAGCGAACGAGCCAGATTGATGGCGTGGGATTCCTTCAACAAGGAAAGATCCGCAGAGCTCAAAGCACTCAGGTCTGCATTGGCCTTTCGTTCAATCGAACACAGTCGTGCGTGCGCGTACTGCAAGTACGGACCTGTATCTCCCTCGAACGCCGTCATCTGGTTGATGTTGAACTCGTAGCCGTTTCGGACCTTGCCCGACAAGTCCTGCACCATGATGGCAGTAATGGCCAGCACGTCAGCAACTCTCTCGGGGTCATCCAGCTGGGCGTATTTTTGATCGTTCTTCCTCATTACTTCGAGCATGGTGTCCTTGACCGTCTGAATGATATCATCCAGGAACTTGACGGTCCCTTTTCGGGTACTCATACCCTTCACCATGCCAAAGGAGATGTGCTCGCACTTCTCCGCCACTTCCTTATGCCCGCTGATCTCGGTGGTCTTGAACAGTTGTGCAAGATGCTCGTTCTGCTGATCCGCAACCACGTAAATCATTTTGTCAAAGTGGTACTCGTTATATCGCTCCAAAATCGCGGCAAGGTCTCGGGTGAGGTACAACGGCGTGCCGTCTTTTCGCACGATGATTGCCTTGTTGAGCTTCTTGGCGCCATGTTTGGCAAAATCGATCAGGATCGCGCCGTCCGAATACTCTGCGATTCCCTGTGCCAACAGACTATCCAGGACCCGCTTGATTGTCTCGGCCTTCACCTGCGACTCACCAGAGTATATATCGAACTCAATGTTCAACCGGGCATACGTGTTCTGGTATTTCTTGATGCTCATATCCCGGAACTGCTGCCATAGCGCCAAAGCCTCGGGGTCGCCTTCCTCCATGCTCTTGAAATATTTCCGGGCCTTCTCATCCTCGCTTTCTTCCACAAGAGGGGCAAGTTTTTCTTCCAGTGCCGACACGTCCTCGCCCTTGTCTTTTTTCTCCTTGATCTCCTTCTTCAACTCATTGATGGGCTCGTCCTGGGCGAGTTTCACCTTGTTGATTTCGACATAGACATAAAATAAGTGTGCAATTGAGTTCTTGTCCAATTCCTCTTGGCTGCCAAATTGTTTGAACCCGTTGGCCAGGAGGCCGTACTGTTTGCCCCAGTCTCCCAGGTAATTCATCTTCAGGACATTCCAACCCATGCGTTGGTAAAGTTTTGCCAGGAAACCACCAATGATGGTACTCCGGAGGTGGCCGGCGTGGAATTCTTTCGCGATGTTTGGGGAGGAGAACTCCACGATGATTTTCTTTTGGCCCTTAGACGGGTCTGACGGGTCCTTCAGGCCAGGGGCAGGGTTGCAGCCATATGCCCTGGTGGTGCTTAGGATTTCGGGGATTGTCATGTTGATCAGATGTTGGGGTTTGGCGAAGAACTGTATAAACGGACCAGCCTGGGATACCGTGACGAAAGTGTCCTCTGTCGTGGGAAACGCTGCGACAATCTCCTTTGCCAGATCTTGCGGTGGCTTGCCCTTGACCTTCAACGCAGGTACAGCCAGAGTGAAGTCTCCCTTGTCCAGAGTCGTAGTCCATTGGATCAAGGGGACAATTTCGGCGGCTGATCGGTTGACTATGGGAGCTAGTTTCTCGGCGATGTGTTGTCGATAGAAGTCCATAGGGTTCTTGCTCTTCCCCATTTCCTCCAGCGTCAGCGAAGAGACTTTACCACTGAGTTCTCCCGCCATCGTGGGTTCTGCCGCTGGAGCGGCGGAATGAAAATGATGTTGTTGGATCGGGAGATGGTGAAGAGCAGCAGGGATTGGTTTTTTGGTGCTCACTCGGCCAATATGGCAAGTCCGTGGAGAGGTGCAAAGTGTTTGGTGACACTGAATCGCTCTTGTTTCGCGGGAGATGACTTTAGAGAAGCTGGAAAAATTTTGGTTGCGCCAGAGACGAGAACACCACATCCTCCCTTGAGGGGAGTCATTATATTTCTCCACTGCCACCGACAGTCTCAAATTTGAGTCGAATCATTTGATATCTTGGCATGCATGTGTCGGAACGGATCAACTTTATTGCGCACAGCCTCGCTACCTCCGGGTTTCCAACTGCCGCGCAGACTTGCACGTCAGGTCACAATCGCCGCCCACCACTCAACACATCCTCTCGAGTATAGATGAGGTTGTTTGAGCATGTCCGAAGCGTCAGACCCCCAGTCGCATGAGGAGACAGCGGCACAAAATAGTCGCGAAGGAGAACGATCGAAACGCTTTCGTTTCAAGTCCAAGAAGGACAATGAAGATGGCGACGAGAATGAGTCAAGGGGTCACAAGCGACGGAAGGACCAAGACTCTGCGCATAAGCACAGGAAACGCCGCAGGTCGTCACGGCACGGCACCGCTCAGTCGCACTCACACGAACGAACCTTGAATTATCTGTCGCCCGACCAGGCATTTCGAGAGTCGCTGTTCGATGCGCTCGGAGACGACGAAGGGGCGGCGTTCTGGGAGGGCGTCTACGGACAGCCTATACACAACTATCCCGACACCTATCAAGATGAAGAGACCGGAGAGTTGGAACGCATGACCGACGAGGAATACGCACAATTCGTCCGGCGGAAAATGTGGGAAAAGAGCTGGGAAGGGATAGAAGCTGCCAAAGAAGAACAGAGGAGAGAAAGAGAACGGGAGAAACAAAGGGTACGCGACGAAGAGAACAGATCAGAACGCGAGAGGCAGCACGCCAGGCACGACGATCACATTTTCAACACACAGATCGAAGCCAGTCTCCGACGAGGGGAGAAGCGCAAGGAGCGCAAGCGGTGGCAGAGCTTGTGGGAGGATTATTTGCGCCGCTGGGCAGATCTCCAGAGCCTTGCTCAAAATCGGCAGAGACTCGAGGGCGAGGGCGAGCAGCTCTTTCTCCGCAACAAAATTGCGTGGCCCGTCGAGTCAGGTAAACGCAAAGATGTGAATAGGGAAGAAATCGGACGGTTTATTAGAAAAGCTACAGCCGCTTTCGAAGTTCCGGAGGGCAGGGATTCATTCTCGAGCGTCGTCAAGGCCGAGAGAGTCCGATGGCACCCTGACAAGATCCAGCAGCGGTATGGGTTCATGAAAATCGACGAGGACACCCTGAAGGCGGTCACAGCGGTCTTTCAGGCGCTCGATGCTATATGGAACGAAATTCGCGACAAGGCTGCATAATGAAAACAACTTTAGGGGAGTTGAGGCAAATGCCACTTCTAATCCCCTTTCTCTTTCTATCATCCTGGAGCTGCGCCTCATTCCGTATTGCACAGTCTAATTATTTATAGGTTGATCTCCGCCTGTCCAGTCTCGAATGATATCGTCGGGGACGTCTCTCACTAAGACATGGACATGCTCCATTCCCGGCACAGATTGCAACGCCGTCCAATTTTTGAACCACATAACTTTTTCCTGCTCACCTGGCAGATCCTTGACTCGATCCACAAAGGTAGACTGAATGAAATCCTCGACTTGCTGTCTTGATCTGGGTGTCATGTCGCCTCTGGTCGGCTCTGATTCCAATCGGGTCTTGAGCCACACAATGATGTGCCTAATACCAGGGGCCAATCCATATGGCCAGTCGTTGACCAGGATCTTATAATCTGCCTCATCTGCGAAAGGGACAGGGTTATTGACGGCGAATCTGGGTCCTGTTTCCGGGGTCGACGAAGGTAAAGGGGTCCATTTCAGTCGCTCCCTCATGACAAAATTGGGGACGCTGCCATAGGTCGCCTTCGTCTGGCTTGACCACTTGATGTAGCGTCTCAAGTCTGAAGGCCACCTTTTGAGTATGCTGAGGTTGTGCTCGGCTGTCGAAACCTGTCAGAAAAAGAAAGGGAAGCTGACCCAATGAGACCATGTGCAGCGGAGCACACACCAATGACCTGTTTCAGTTCTTCCCAGGTGTGTGGATGGAATTGGTCATCTGTCATGGCCAGGACAGACTGATCCACTGCCGTGAGAGGGAACGGGGACGGGGTATTGTCGGGGTTTGAAGCCATAGGTTTCTGCGTGCTCCCAGTCTTCGTCTGCAATGGGACAAGGTCTTCCTCGCTGGGCGCAGGGGGTTCCGTAGAGGGTAGTCTTTCGCCGGATCAGTTGACCCAAGATGGAGAGCACCGGGTATTGTACGCGCAGATGGAGCTACGAACAATCCCGAAGACGTTCGTTGTCCTTCCGCTGCTCGGCGAGGTTGACAGCGCAGTTGAACGGCACAGTCTGACCGAGTGTCTCCCCACATATACACCCGAACTGGTAGACGGGGAGGTGAGAGGAGGCGGGCCACAGGGCTCCCAGATTCTGTCTGACACAACAATAATATTTTCATGGCTTCTTCATCGGAAACGCCCCGCACTTTGTCACCATATACAGTCAAAGACACCTGGGCGGCAGCTGGCTCTGAGTGGCGGCACCCCTCCAACAGCTAGTGCCTAGCGAAGACCCCCCGGGCCTCTAACTGAACAGGCCACTCCATCCCGCGAACGGGCCCCACGCACAACGCTGCTCACCGCAGCGCCTGCCGAAAGATCCCAAGTCCAGAACTTCCCCAATTCCGATATATTTTTGTGACCCCGACCACAAAAAATCTGCTTGAACAGGTCAAAATTCCCTTGGTCGTCTTTGCTATTTGCGGTGGCCTTTGCTTCAGGGAGATAGGAAGGGAAAAGCACTGTGCCATCTCTTGCAGCCATGGGGTAAGTCGTCTACGTGCACCTTTCTCAACTGTTTCTTCAACGCTCACCTGATCTCTCAGAAACCCGGCGTTTTCGCAGGCCAACATCAATGGCGTGTATATCCCCTCGGTGCTTCTGATCGTTGGAGTCGCCATCGTTAAGCGGGAATATGTCCCTTACGCAGTCGCCCTCGCTGCCATTGTCGGGGGCTACAAGATCTTCGCTGGCTTGACCCGTAAGTCTTGTCGCAGTTGATGCCAGACAGAAATCCAACTGACATTTGTGAATCACAGCATCGTCACGAAAAGTCCTGAAGCCCGACGCCTTCCAAGAATTCCCATTGACCAAGATCACCAAGACCTCCCACAATGTGGCCATCTACCGATTCGACCTGCCCCGGCCCACGGACATTCTGGGTCTCCCCATTGGCCAGCACATGTCGTTGGCAGCAACACCCAAGGGCGCCGATAAAGAGGTAGTCCGGTCATATACACCTATCTCTTCCGACGAGGACCAAGGTTTCTTTGAGCTCATGATCAAAGCGTACCCCCAGGGCAATATCAGCGCTCACATGACTACCTTGAAGGTTGGGGATACCATGAAAGTCCGCGGTCCCAAGGGCGCCATGGTGTACACCCCGAACATGTGCAAACGCATTGGCATGATTGCAGGCGGAACAGGAATCACGCCCATGCTGCAGATCATCCGCGCCATCAACCGTGGTCGGCCCCGAAACGGCGGAAAAGACACCACCAAGGTGGATCTGATTTTTGCCAACGTCAACCCTGACGATATTTTGCTGAAGGAGCAGCTTGACGCGTTGGACAAGGAAGACCCCGACTTCAGCGTCTACTATGTCCTGAACAACCCGCCTGAGAAATGGGACGGCGGAGTAGGCTTTGTGACTGCAGATATGATCAAGGCCAAACTCCCGGCGCCGGGACCTGACATGAAAATCCTGATCTGTGGTCCCCCGCCCATGGTCAGCGCATTGAAGAAGGCCACCGAAAGCCTCGGGTACCAAAAGGCTAGACCGGTCAGTAAACTGGAAGACCAGGTGTTTTGCTTCTAGAGAAGATCAGCGTGGTGGGTCTATAGATCGTTTATGGATCTAGCAGGGAATGAGAAAAGACAGCGAGCCCATCCCTCGCATTTCGGAGTTTTTCTGTCTGCAAAACATCGAGGCATTGGGTCGAAGCTGGGCAGGTGTTGAGTTGTCGCTGCGGTCGGGCATAGCAGCTTGTCAATAGATGGCCATACCCTCTCAGTTGATCAGCACTTGAAGAGCATCGTCATTTGGCACGATATAGAGGATTGAAGTTTGTGGCTGTGCAAATGGTCGTTGTAGTTATTGCCCCCCATCCGGTGCATCTGATCAGCCTATGACGTCAATCTTGTATATCGCACCAGTTCCCCCTTTGCGCCCCGATCAGGAAATCAAGGAAGCGTCTCTTTCACACGCGCTACCGTGGTGATCGCCTCCCCTGGCACGAAGCCCATAGATTCGACAAGACAGCTTCAAGCTCCCACCCTTGAGCTTCTACCTGCGGGTTTGCCACGTAACGACAAAGGTGGCGCAAGCTCTGGACGGGCGATCGACGCCTCAATCCAATCACGCAGTTTGCTTCTCTCCTCATGCGCGCGACCCTCCTCCCTCCCTCATCTGTTGGGTATTCGTCGCTGCAGACTCGCCAACTCTTCAAACCGGATTGGATCGCCGTCTGAGGCGAGGGTACCTCGGACTCATGATAATGATGGTGATGATGATGGATATATTTCCCATATCTCCTCCCCTCCTCAAGATTTGCTGTGTACTTTGTATATCCCGAGCAGTACCTCAGTCCTGACTCGTGTGCCTCCCGATCTGAGCGAGCGTTCCTACTTGTTTGTCTGTCGCTGATACTACGTGTCGAATGCTTTACTTGCTTACTTAACGAGATCATACGCTTAGTCTATATTGATACCCCCGTTGAGCGAGTTTCTGGTTCGCAGTCTTGCCCTCCATCGACATGATACATGAGAGGACGACAACCCATACACGATATAGAAGGATATTGGAATCATTGTCAGAGTCACTAGGTACACAGCCACGGCATCAAGCAGGACAAGAGCCGGGATCCTTGTGCGGTGCTATTGATTGCTACAAGGGAGTCCCCTTTTCCGGCTCAGCCTCGTCCACAAAGACGAACCGCCACCATCACTCTAAGCGAGTACAACCATGAGGTCCTCGTATCAGACAATAACAATACCAACCCTCCTACTGTCCCTCATACCCCTCTCTCATGGATCGGCAGCCAACTCGACCTTCCCCAAACGCGGCCTCTGCTACATCGCGACCGACCACTCGGAGTCGGACTCGCACATCTTCACCACCTCCAACTCGCCGCTGACGTGGTACTATAATTACAGCCCCTGGCCGGGCCCCTCGAGCTCGCTGGCGCAGTGGAGCACGGAGTTTGTGCCCATGGTGCACTCGGCGAGCGACGCCGCGGCGTCCGTCGACACGATCAAGGCCATCCTCAACGGCAGCGCGGGGATCCCCCTTGCGGCATCATCGGGCGGCGGCGGTCGCGGGAACAGGGTCACGCACGTCCTAACCTTCAACGAGCCGGACGGCGACACCTCGACCGGCGGGACCGACTCGGCGCCCGACCACGCCGCGCAGGTGTATATCGACACGATCCTGCCGCTGCGCGCCGCGCCGTACCACCTGCAGGTGTCGCTGCCGGCGACGACGGGGTCGGCGCGCGGGCTGGAGTGGCTCCGGGCCTTCAATGTGTCGTGCTTCCGGCGCCGGCCCGCGGGCGGGTGCGCGTTCGACTTCGTCGCCGCGCACTGGTACGGCGACCTCGCCGGCATGGCCTCGTGGCTGGGCACCCTGCACGCATTGTACCCGGCGAAGCCCCTCTGGGTCACCGAGTTCGCCCTCCCCGCGGCCCCCGCTGCCGCGACCCAGGCCTTCTTCAACGACTCCCTCCCCTACCTGGACGCCCTGGCCTACGTCCCCCGGTACGCCTGGTTCGGCGCGTTCCGGAGCAGCGGCGGCGACGGCAACGAGTGGACCGGCGACCAGGTGAGCTTGTTCGACGGGCACGGCAGGTTGACGGACCTGGGCGCTGGGTATCTCGGCGGCGACAAGGATGGCTTCCACGAGGGCGAGAGCGCCAGTAACAGTGCTGCTGCTGCTACTGCTGGGTTTGCCACTACCACGATGTCGTGGACCATGTGCCTGTTGCTGGCCTGTTCAGTCGTTGCGAATCTCGGTTGGCTGCTCTGATTTGGAGATAATATATATTAACCGCCATTGCAAAGTCTTTTGTCCCTTTCATGTCCCCCTTTTTTTCCCTTTTCTCTTTCACCCTGCGCGTTTAGAGCCGTGATGTCCCGATAGTTCCCCAAGGAAAAGTCAGATCAGTACTGCCCAAAACGACCGAGCCAGCGAAACCTGGTATCTGAGTCAACACCTCGCCTTTCGACCCGCCTTCTCCCCAATGAATATTGGGTCGGAAGGACAATATCAGCCGGTAAAAGGACGCCTGGAGAGATCGACCAGCTGGTCCGCAACCCCGTCCAAAAACTCGTTCCCGTACCAACTCATGACCTGCTCCACCAAGAGAAGGAGCCTTTGCACCTCAGCGACAAAGGACGTGTGACACGCCATCAAGAGGTTCATGTGGTACTCGGTGATGCTCTCCTCTTCGACGGTGTGGTGGACCCAGAATCCAAGCCACGGTCCCTGCGTACAGAAAGAGAAGGCGAAGGGTCCCATCCCTTCAGGCTGTGCATCTGGCGAGGTCTCCTTTTGTAGATCAGTCAGCTGCCGCAGAAGATTGATCATACAACTTCTTGCCATAGCCGCTTGATTCTCTGCTCCGAAGCCATTCGCCCCAGTAGCGTACCCTTCGCCTTCAACCACTAGCATTGGGAACCGGACGTCCAAGGAAGTCCGCGTAGGATCCGAGAGAAGCGTTTGCTCGTGTTCCAAGTCTGCTAGATCCTCATCCGCCTTGAGCTTGTTCATGCCCTGCTTCCGTAATGCGTCCCCAATCATTGAATCGCGAAAGCCGACTGTAGCATCAGGACGAGGGGGCCTGATAGTCCCATACAAGTTGCACTCGGATGCCGTTGTCGGGGTCATTGAAGGCGATTTGTCTGAGGAAGACCCGTCATCTTTCTTTTGTCGTTTGATGGTTCGACTGACAGAATCATCTGTCTCGCTGGCAGCTTAATGTTCGGGATCGGCGTCGACAGAATCAGTTGTCAAAGTCGTATGCCAGTCTGGAGTCAAAAATTAGCACACCATTATATACACGCCAGAGCCAAAGGGAGAACGCACCAGCCTTTCTCCGAAAAGCCAAGATCCCGCCTTTATCCATTTGTTTCAAAGCCTCAATGATCGGCGCTACCAAGTCATCTTCTCTCACCGCTGACAGAAGGCTGTGATAGAAATCTTTGGACATTTTCTCTCCTATACCGAAGATCTCGGTCTTCCTGTTTTCGGATATCTCATGACTGAAAAAGATTTAATTCAAATGGGACTGAATCTCTGCCGACGGAGGTTCAGGGCGAACAAATATCCTGGCGCGACGAAGAGTTTTGAAGCGATAGGTACTAGCTGCACCGTTTGGTGATAGGCTCCTGGTTGTTGAGTCTGGGAACAAAGTTGAATGGCTTGCTCCCGGCAGTGGTGCAACTCTCCGCTTCCTACCTCGACGTGCAGGAGTAATAACCATCTCGCTGGGCGTCTTCAGTTGGCCTTGAAGCCTCTTTAGATTTACCGCGGTGAGCTGAAGTTTTGGCAGATATGGATGTCGTTTCTTTGAATACCACTCTTTGGGATCATCCGATCGCTCAGTACCCCTATCCTCTGGCGGGCTGACCATCGCGGTGGGTAATAATATACCTGGCAAATCTTTGTCTGATCGTCGTTGCGAGTGCTTGTCGTCGATAGGATCCTTTTGCTTCTGGGCTCTGGTCCCTGGGAGTGCGATAGGCTCTGGAAGAGAGGAATGAGGATTTTCGATCGCGTCGACCGAGAGAGTCTGGTTGGCGATTGTAACAAAAGAGCGTAGTTGTTGCGACCGAAGATTTTTGCGAGTAGAGGTAGGGCTGTTGCTCTTTATTGTACCCTCGGAGTGCTCCTCTTGGAGTTGTTAGTATAGGCAGTTGGGGAATGAAAGGAGGGAAATACACCTTTGATGGGCTCTGCCTGCTTTTTATTGAGCCGTTTTGGAGCCATTTTGCGAGTGACGGAAAAAGTACAACCAAGTAGCTGGAGGCCGTGATCCCGCTGAGACTGTCGCAGGAGGAAACAAGGACGTTCAGGATGTCTGGTACAATTTGATTGCGTCCACAGCTGAGAGGGGGACTTATTGTCGTGGGCGTTGTATCTTCAGGGAAGGTGCGCTCACTCCCCGAGTCATTCAGATCTGAGAACTTGGACTCAGAGGGTGTTGGCATGTGGGAAACGAATTCTTTGTTGTCCCCTGGTCGACAACATTCTTTTTGTCGCTCAGTCTCAATCGACGCAAAACATCTGGCGAAACCCGGATTCTATGAGATGCCGCGAACGTTCTTTTTCTTTGGCCAAGTCAGTATCTTGACAATAACAGACCTTCGAGCTGCCAATCTGACCTGAGTTGTTGCAAAGGGCTAGAACCAGTTCGGTCTCTGTGTCGCGTAGTAGACCATGTGAGCCACGTGAGACCTCCTCAAACGACGCCGTAGGGAGCAGGCAGATCGCAGGCATATTGAAAGTGTTAGCAGTTCTGTTTGAAGCGTTCCTGTCTATAATAATGTTAGCGACTAGACCTAATGCTGGTACCACTTTGGAGGCATTAATGGGGGATGCATGGTTGGAGAGGAAGAGATGGTTGTGGTAGAAAGGGGCAAAATCAGATTCGATCTGGCCACAAAGTGTATTTGAGATAGGTGCGAGGCGGACTCAATTGCAGCACAGCAACAATTAAGCCTCTCGGTCGTATGATCTGTGATATCTGGAACTAGGGCAATTTACGATTCTTCCCCAACATCAAATAGAGCATGTCCTTGTAACTGAAGAGGCTCCTGTCATCGACGGAAAAGTTCGACTGCGTGACAATACATAATGACCGTCGAGAACAAGTTGAGCATATATATGTGCAGGGTGTAGTATTAGTGTAGTATATCTATGTAATATCATCATGGCAGCTCATTGCCAATATCGATTCGTGTCGTGCCCAATATTGACCAACGCTATGCTTTTAGAAATCAGAAGTGTACCGTGCCCTCGACGATATACAGCAGCGCGCCATACTCAAGGACTGAATTGTAGCGCAGACATCCTCATCTTTCACCCTCCTTTTATTTATGACGATATTGTTCAAAGGCCAAATCAGGCAATCTTGGTTCCCTCGAGAACGGAGGAGGACTTCCAGCGTGCTCACTCCTCCCCTGGCTCAAGCTGCGGTAACTGCTCGCCCCCATGCCAGCAGCACCCTTTACCAAAGTCTCTTCGCTTTCCTCTCCGCGCGGCCCGAATCGCGAGTAAGCCTGAGCGCGCATCGGTTCGTAGCTCTGTCCAAATTCAGACATGTCGCGGTTGTGACGGGGAGATGATGCAGAGTACGGCTTTGGCTGGAGAAGGAAAGAATCGCCCTCGAGGTCCTGGGAAAGATTCTTTTGTGCAGCCTTGCGGCGTTTGCGGTGGGGATTCTCTCTGCAGCAAGAAATGATGCTGTTGATGACAATCAGAAATGCAAGGATGGCGGTCAGAGCAGACTGGACCACAATCAGGACGACGCCGGTGATGGTCTTTGTGGTCTGTGCGATTCCAAGCTCTTCCACAAAAATCAAGATACAAACGACCGACATGACACGGACGATTTGAATGATGATGTTGATCCAGTTGCCCGACTTGCGCTGGTACGGCCGGCTCCACAGAAGCAGAAAGAGCATGAGAGCCTCAATGATCAACTGGCCAATTGTTTGAACGAGGCCATGACCGTCGCCTGCAGCCAGAACGCACCCTTTGGCGAACATGTAGACAATGGCTGGGATGAAGAGCCACCAATATCCCTTCTTGTAGTTTTCGTAGAAGAGCTTGTACTTCTTCCAGGTCTCCTTGTTTTCAAACAGAGCACTTGCGTCGCCTTCAATCTTCTTCATCTTGCTGACCACGCTCCAAATCTTGAAGATGTAGAATCCCAAGATCGCCGTGAACGTGCCCAGGGTGAGACCTGCAAGAAGCTTGGCCGCCCACGAGTCGCCGTGTGTGAACTGATAAATGCAGTACAGGGTCCAGACGCCGTAGAGCAGGAAAATCAGGTTGGTGATGGTTTGAGCCATGATGCGCCAATATTCCTTGCGGAAAGTGGTCAGAGACTTGGGGAATCTGCCGAAAAGCGACCACGCCTCGAGAATGACTTTGAAAAGAAGAATACCGACCACGATGGCCGCAACAACAATTGCGAAGATCAGGAGGACGGTCATGAAGGTGTTGGCCTGGGGAATCGTGAGCTGCTCGACGTAGCCCTGAATGCCTTTGACAAGGTGTGATTCCTTGGAATTGCTGTCGCCAGAATCTGCGCTGGTGTTATTGCTGACGGAAGTGGTGATCTGGCGAAGCATCAATGAGACTGATCGCTTTGCGATGCCGGTCGTGGTTTTGGTGGTGGTGCCGTCCGGGAAAACCAGAGTCGCGTTTCTAAGGTAGTCATAGCTGTCGTTGGTCAAATTGCCTCCCGTGTGAGATCTAAAGGAGTCAATTGACCGCTGGAGCCCACCCCAAGAGATGAGGCCAGTGCTGAAAGCGAAGTTCTTTGCAAAGCTGCGGTACACGCCGGGGTACGTGACCGAGTGCATACCGTTCATTGCCATTCCTTGAAACCAGCACATGACCTCGAAAAAGCCAGGACTGGAAGAAGTCGAGCCAGGATGTGCTCCAGTGGCAGCCGCGCCGAGCAGTGACACCGCCAACGCGCCGGCAGCGATGGCCGCCGCGACATACGACACCGCTGGCACATCCGTAGTCTTGCCATTAGAAACACCGGATTGAATGCAGGCCAGTTCTTGTCCGTCTTTGGCCTTGAGAACCATCTGAGCGGTTCCATCGAGATCGGGCAGAGAGTAGGCTATTGAAGGAATGAGTGAGGTGTACTGTGATGGGATGACTTGTGATCCATTGGCGGAAAATGATGATGCCGGAACTGAGCATCGTTAGTATCGTTGTGCTTAGCAGACAAAAGCATCATTCGACTTACCGGGACACAACTGGTCGACTTTGGTGGAATCATCACAGGGATCGAAGGTATTGTTGTACACTTTGATGCCATATGCAGTTACAATCAGTTCGGCCGTGACGAACTGTTGCTTTGTGCTGGAGCCGGAGACATCAAAGTCGATCTTGTTCGTCGACCGATCAAAAGAGATGTCGACATTGTTGACCTTGATTGTTGATGTCCCGTTGTTGCAATTGGAGAAGCCATTTGTTTTCAAGATATCTGTTCCCAGCACAGATGGAAGGAGAGCCAGAGAGGCCAATGCCACTGCCGATGGCCTCCACATGATGGTGTGGTGATATGGTGTGTCCGAATGATAATCACGTCGCCGTGAAACGGCAATGATCCAACTTCTTTTCCTATATCTCTTCACAACAAGGTATATTCACGGTTTGGCGAAGACTCGGTGTCGGAGGTATTGGATTCAATGGGTGCCAATCGTTGGGGAAACGAAGAGAAGGTTTCCGTTAGAAACGTCAAGGCGGGAGAATCGAAAGCGAACGACAGGCAAAACAATAACAATAGTCAAGAGCGAACGTTATAGAAGAAGCGAGTGTTTTGAAGCAGGGACGATTGAACAGTTTGATACAAGTGGGAAAAAGGACCGAAAGAAATGGATTTTCAGCTGCGTGCCTCGACACATGCGATGCGAGCAAAAGATATGGCTCATGATCGGTCTGGTTGGCCAGGGTCAAGGGTTTGGGGCCGCATGGAGACGCCCGTTTCAAGCTGTGGGCTCTGGGCACTCGGAGGACGACAACAGGCACCAGAAAAAGGTGAAATGGTTGAATCGATAGCCGGCGAGCGAGCAGGGGGTTTGGGTCAGTGGCGTCTTTGGGAAAAACTCTGATGGTGTTTGAGTGGTTCTCGATCGATGGAGTCAGGCTCGCTAAATGGGTAATTGGGACCATGGCAATGGCCAAGTCCCAGGGACCAGGAGAATGGTGGAAGGAGAGGGGGTGGCGGCGCCGCCGCCAGAATACCACCCGGCGAGAAGCTTGGGGAAAAGTGGTGTGCGGCATGGAGAGCCCCTGCTAAGCTTGTTAGTTAAGAGTTAGCCGTCTTCATGTGGTGGCTTGGGGGCTTTTGGGCGTCTCCCCATCGGCGCAACCCCCCAAGTATTAGTAGTAGTGACGGGGACGTTACGTCGCCCTCGGCTAACCTGTACTCGAAGGTTGCAATGTGTTGAGCGCCTCTAGGGTCGTAGGGCACATGTTTCAAGGGCTCCAGGGACAGAGCTGCGACACCCTTTCGTCCTCAGTTCCTCAGTCTTCACGACCATCACCTGCGAGGCTCATGCCCCTCAATGCCCACTCTCTCGCCCTCTTTGTCTGTTGTTGCCCATGGCGGAAACCCACTGCCGAAAACGACACCGTCAACACATCAGTGGAGCCTTGGGATGGTCGGAGCAGTGGATGACCCTCGATGAGGCGCAGCCAGCAACTTGTGGTTCCCAGGCCCTTGCAACTGAAAAACTCCTTTGGAGACGGAATCCTAACGCCTATTCGTCTATTCCCGCACGGCCCTAGCCATTGACTGCGCCTCGCCGAAATCCTTTCGACTTCTCTCGTGCCTGTTGCACCGTACCTGCATTGCCGGGTGACTTCTTGTCAGCATCTTATTCGGAATGCAGCGCACCAACGGTATCTCAAGAGACTTTGGCTAGTTTCATACAGGTGGCATATAACCAAGGGGCATTCCATTGTCGCGGACCATGATTAAGTACTGCGGGAGAGTATTCAACAACCTGGCATGGGCCACACAAGACCCCTCTCCCCCGTATGTGGACTCTTGGGAGAAGCTTGTGATGGATAGTGAGGCGCCTATTAATAGACAGAGCCAACTAACTTAAGACACTTCACAGCCTCGTCTAGCTCATAGAAATGGAGAACTTTGCAGTAATGCAGTAATTGTACAAGTACGAGTAGGGTTCGTTAAGCAGAAGCCCTGTGGAGTGCGATGGCTACGCAGGTGGAATGACCACGCATTGACTTCTCGTTGCACTGTCTCTCGTATTGTGTCCTATGACCATCTCTGCGCACAATGCTTCTGGAATGCCACACATCCCGCCAGCTTCCCCCGGAACGCCCGTGAGTGTCCATAGACACACGAACGCATCGATTCGTCCCTTGCAGAGTGAGAGCACATAACATCCACCACCACCGGACTGCTCTCATCTCGTCAATGTCTTTGGTCATATTTCCACTGTGGTGTTGTAGCACAATATCTGATCGCAGCTGGCCCCGTTGGCTGTTGGGACTCTGTTGAAAATGCAAAGTAGTACTCCTAACCCCATCGACACCCGTCCCCTTCCCAATCAGGCTTATGGCAGTTGGGAAATTCTTCACCTCCCATATGGATGGTATCGGCCCCTGCCTCCCCTGAAATTTGCTCCTGGTTTGCCGGCATTCTTGGGACCAGTGGGCGCATTGGCCGGAGCAGCGCTCGGCTGAGATGGGCCACCGGGACCTTTGGGCGGTTTCGGGGTGTGTTGGCGGACTGGCCCTGCTGAGCCTCTGCCACCAGCATTTCCTTCTGGCTGGGGAACATCGTCGTACATGCCTTCCCACGACTGTGGTGCGCCTCCATGACTGTGGCCTTGGTTCTGAAAGCCGCCCCCGCCTCGAGGACCCTGCGGAAAACCGCCCTGGCGACGTACCTGTTGCTGTTGCTCATATTTCTGCTGTTCAAATGCTAATTGCTCTTGGGCCGAAAAGCCTGCACGCGAGCCGCCCATGTTGCCCGGGCCCATGGGCGGGCGATTTGACCCCATGTTCATCCCGCCCTGTTGCATCTGCATCATTTGCTGCATCATTTGAGGAGTCATGCCTTGCATGTTACCCATGCCGCTAGCATTCTGGGCATTGGGGCTGTTCGCTCCTTGCATCTTTTGCATTTGTTGCTGCATTTGCATCTGTGCCATCATCTGCGGATTCATGCCCATATTTCCCATCGCTCCCATATTGCCCATCATGTTGGCTGCCATCTGTTGCTGCATCATGGCAAAGTATTGCTGCATTCTTTGCCAATACTGTGCCATCATCTGCGGGCTCATTCCTGTGGTGCCGCCCATCATATTGGGAGCTTGAGCTTGCGGGTTTTGCGGAGCTTGGTTGTTGTCATTGTTGAAGCGGTCGTCACGTCCGAACTTGCCTCTCCCCCGACCGCGACCGTAATCGTCATCCTCGCCCATCTTGCCACGGGGCTGTGCGCGCTTGACCTCGATGGGCTTGCCCAGGATCTCAAGGGGATGGTATTGTAGGCATTTTTCTACGGCTGCGTCACTGTCAAAGGTCACGAAGCCGAAGCCTCGTGGTCGGCCGGTATCCTTGTCCATCATGAGTGTGGCATCGATGACCCGCCCAAACTGGGCAAAAAAGCTTTCAAAATCTTCTTCGGTGGCATCTTGACTGACACCACCCACAAATATCTTGGCTGTCTTTTCCTGCTCGTCTCGGGGAATCGCTCGCTTGGGATCGATCTGGGGACACCACAGTAAGCCTTCGTTCTTCCGACGGGCCGCATAGTTTCGAGAAAGGGAACCAAGTCTTTCCTGTCTCTCCCGGGATGTATCGAAATGGGTAGGTCTTACAATTTTGCCATCCAAGAAATGCTCCTTGACCATCACGGTGTTGACTGTCTTGGGGTCCTTGAACGTCAAAAATCCAAAGCCTCGTGAGCGGCCGGTGGCGCTGTCTCGCATGACGGTGCATTCTTGGACTTCGCCGAATTGAGAAAAGTAGTCGTGAAGTGATTCTATCAGTGGGAGTTAGTATGGCACCAACATGTCTTGAGTCGCGACGGATGAATGTTGTGGTGAGTGGAGAGACTCTGGGACGATTCTTACGATCTGTTGTTTCCCAATTAAGTCCCCCAATGAACATTTTTCTGTACACATCGCTATGTTAGCTATGAAAGGCCATTGGAACGACAAGAACGAAAGCTGACGACGAGGAACAGCGCGTAAAAAAACAAAAGTACTGAATGTTAGATGGTAGCGTGGAAAGCCAGTCCGCAAGTGAGTTTCCCAGTCCCTCAGTTGCCAGCCTTGTCTCAGGTCGGCTGGGGTTTACTCGGTTGCGCAGTCGTCAAAGGCTCGTGCGCCACCTCCACGAAACTGTGCGTAGATGGCATTCGACCGTGTAAGAGATGCTCTAGATGTACATTCCCGGGGACGTGGGTTCTGTCTGCTGTGTGGGCAATCGCATCGGCGGCTTGTCGCAAGAGAGCCATATGAGCGTGGACTCCCAACCATCACCTTGACATACAGACCGGGGTGGGACGAGGCCAAGACTATGGGTATGGATTTTGCCCGCCTGCAGGATGCATACACGGTCCAATATGCTCCTGAACACCTCTCCAGCGCCCGTCTTCAGTCTTCGGCACCTGAGCGACTTGCAGCCTTGGGGAGTGGCAGCTTCTTCGGTGGACGCGGCCATCCTCATACACGATGTAACAGTATGTCGGTCCTCTGAATCGCCCGTCTTCTTTCCCCCCGATATGCGCAAAGAGTCGACTTCTTCTAGCGGACAGAGGCAAAGGTTTGTTGGCTCTTTGAGATTCAGCAGATACTCCATAGCATCTATCTCCTGCCTGATTTTGGACTTTGTTACTCTGCTCTGCCTGGAAAAGTATCTTGGTGTACGGGAGTAGTTTCTTGCCCACTATTCTGGCTTCGCTGAATGACCACTTTTCGGCAATGAGTTCGACTCGGCTAGTTTGATGCAACATGTAACTAGCCACTGACGTACGGCTCAATCGGAGAGGCTTTCCAATTCCCTCATCAGTCCGAGTGACCACGGAGTGCAGCTGCCCAAGCACGACTTGATAGCCAACTGAGGTTGGACAGATGCTAGCAACCTATCCGCGCCTGACCTGAAATCGCAAGGTCTGTAGCCAGTTGTAGCAGACTGCTTGACCAATCGCAGATCTGATCCGTTGTTCGCAGTATAGATGTACGGGAGTACCATTGCCACCATGATCGACCTCCAATTGTTGTCTTTGACCCATGAACGACATCGAACCTTCAACTTACGCACAGGCAGATTTCGGGGACCCTGCACGACTTCGCAGAACCTGTTGCAGGTGGCGGCCATGGCCAGCTGCGCAACAAACATCCCCAGAGTCCTCTTCTCCATATTGTCATCGCAGTTGATCCAACTCTTTCCAGATTCCTCACAGAAGGGTGTTCACCACGAAACAGGCATGGGAAAATAAGAAACGAGGGGAGGTGCAGAACGAGGAGAAACCCGACAGGCACGCATGTACTCACCCATCCTCTTTCATATTGACATTGAATACCTCGGGCTGAGACGGCTTCTCGGATGTTTCTTGGACTTGCTTCGGACTATGAGTGCCATTGATAGGTTCATCCTGATCCTGGGGTTCCGTGTCGAAGGAAGTAGGGTCGTAGGCTATCTCTGGCTCTTCGCCATAGCCTGGTGTTTCGCTAGTTTTCATTACTGTGTCGCCAGAGGCAGGTTGTGCAGAAGCAGGGAGGGCGCTCTTAGTGGAGGCATGGTTCTCATCCGCATCGTAGCTGGAAAGGCCATGTTAGACTCTACGCCGATCTCAGTGAAGACGAGGTCGAGTTCAGAAGACGGGTCGAGATAAAGAAGGCAAAAAAACTCACAGGTCCGCGAAGAGATCCTCCTCGACATCGTCGGGTTCTGCCATCTTTATCGTGCAACAAAAAGGGGAAACGGTGGTCAAAAGTGCTACGCTTCTGCTCACAAGATCTTGCCAGAAAGACGGGCCGAGCGACCTAGAGGAGTAATCACTAGCAGCAGTAGATGGGAGAAGAGCAAAACAAGACAGTGGCTTTGACTGAGATGAGACAAAGGTGGAAATTTTAGAACAGGAGATGAGGTGAAAACGACAGTCGAGAGAGGTAGTGCGAAGGCGGGCTCTGAAGTCCACGGGGTGTACCGAGTAAGCCACCCCCGAACTTGTTTGGCACCCGCAGAGGAGCTCTGGGCGCAGTCACGCAAGTCGACTTGGCGCAGAATGAGAGGCTGAGAAGAGTTGGAGAAATTATTCGCGGCTCACGTGCAACCGGCTCTGCACTTATCCAGGTAATGCTTGACCCTAGACTGTACTACAGCGAGTCATTCCGCCGCACTGCGCTGTGGTCAGTCTGGGGAAATCCGGGTCCCCGCTTTCCTTGAATACTTCTTGGTACTGTCAGTTTTCAGATTTCATTGTGAACTCTTCGAGTCTCATAATTTGGCGGGAAGCTTATCCTTCTATATGACAAGGTCTTGCATTTTGTCACCAAGTCCATCATCTATAAGAAGTCAGGCAGCTTCTTCAGGGAATTCTTGTTCAATACGTCCTTTCAGCATATCGAGCTGCTCTGCCGGATGTGGACTTCTGTCGGCCGTCCGCGGACGGCCTGCGAAAAATGTCAGATGTTGAAGGTGAGGCATATTGCTGACCTCCCAAATGTGGATTTCATCATGCCCATTCATTGACTAATGCCTCTCGCAGATACGATGCACTGGAGAGCGTCCAACATGTAAAAGGTGTTCCAGGTTGAGACAATCCTGTTCTTACGGCAACCTTACCTCCACACGGAAGCAGCACGTTTTCATTTCGGCCAATATCAGTGATCCCATGACAGCATCTTCCAAAAGATCTCAGCGCGGTAGACTCAATGCTGGAAAGATGACAACATCGGACAGAATGCAACCTATTTCTGCATCATCAAATCTATCCCACTATTCCAACATGGAGGACTACGACCTGGGTATACCCCGGTCTTTGATACTGACCCTTGTGGATGTTTTCTTCGACAACGCATACAATGCTACCCTCGTGCTGCCAAAAAGGCTATTCTTGGAGTCGCTCGAACACGGAAGATCCAGTCCCCATGTCGTCTTAAGTATCTGTGCGTGGGCTGCAAAGTAAAGGCATGCTCAGCCCAGCCTATCGACAATTAGCTAATAGGACCCCTTTTAGTTTCTACAGAGACCAAAATGGCCAGGCAACTTTGAAAGACCACGGCTTCATGACTGAGTGGGCCCGGAAAGCCGGAAGGCTGGTATTCCAACAACCAGAGGATCTCCACGAGGATAAAATCGTGACGTTAATGACTCTGGGCCTGTTCTGGTACAGCCAAGGCTCCTGGAGAGTCAGCCAATTTTACAAAGGTATCGCTGAGCATCACCACTGTACTTTCATGGGCGTGCGCTCACTTTTTGCAGGAGTAGCCTGTCAGTTGCTCTATGTCATCGGGCTCGAGCCTGGAAAGTTGTACGGTAACAACGCGTTCGAATCTGAAATGCGCCGCCGGCGATTGTGGGCTTGCTATCTGATGCAATGTCAATCCGCCGATAGCCTGTCATTCTTCCAGCCACTTGTCGATCTGTCAAGCTTGAGCTTGCCATGGCCGGAAGACGATTTCAATGCTGGCGTTTCCACGCAACCATCAAAATGCCTGGATTCCAAGGGTGTTGCTGGCGAGAGCCTATATGCCGAGGTGATCATAGGCCTGACATTCTGGTAGATTTTGCCTCCCATACTCATTTGTACACAATCATTAATCCATGATAGGCACTCGGTACATTCGCTGATAAAGTGTCGCGAAACCGATATCAGTGAGAGGATATCGGCGTTGCATGCGTTCGACGAAAAGATATCGAGATGGTGGCAACAAGTATCGCCAGCCTTCAAATTGACGCCATCAAAGGTTATAGAGATGGCGAACGACATTCCTTTCTTCCCACAAATCCTGCTTCTCAACGCCGTATATCACCAGTCTCTTGGTGCGCTACATGCGTCTATTATTCCTCTCTTCTCTTGGAGCCCCGGCGACAACAGTTGGCTTACCTCGCGACATTGCTCAGCGCAATTAGCATTCGAACACGCCTGCACATTCTCAGAATTGGTCGAAAGAGTTGTTTCGACGTACTCTCGACCTAGTGCGATACCAACCTTTGTCGCATACGCCGCATATTCCGGATGTGCTATTCAAATCCCGTTCATGTGGTGCTCCAATCCGGAAGTACGATGCCGCATACGTGCCAATGTCAAGGCGAATATCCAAATTATACAAAGCGTGGCTGTATACTGGAAATTCGCCGCTCTCCTTGTACTGGTAACCTTACCTCGTGAGGACGGGAACCTATGCTAATGGCTTTCTTTCTAGCAAATCCATGTTGGTTGTCTATACGAGATCCACCTAACGCATCGGAATACCCTGGAAGATGAGCCTAGACATATCGACATCAGGAAGCTGGTCGACTTCAAGGTTAATGCCTCACATGCTCGTGCTTCTATTCTCGGTTTCATTGACATTTTACGGCCCAAAGGCGATGGATTCGTGGACTCTGGAGACGAGAACAAAGATCTTGGAATTGAATTGGGTACAGTCAGGAATGACCTGCCAACAAGGTCGTCCATACACGATGGTCCCATGTATGACCTGCATAGCGGTCTAATTCAACAAGAACCCCTTGAGAACAGCCCTGTGGCTTTGCAATCAGGCTTCGCCCAGACCACTGACAGTTTACGAGGTTCTGAAACAAACGTCAACCACGGCCCAGCACAGCTGGAGATCAATGTGAACCAGGCACAATACCAACAGCAGGCAGAGCCATTGCCTCAACCCAATCAATTTGATATTGAATCTGCGCCTCTTTTCCAGCTCCAGGACCAAGGTGTCACAGAGAGGCTGACTTTGGATCCATGCTATCCTTTTTTTGACCAGACCATGCTCGATCTCTTCCCGAATGGAGAGATGCCGGATCTTTCTCAGCTGGAAACGGACCCAAACTATCTGGAATACTTTGGTCTCGAAGGCTGGGACCCGGTTCAACCAGACCTTCCGAGGGACGCTTGACAAAGTCGGTGGCGAGTCACTCGTCTCGCACACGGGTCGACAGATTATGCGCAGACACGATGGTCTATCTGCTCGGCGCCAGGTTCGACGGAGGGAATTGGCCAGTGCTTAGGCCCTGTCTCCACCAAGATCCGGGACCTGTTACCAAAATTGTTGGAGCACACTGAGGTACGGAATGTGCTAACTCTTTCTAGCAGCAGAATCCCGAGTGTTCGAGGCTATCCAAGGGTACTACATGGTCAAGCAGTGCTCCCTTCCTGGTCGTGCTTCCGGCTTACCTGACTTCGATATGGTCTGCACTGGCTTCTGGGACAGTTTGACGAGGAGGGCACAAGCGCCCAGACTTCAGTCGCGGCTCCCTACTTGTCGTGAAATTTGATTGCGACTTTAAACTCTGGCTAGCCATCTCATTCGTTTAACTTCTCGGATTAATACTTGATCTATTTTCATGGTACACGTCGGATAGCTGCACAAACCAATTGCTTCTCTCAAGTAGATACAATATAATATCAGTCTCAAGAGTTCTCACGGTTAGGCACGAATTCACAACGCCCTTTATTATCCTAGTTCCTGATTTAATCACACCTTGACGTTTCGACTCTTCTTGACGATACAACGTTTAGAGACCGGACTGATTAGGAAGTAATTCTCCATTCTCATCGACGCCGGCGTGGTCGCCTCGGAGAGCTCGAGATGGCGACACTCGCGGAAGAACTCGGCCAGTCCGTGTCGCAGCTCCATGTAGGCCAGGTGAATACCTAGACAGATCCGCGTCCCTCCTCCGAACGGAGCAAACGCGTGCTTTTGGGCGCCTTTGAGGGGCTTCAGGTAGAATCGATCGGGGTCGTATCTGTGGAAAGTCACGATCAGCCGCGGCCCACAGGGCCATTCTTTCGCCAGTCAAGGCGACGACGCCGTAAACCGCTTGAGAGATGTAGGGAAAAAAGAGAAAAGAGAGGCTCACGTTTCTGGATCCTCAAAGATAGCGGGATCCCGGTGCATCGTATAGCTCTGAGTCGTCAACGTCACGCCGGGCGGAATGTTCAGCCCGTTGATCTCAATACCTTTGGCAGGCGTCGTGCGCGGGAGAGCGCCCGGTGCTGACCCGTAGAGCCGCAAGGTCTCGGTGATCACGGCGTCCAGATATGACAGCTTCTCCAGTGCCGTGTCGTCGTAATCGTCCGGCAGCTGTTCCACCTCTTCTTCCAGTCTTCCTCGGACGTCTGGATGGCTGAGGACGGCCCACACGGCATAGGTGAGCGTGACGGCGGTCGTGCCAGACCCGGCCACGATCAAGGCTGAGGCCTGGGAGCCCAGACTGAAGTCGGTCATGGTGGTGGGGGTGGTGGTGGTGGCGGTCGTCCCCTCCTCGGCGCGGCTCATGTCGATCATGCCCTTGATGATGTTCTGTCTCAACAGCGATGAAGAGGCCCGTTTGGCCCGGCTCGCAGCCGCTAACCCGTAGTCGACAACGTTCTGCAGCGCGGTGTCACATTTTCTGGTAAATGTCGGGGCGGCAATGCGCATCATCTTGTACAGCCATGGCACCTCACCTTGCAGTCCGAAGACCATCGACGATAATTCCAGGTCGTCAATGTAGCTGCTTTTCTTTTCGACGTTATATCAGCTGTCCGTTCGGGAATTCCAGTTGACAGTCATGGCGGAACTTACTTGCCCGGCTTCCAGCAACTGTGAATCATCCCCGAAAGCCACCTTTGAAATGACATCGGTGGCCATCAACGTCCACCATTTCATCACGTCGCAGTCTCCCCTGTCCGCCTCCTCCTTCATCTTGGCAACGGCCAGTCGCGCACGCTCTGAGACCAAGTCTTGAAAGTTGACCAAAAGGGAAGACCTGCTAAAGGGGCGAGCCAGCAGTCTCCGGCGAGCTGCGTGCTCCCGAACATCCGTCATGGCGAAGACATTGTCCTCGATCCCTGGTGTCGACGACTTGTACCAATCAGACTTGACAAACCCGCTCCCGATGCGGTGGACTTCGCGAAAGGCGTCCAGATCGGACACAACGACCTCGCCGGGCTCAACTCGGACCACGGGTCCGTACTTTTGGTGAAGATCATGGACATAGAAGATGCGCTGCCCGGTCAATATCTTGTATTTGGTCACGATACTGGTGAACCTGGTGTGCCATGGTCCTGGTACCGCTGAGAGTGGGCCAGAGAACGCTTTTGCGATGACCTAATATTGGTTTTATGAGCATGGACGATCAAAAAATCGTGGGATTGAAAAGATAGAGCTTACCCTTATGGCCAATGATAACACTCCCACGAGCAATGCCAGAGGCACAAGGTATCGAGATGTCGCAGGTGAAGCCCAAATCATGGTTGCGGTGGCCGCGGAGGCGCGTCTGAGGGTATCACAAGTGCTCAAATATCACAGTCGAGAGAGTTGATCCCTTGAGGTGGCAGAGTATACCGTGTCAACTATACCAGAATGAATGCTTGATCTTTTGAAGCTCGGGTTTTGCTCTCGTGCACAGTTCTCAGGCTCTGGGATGCGACATCCCAAGGGGCGCGTGCAGAGTCTCCAGATTACCAATCTCCGTCCGACTAAGAAGGGCAGGTGATGTTCGTGATTCGTCACGGCCATCAGTGCAGGGTGGGAGAAAGAAGAAAGACTGACGGGGTTCGAAACAGGGACTTTCCATGCCGTAGCCTTGTCGAAAGTTTCTCCACTTCCGCACCAGGAAATTCCCTTCCGTATTCGGTTAGATTAGTCCGTGCCGTCATCCACTACATGGCGCCAGCCGTCAGAAGTGATCATGATCCCGGTCATTAGAGAAGGATCTCGCAAACGGAGAATGCAAGGGACCCCTTTTGCCGTATCAAACTTTCCAGATGAGTTGGCTTTTGCCGGAGTCCCGCAGAATTTGACCCAGAATGGAATTGCTCCAAGACATGAACGTCTAGGGTGGCAACCTTGTTTACCTCGGGCATGCAATATAGGGCACAGCGTCTGGGGCAAAAGAATCTGGCTGATCTCAGCGAGGTCATTCATGCTCAGCCAGTTATTTCATAAACACGAAAAGGTGGCTCGGGTGTCAACAACACGCCTTTCTTCCCAACTTCAGGCCACTTTACAAACTCATTTGTCAAGATGTTGACCAACGGCAACAACGCTCAAGTCTCTCCATTGCCCTCATCAACTATTCATATCACTACACACAACGCATCGGGCCAGGCGACACTTCACAGCTCGGAGAGAGCCCAATGGATGGCATTTAAGGAGCTAAAGTATGCTTCCGCATTATTGTACACGACAACGGCGATGCCGACCAACCTGAACGACGACGCAGACATCAAGCGTCACCAAGAGGTGGCTTCGAGGGGCAGAGTCCCCGCCGTCCTGCCAAAGGGCACCGTCTGCCGCTTTGTGGACTTTGAGCCGAACAGCAAGGGCTTTATGCATCGGACCCAGAGCCTCGACTACGGCATCGTCATGGAAGGCGAGGTGGTCCTCGAGCTCGACGACGGCAGCGAGACGCACATGACGCGCGGGGATGTCGCCATCCAGCGAGGTACCATCCACGCGTGGAGCAACCCCAACCCGACGGAGTGGGCGCGCGTCCTCTTCGTCCTGCAAGACTGTCAGCCGCTCTTGGTGAATGGGAAGAGATTCAAGGAGGACCTGGGCGCGGCCAATGGACATGTGCCTGAGAGTGCCAATGATATAGAATGAAGTGGGTTATACACACACACGGGGTGCAGAGGAACAAAATGCGGATGAGGCCAAGAGAGCTCGTTAAGGGCGGTACATCGACCGTTCGATGATGCCAAGGTTCTCACTTTTGCCAGCTTTAGCAAGAAGATCTTCCGTACTACGAGACCTACTTCCTGAAATTATATTCTTCGAGAAACCCTTTATGATCTCCTCATGGCCGGTCATTGATTAGCTGCTATTGAAATTGGCCAGTCGCCCTAAATTCACTCGGTGACCTTTCAATTTGCTATTTGGAGTATACTTCCCAACTGAGTGAATAGCTCGCGCCAATAGACCAATAGTCCAAGATGACTGCGTAACAAGCAGTGCCAACTACAGAAATAAAGACCTCGTGTGGCACCACATTTTCGTCTGCAAAAAGCAAATTCGATGTGTTCATGGCAATTGAAATTCTTGTTTTGCCCGGCTGACCTGATTTCTGCAGAAATCTTCCACGTAAGTCTGATTTGACATCTTAGGCAAGTTCCTGCCCGCTAGGCCATGTGCTGGCAAGACTTCCAGGTATGTTGTATGCAACGCTACTCACACTTCAGCCTTATCAGAGCTACCAATCTTTGGATTGCGTATAGTCTTGTTGACGTAGTTTGTGAGGAAAGCATCAACGTCTGTGATGAAGAATGCTGCCACCAACCCAATCCCCGTGAATGACAGCGTTGCCAGATACACAACCTTGAACGCATGGGCATATGCAACTTTTGTGGCTAGAGCAAGGGCACCCAGAATTCCATCGGTCATTCCCGGCACGCCTTCCAAGGCCGCCGCAGTGCCGTTATTGATGGCGGTAAATAGATCTGGGATGCTGCTGGCTGGCAGGCCGGCGCTCGAGACAGCGGGAACGATCTCCTGCGGCAGGAATGCTGCCAGCCTGTCGCTGTAGATAGCCAGGTAAATGCTAACTGAGACACATTAAGTTAGATCTGCTGAACACCTTGCCTTTTCGGAAGGACTGGTGGCTTACCTGCAACAGTCCCGAACGTCAGTCTGGTAGAGCCAAAAAAGCCTTGGGCAACGCCTATATCATTTGGTGGAGCTACAAGTCCAGTGACCACGATAGTAACCATCTCGATCCAGCCAACCGCAAGGCCGGTCAGGACTGTAAACGCGATCCCAACGTTTTCTGTTTGGTGCGTCACCACAGCCATGGCCGTACCAAAGACGGCGGTCATCAAACTCGCAACCACCATCTGCCATTTTAAGTATCCCACAGTTCTGAATATAGGTGCGAAAATGAGCTCGCCCACGGCCAGTGCAATCCCTGTAGT